CTTATAACCCTGTTGTGGTATGCATAAATAACTAAATATTAAAAAAAAAAAAAACTACTGACAGCCTCATGGGTTACCTGGTAAATGAGCCAGAGCAGCTACCACACAAGTGAAGTTCACCAATTGTTTTGCCTCTTTGTTAGTGTACTATTTTTCTCACTTTAGGTGAAAGAGCCTGCCTCCGACCTCTGGTACCATAAAAACCTTCAGTTGGTGGATCCCTGAACTTCCATGGATTTTATCCCCCACCATCTGTCTTATGTGTATGCATTACAAAGTTTGCCTGGATACAAGCAAATTCTCTTTCACCAGGTCCAGTTAGCATAATGCCATCAATGTGAAGCATCACTGTGGTTTTCTGTGAAATATTGAAATGATCAAGGTCCTTCCAGACCATATTATATACTATTATGACTGTGCAGATATATAGCCCTCAAATGAGACTATAAAGACATATTGCTGTTTCTGCCAGTTGATGGCAAACTGCATCTTTTTCCCCTTACTGCTGACTGTAGAGAAGAAAGCATTTGCCAGGTCAGTGGGAGGTCCCTAGATATCAGGGGTTATGTTAATTTTCTCCAGGAAAAAAAAAATCTAGAATCACAGCTGTGGTTTTCATCACCATCTGATTTAATTTGTGTAATCCATAGTCATGTTCCAAGTTCTTTCTGGCTTTGGTCCCAGTAAACAGACAAGTTAAATGGGAATATAATGGGAATTAACACCCCTGTATCTTTCAGATTTTTAGTGGTAGTACTGATTTGTTCTAGGGATGTGGTATAGGTTCTGGTTTACTTTCTTAGTGGGGAGAGGATGAGAATTTTAGGGGATTCTTTGTGGCCCTTCTGTAATGGCTTTTATGATATGGGTCAGTGAGCCAGTATTGAGTTCTGGCTCCTTACTAAGTATGTCTATTGCCACTAGAATTCTGGACTAGGGAGATAACCACAGGATGGGCTTGTGGTACCATTGGGCCCACCATGAGACACCAGAGCTGATTGCATCTCTCATCTCCTCTTAGAATGAGATGGACACTCTCATATGTGGGTCACTTTTGGATCTCCAGGGATAGTGTCAGTTCAGAGGTAGTGTCCAGTAACCCTTGGAAAGGCTGCATTTTTTGTTCACCAGTGAATTATCACCCTGGTAAGTGGCTTCAGGTTCCCCTTGGAAAAATTGGAGAAAGATTGATGGGATACACTGTGGCCATAAAAAGGGTTATCAATATTAAATTTGGTCCTCCTTGTGCTAATAGCCTTTGGATGTACTCCTCTATGTACTTTCCAAATTCCTCCTGGTAAAAGTTGTCAAGATTCTGAAGATTTTTCAGTATAAAGTCAGTCTCGGAGTAGACTTTGAACTTCCTTCTGGGCTTTTTTGGATCTAACTCCTATTATGAGGTAGTCAGGGGTTGTGGGAGGGAGTAGTGAAGAGAATTGGCACCCTTATGTGAAACAACTGGAAAGGATTTATGGAGGATTAAGAGATTGTCTCTGCCAAGGGGTCTAGGTGCTGCTTTCAGCAGGGACATTCCGTGAATTTGGAGGTCAGCATTCTTAGGCTCATTAGTGTTTACCCAAATGCCTGCATCATTGACTCAGGATTATTATTCTTTTCAACCAATGCCCTTAAGTTAGCTTTAGAGATTTTGCAGGGTTGCATATTTAATTGGTTCTACAATCTTTACCATCAGACTCTAAGCTTGATCCTTAGTCCTGTCAGCTTAGTAGCTTAAGAGGAAAAGAACTCCTTACAGTAAATAGATTTTCCAACCCATCTATTTGGGAATTCACAACTTTTAATTTGTGGTTGGCTTTGTGCTCATTCTCAGAGACAATCAGAAGCAACCCAGCCCACATCAAAAATCTTTGAAATCCTCATTTTCATCATCCTCTAGGACTTAAAGCATTTTGCCCCCTATCTGTACTCCAGCCTGTGGCACTGTGAGAGGGAATTTGAGTGATATATAACATGCCAGGTTATCAGTTTCCTATCAGCTCCCTCCAAGAGTAGTTAACAGGGCATTCATCAAATACGTGTCTCATTTCTGAGAGTCTGTTTCTGGGGGGTCATTCTTGGTGCCAGTTACTGCATCAATCACATGATACATGCAAAAGTAATTGAAGGGAATCTAACGAAGGGACTATTTGCTAAATTGTTATGGGTGGGGTAAAAGAACTAGCAGAGCATGGGAAGCACCTCATATAACAATGTTTGGAAGCTGTTACTACTCTAAGACCTTCAATGTTTCTGTCGAAGAAGAGCCACCTTGCAGGTAGAGAAACCACTGCATGTTAGAAAGGAAGCAGGGAAATAAATAACCTTAGCATTTCACTTTTCCTGCCCTTCTATCTCCTGCTAATGCCTTGCATTAGCTGAGCCCCACCAGATGTCTGTGGGCAAGGACAGGGGGCAGGCTGTGTCATTGTGAGGTCAGTCCATAGAGGTCAGCCTTCCTGGCCTTTGGGAAGGTATTGAAAGAGTGGTGTTAGATCTGGTAGCTGTCTGGTACACCTGCTAAATCGGGATCTTTAACCTAGATTTGAGTGCCTCTGCATGCTTGGCTTCTACACTAACCACCAGCTGTGCCTGAATGCTTAGATGTTCCCTGGGTACATGTGAAACAACATCCTGGGCCTCCCCGGTGGCACAGCAGTTGAGCACTGGGCTGAGAAGCAGCCCGCAGCTTCCGCAGCCCCGGCTCGATCCCCGGCCACCAGCGAGGGTCCCACATGGCGCAACAGACCTCTCTTGCCGCGCCTGCTGCTCCCCTCAGCATTGTATTTCTTCGTCAGTCTGCCTGTTCTGTTCCCTGCTCTGGCTCTGGTGAATTCTCTCACCTTCCCGAGCTTCTGACTGTACCCAGTGCTTGTATAAATAAATCAATCAATCTTAAAAAAACAAACAAACAAACCAAAAAAACACAACATCCTGCCCCCTGCTGCTTTCTTCCTCCTCTAAGCCTGATGCTAGTTAATGTCATACCATCTTGTCCCTTGCAAAAGGTAGACCTCAGGCCTAATATTCTGTAGTTCTGTTGTTGTGGACCATGCATAGTGAGCTACAAACATTCCAGCTCATACATAATATAGTACTGCAGGACCTCCCACCTCCTGGGTTCAACATTGTTAAGGGATAGACCTCCAAAGGGCAACACCATAACCATCATCCTCTCATCATTTCTGTTGCAGTGGGAAAAGGTAGCTAATGTTAAGTCCTGGGGCTCTCAAAGAAGGCTAATCTACCTTAGCAGAGCTATGGGTTCTACCTGTCATAATTCTTCATCAGTAGAGCTCTGATTACAGGGCAAGGCTTTGCTCAGGTGGCTGTTCTGGTCTAAAAGGCAGCCAAATGCTGGAAGGGTCCAGAGTTTAGGAGGGGGCCAGTTACATTTCCATTTTTTTTTAAAGATTTATTTATCTATACAAGAACGGGGGTACAGGCCAGATGTGTGGGAGGGTGAGAGGATTTACCAGAGACAGAGCAGGGAAAAGAACAGGCAGACCAATCGAAATATACTGCTGAGGGGAGCAGCGGGTGAGACAGGAGAAGTCTGCCATGCCATGTGGGTTGTTCCCCAGCTGGCGGGGATTGAACCGGCACTGCAGAGACTGTGGACAGCCTCACAGCGCTGCACTCATTCTCCTGTGCCACCAGGAAGGCCCCACATTTCCATGTTTTTTTTTTTTTTTTTTAAGAAGATAGGTAAATTTTTTTTTTAAGATTTATTCATTTATTTATACAAGCGCTGGGTACAGTCAGAAGTGCGGGAGAGTGAGAAAATTCACCAGAGCCAGAGCGGGGAGCAGAGCAGGCAGATTTACTGACATACACTGCTGAGGGGAGCAGTGGGCGCAGCAGGAGAGGTCTGCTGTGCCATGTGGGAATCTCCCTGGCCGGGATCGAACCCGCATTGCAGAGGCTGCAGACAGCTTCACAGTGCAGCGCTCTGCAACCAGGGAGGCCTGTGCCGCCAGGGAGGCCCGTTTCCATATTTTTAAACAACTAATTCAGATACATATAAATCCTCCCTGACACTATTTCCAGCAGCAAATTCAACAAAGTACATTTTGAATCACCTCAAAGGAAGCACTCCCCCACCCCACCCCCAAATTATGTTTATTGAGGTAGTTTACATCTTTGTATCTGCTCTGGGGGTTATAGGTTCAAAACTCATTATACCTGTATATTCCATGCATACTGATATTTAAAATCACTACTTGGATATATAATTTACTTAGAATTACTAGATCGGTCAGCCAACTTCCTGAAATTAATTATCTAGGGAAACTGGCAAACTGACCTTTCCCTGGATTTCATTTGTTATTTGGTGTTAATTCAAACGCAGAGTTTGGGTTACTGTGTGCAGCAAAATTGTCATCAGTGTCTCATCTGGAGCCCTTGGTTCATGGATTAAGTGATAGTAATAATGTATTACATTTGTTCTATATAGAGATCTAGCCAGGGATCCAGTGCATATAAAATGTTAAAATGCAACATAGCAAAGTGGTTAAGTGGTAGGACTCTGGAGCCAGGTAGTCTGGGTCCAAATCCTAGGTGGGCAAATCATTTAACTTTTCTGTGTCTCATTTGCCTCATTTGTAAAATGCGGGTAAATACCTACTGTGTAGTATCCTAATCTGAAGCAGGTGCCAGCTGGTCATCTTCATACACAAAGTCTGAAAACCACTCTTAGAACACTACCCTGACTCCATTGCACTTGAGCCTTTACTCTCACTTTGTGTCAGCTGTGGTGTATAAGCTTCCGGAATTTCTTAGTAGTAAGAAAGTAGATGGGATGTAAATGTTTGATTGTGGCTTAGCTATTGTAGAGACATAATAGAAGCTAAATTTCTAACCTGGGCTGAGACGTGTAGCCAAAAGTTAATTCCTGCCAGAATAAGCATAAACTGGGTCCTGTGAGCCAGGAATGACAGACAAATCATGGTATTTTTAAATTGTTTTGCTAATTCTTTTTTTTTTTTTTCCTGTTGGTTAAGGTGCATGATGGAATTTGAACATTGCCACAAGACATTTTATGTTTTGGAATAGCTAATCGTATTTGTCCTCTGCTGACCATTTGAACTCATTTTTTGGCATCCTTTTGAGGCAGTTCACCCAAAAAATATAATACCATGGATTACAAGGAAAGCTGCCCCAGTGTAAGCATTCCCAGCTCTGATGAACACAGAGAGAAAAAGAAGAGGTTTACTGTAAGTATGTAACTTATAGCAAATGGGAAAAAATTGAATGCAGAGACTATTTCCATTTCTGTTTCTATTCTTTCATAATTTAGAACATCCCTTTCACACCCCACCCCCGTGTACACATATCCAGATTTTGCTTATCTTTCAAATGATACATCTCCACAGTCTTCCCTATGTACTGGAATGAAGTGAAATTTTCTTCTCAGTGCAGATTTTTATCTAGTCCCTTGAAGAAGTTTATGAAACTAGCTGATAAACCCTCTGACCAGAAAATGTGCATATACATGGATCTATGACACATCATATAATTTTGTGTGTATTGTTGGGGTTAATGACATAGGAAGTCTTGATCCCATGTTAAGTACCACTTCTTGAAATTTCTGCAGTGTCTTTCTTAGGACAGTTATCGTGCATTTTAAAAATATTTTATCAAATATTACTTCTTTATTTTCCACCTTAAAGGCGATACCCATTTCTAATTTTACTTAACACTGCGGTATCTACTATAGGACCTTATAAAGAATATGCACAATGAATATTTGCTGAACCAGTACATGAATGGCTATGATTGGAGAGCAATCACCTCTAATTAGTGTAGTGAAACATATATTTCAAGTAGTCCTGTTAGTATATACAGAGAATTTCTTGCCCTATATTCCCTGGAAAAAAGTCATCTGTTTATAGCTGGTCTGTTTTCTTCTAAGCTCCCATCTACAAGTAGTATGAAGAAAATCATTTAACCCAATTCTGCTCATTGCTTAGTTTGAACTAAAATTGAAGCAGTTCTTTTAAGTAAAAATGACTAAACTGTCATAATTCTGCTCTCCTAATACACATTCTTTCTCCAATTTGGCATCGATGTTTTTAGGAGTGGAAGTGTCCCGTTTCAATGTTTCTGAGTGTATAATCTCATGGCATCCTGGTAAAGGCTCTTGCATTCTTGTGATCCTGCTACATCTTTGCTATTCCATGTAGAATGACTGGTCTGACAGGTCTCAGGCCGTGGTTCACCTGATCCAACCCTGGACATTTTGCTGCCATCCGATATCAGCATTAGTAGTTGAATAAATCACTAATTTGTGATTTATTTTTTGTTGGCTTTACTAAAGCAGTGATGACTCACTGCTGACTCAGTTTCCCCCTGACTCTTAATGGCCAAGAGCCCACTGAGGTTCTCACATGTCCTTCACCTGCTCTAACTTGAGTTATCTATCCTGCCATTGACCAGGGGTCACTTTGCCCCTGGCAGTTGAGCCGATAACTGGTGACTTTCAACTCAGAGTCCATATCACATGGCAGTTGAAGAAAGTGTGAGGAGTTAAACTAAGTGCTTTTCTGACCATCCAGTCTATTAACTTGATGGCGCTCGTCCACAATGGCGGTTTTCCCTCAAAGTCCCAGATACATTGCTGAAAACAGCCCTTCTAGTTTCCCTTCCTAAACACACACCTCCACACCCTGCACAAAGCTCAGAGCAGAGATAATGTATTTTGTGTCTTGCCATTTGCCTCTCCTCAGTCTCTGTGTTGCAGCAATAGCTTAATTAGTTTTTCCACTTATTCCACATTCGTATAAGCACATTTTAGAAACATCACATTGATGGTAAATACACCCACATTGTGGTCAGGAAAATTTTCCTCCCTTCCCTCTCTTTATTTTTACCTTTGGGCTAGCCTCTCCTGCTGGGGCAAAATGTCCTGCTAAGTTTGATGCAGTTCATCCACAGCAAATATAGACAGTAGGTTATGTTGGGTATCCTTTTATTTTTCAGGGTAGAGGTATTTCCATATTGTTTGTGAAAGGGTGAAGGAGGCCTATAGCTTCTCTATTACCCAGATGTTCCCAGAGCTGTCCTGAGTTCACAGAGGCCCTCTGCAAATGGCCGTGTTTATTTCCTTTCTTCAAATTCTCAAACATTACCTTATTAGAGAGACTTTTTTTGACCATCCTATATAAGATAGCATGTTCACATCCTACCCTACCCCTTTGACTCTTTGACCCACTAACCGTACTTAGTATTTTTATGTAGCATAGTTTGTATTTATTTCCTACTAGAATGCATGTCCTTTGAAACAAGAACTTCCCTCATTGCTTCACCAACACCTAGAACACAGGTAGATGTTCAGTAAGTATTTATTGAATTGATGTTGAATGAAAAATTGTACTAAGTTCACTTGTTAGTTGCTGATCATTACATTGCAGTTTTTAGTCCTCAGGAAATTCAGCTATAGTCAGCACAGGTAGACCCCACCACACTCATATTCTGTGTCCAGCTTCAAGAGGCCCAGATGCCTATGTTATATTTAGGAATAAAAAATTAACCTTGTCTTACTGAATAGTCAGTGAAGTTTTTATATCTCATGTCCTTTATGTAGCTCTGCACTCTGACAGAGAAATAATAATGCATCCTAGGATGCTTTGTCTTAAACCAAGCTTAAATTATGCTTTCATTTATCCACTTAAAAATTGGCAGTTTCTGTATTCCAGGCACTCACAAAGGGATGTGGGATCCCTTATACTGGGATCCCTTATACTGTGAGCATATTAATGGGGCCATATCATTCATACTGTATAACACATACAGTATAAGGGAATCTTTACCACAGTATTACCTAACTATGAACTTATGAGTTAAGTTTACCTATTTTTCATGAAAAAGGATAGTTTGTACATTTATCTGCATCCCCTTTTACAATAAAGCTGTTTTATACTAAATTGTCCAACAGACTGTGGGCAAACTGTAAATACCAAACCAACTTGTATTTTTTTTTTTTTAAAGATTTATTATTTTATTTATTTATTTTTTATTTATTTATTCATACAGCACTGGGTACAGTCAGAAGCACGGGAGGGTGAGAGAATTCACTAGAGCCAGAACGGGGAGCAGAGCAGGCAGAAGGACCGAAGTACACTGCTGAGGGGAGCAGGGGGCGGCAGGAGAGGTCTGCGCACCATGTGGGACCCTCCTCTGGTGGCCGGGGAGCGCCGGGAATCGAACCGGCGCTGCAGAGGCTACGGGCAACTTCGCAACCCAGCGCTCAACTGCTGCACCACCGGGGAGGCCCCAAAGCAACTTGTATTCTTACCCCTGATGGGGAAAATGTAAAATAATGAGATTGATCATCAAATTATATATTAGTGGATCTTTCCTCATATTCTTTTCAGAAATGACAAAAGATCCATGGGGTCCCAGTTTTCTCTACAGGGGTATGTTAAATTATGCTCAGAGTAACCGTGGGATGAGTTATGATAGCTAATTCTGTATTATACTAGTTAATGATTTGATTCTGGTTCTGGTGCATGAAGTATTAGAAGATTTAGATTTTAGTCTCACTGTCATGTTTTAAGTCTGAAAATGGGCAAGTTGCTTAATTCTTTTGGGTCATGATTCCCTCATGTTGTTGGGGGGTAACCACAGTTACATGAAATTAGGTATATATGAAAATATTAAACATATGTAAGTTGGTAGTAATAAATCTGAGGAGAAATTCTTAGAAAATTATGATGTAAAGGATAACCTTTTCTCTCTGGAAAGAGGACTAAAAATTGTTTCCTCTGTGCCAGCTATCACTTTCAAAAATACTTTATAATTTCAAGACTAATGGTTACTATGGAGAAAAAGAGAGAATAGCATTGATTGAATCTGTAATGTTTTATTCTAGGGTGGGAAATTCAGAAGTAAGAATGATATATTTCAGAAAAGCTAAATAATGATTATACAGGTGTTTATTCTCTAAAAATTGCAGAAATACTTCATAACATTAAAAAAATTTACTGCCTTTTAACAAGCTAAATGAGTATTTCAGTTGGTATGCTTGTGTCTTAGAATCATACATAAACATTAACATCTAGTATCAGTTTATGAGTAGGTAAATAGATTTTCACATATTTAATTAGCTAGTTTTTTGCAATCAAATTTTGTTATTTTTTATTTTCACAGGTTTATAAAGTTCTGGTCTCAGTGGGCAGAAGTGAGTGGTTTGTCTTCAGGAGATATGCAGAGTTTGACAAGCTTTACAATACTGTAAGTAATAGTCAGTGTACAAGATTATTATTTAAAACAAAACACCTAAGAAAAATTCATAATATAGGTGATTTATTTAAATGATTAAATTAATACTCGTATGTACCAGACAAGCAGAACAGGGTAAGAGATTCTTCAAAAGCACCCTAACTTTGGAAGTCTTCCTCAGAAGAGTAGAAGAAAACTTTTTGACAGTTCCAAATAAACTGTTGAAGATAAAAAAAAAACAAGATGTGCTTAAACTATATTTTAATGTCATAGAACATTGGAAATATCCACCTACATCTCTAATAATGTTAATCCATTATCTTATTTCTGGTTAAATTGCCCAACTATTAGCTTTAGTTCTGAAAAGCTATCATGAATCCTCCTTCCATAGTTTCATTCTTAATTTTAGAGATAAATCTTAGGTTCCAAATTTTAAGTAGCTTGAACCCAAATGAAATGAAATGAATGTAACATAATCTGGGGATGAGAACTAAGAGATCATTATTTATTTATTTATTTATTTATTTTTAAAGATTTATTTGTATATGCATACAAGAGCTGGGGTACAGGCCAAAGATGTGGAGGGTGAGAGGATTCACCAGAGACAGAGTAGGGAACAGAATAGGCAGACTGACTGAAATACACTGCTGAGAGCAGTGGGCGAGACAGGAGAGGTCTGCTGCACCATGTGGGTTGCTCTCTGGCCGGCCAGGGATCAAACTTGTGCTGCAGAGGCTGCGGATTGCTTCATAGTGCATTGCTTAACCCCTTGCACCACCAGGGAGGCCCTCATTATTTATTTAAATAACTAAAACTTGTTTCGAAACTGAACCATCTCCTGAGTTTGTTGTTACAGACTACAGGGTAAGACATTTCTTTGTTCCAAGCTTTGCTTCAGTTAAGGAAAAAAGCAATCATGCCTCAAATCCAAATTTAAATTGCTTTTGTTCTGATAAATAGGACTCTCCTTCGTGTCATTAATGAATTGTTATTAGGTATTCTACCCCCAATTTTTATATCTAAAAATGTAATATTTTTTCAGTTTTTCTTAAACCTGTGTCTTTTTTTTTTTTTTTAAATATTAAATTTTATTTTTATATTCCCCCATACAATTGCAAACGCCCCATTCTGACCCCAATCCTTCCCCTCCCGCCCCCCACCCCCAAAAAAGTGTCTCTGGTTCATAGTTTTTTTGTTGATTTTGATTTTCACTTTCTTATATTCATTTTCCTGGTCCCTTATTTAAGTTTTCTAGATTCCTGCTATGAGTGAGACCATCCGGTATTTTTCTTTTTCTTTTTGGCTTATTTCGCTGAGCATGATCCCTTCCAGTGCCATCCATGTTGCTGCAAATTGCATGTGTTTATCTTTTTTGAATGCTGAGTAATATTCCATGGTATATATGTACCACATCTTCTTGATCCAGTCATCTATTTTTGGGCATTTGGGTTGTTTCCAAAGCTTAGCTATTGTAAACAGTGCTGCTATAAACATAGGAGTGCAGGTGCTCTTTGGAATTGATGTTTCTGTGTCCTTTGGGTAAATACCTAGGAGTGGAATTGCTGGATCATATGGAAGCTCTATGTTTAGTAGGTCCAGAAATCTCCACACAGCTCTCCATAGTGGTTGGACCAGTTTGCACTCCCACCAACAGTGCACAAGAGTTCCTTTTTCTCCACATCCTCGCCAACATTTGTTGTTGCTAGTTTTTTTAATATGTGCCATTCTCACTGGTGTGAGATGGTATCTCATGGTAGTTTTGATTTGCATTTCCCTGATTACAAGTGATGTTGAACATTTTTTCATATGTCTGTTGGCCATTTTCATTTCCTCTTCAGAGAAGTTTCTTTTTAGCTCTTCTGCCCATTTTTTGACTGGATGATTTTCTTTGTTGTTGCTGAGTCTCATCAGCTCTTTGCAGATTTTTGTGATCAGTCCTTTATCATTAGTGTTGGGTGCAAAAATGTTCTCCCAGTTGGTGGGGTTTCTCTTTGTTTTTGTTATTGTCTCTTTTGCTGTGCAGAAGCTCTTTAATTTGATGTAGTCCCAGCTGTTTATCTTTCTCTTCACTATCACTGCTTTGGGTGATGTGTCTGTAAAGATGTCTTTGATGTGCAAATCACGTAGTGTTAAACCTGTGTCTTGAGTTTAAAAAATAGCTAGCTGATATATACATCTGTGATTTATCATTGGTAATATATAAATATGGAAGAAGGTAAGCATGTCAATTAAAGGATAAATTACTTCTTAAGTGGGCCAGAATGAATTAGACATTGTCTAGCTATATAATTTCTTGTGTTTTGTTAAGTCATGAAAGTTAGTTTTCTGATTCATCATAATTTAGCATTTCAGTGTATCTATATTTGTTCCAAATAATATTCAGATACTTTGCTAATTGAAGTTGAACTTTAAAAAAAAATTATAATTTTAAATGCATTTTTTCTACATAAAATTAATGCATTCTAGAAACTGAAAAATAAAAAGAAGTAAAACTATTAATAGATTAAGCTTAAAAATTACCTGTATTAGTTGTTTTTCAGAAATAGTTATTATTTTTACTATTTTCTTCTTTTCCTTAGTTTTTCTTCAGTGCAACACATGCAACTGAATTTACTATATATAGGTTTAAATATAGCCTAATCAAGGAATAGAGGTGATCTTTTTTGTCTGTAAGTGGTCTCATTTTTTAAACAGAATAATGGTCAGTAAAATTTATAGATGATTAAATCTTCTGGTTTTTAAAAAATTCAAAAATGGCAATTATTGGACACTTGAACTGTTAGCTCTATTTGAAATTCTTGGCTATCATTATATACATAATCAACATTTTTTTGAGTATTGTACAAATCTGAGTGTATTGCTTAACCCCTTGGGTTTTACTCAGGTGAAAAACCTGGGTTTTACTCAGTTAAAAATCATGTGATGATATAACACACATATACACAATGAAGTTTTATATGCCATCTCCCTCATTTTTTGTGAATTTTGCTTCCTTTTTCTTATTTCACCCATTTCTGTGTCCCCCTCACTTCATTTAAGTCCTCCCAATTCTGCACTCTATGGTGAGGAGTAAGGAAAACAATGAAAATTGTATCAATTGTATTTTTTGAAACTACAGAAGTAAGGTTAACCCCAACTTGGAATTCTCTAGGTTTGAAAACAAAAATTCTTTCCCTGCTTTCCTGTAAAAGTCAAAAAGTAAAATGTCCAATCAGTATTTATAATTGCCAGTTTAAATATATTTTTATGACCATAGTTTGCATTTTCGAACATCTTATCATGGAAATTGTTGAACACACAGAGGTAGAGAGACTGGTACAAACAGAAAATTATATAACATATCATCCAGCATCAACAATTACTGATACATGTCTGTGCTTGTTTTATTTCTATTCCTAGCTAGCCCACTGGAATTTTGAAACAGATTTCACACATATCATTTCACTGTAAATATTTTAATATACATTTCTTAAAAAGATAAAGAGCCTTAACATACACACACACACACACACACACACACACACGATACCATATATCAAGTAATAAATTAACAAGAATGTCATAATATCACATATTCAGTTAGTATTTACATGACTGATTGATAAACTGATTTAAGTGTCTTTTAATCATTAAGTTTCCCCACCACCTTGCTTTTCTTTCTTTTTACAGTTTTTGTGTAAAAACAGGGTCATTGTCTACAGAGTTTTCAATCTGGAATTTGCTGGCAGCTTGTGCATGATATAGCATGATTAGTACTTTCTCCTAGTCTTTGTATTTCCTGTCATTTGGTAGTTAGATATGTAGTTTGTATGTGGATATTTTTGATACAAACTTATAATAAAAATAACCTGTTGTAATAACTACTGCCCCAAATTTAATTTCTTCAGGCCATGTTTTTGATTGGCTGGGGATAAGCAAATCTGATAAACAAATGTATTTGAATTATTAATGGGGGAAGGCTAGTGTAACAGTTATTGAAAACAAAATTCTTTAGCTTTTTAAGAGAGCTATTGTCAATCTATTCATATAAAAAAATCCAAAGACCACTCTTCTCCCTGGGGTAATAAATGGTGAGTAGCATGAATTCAAAACTTTCACTCCAGGTTCTAGTTGAGTCAGTTAACGTAAGATTTCCTTTATACCTCACAACAGATTTGTAAGATAAGTGCTAAAAGTGTCTTGTATGAACAACTAAGGCACAGAGATATTAAGTAATTTCAGGACACAAAAATACTAAGTGTTTTAGTAGAACAAATGTGGCATTTTATTGGGATCATCAAATACTGTACTTTTGATCATAATAATATTTTAAAGTATTTGTTAAATGTGTTTTAAAATTCAGATTAAACTTCGTTTTATAAATGCATCACTGGAAGATTTATAAAATTAAATTAATACGATTTTTCTTTAATTCTAGCTGAAAAAACAGTTTCCTGCTATGGCTCTTAAGATTCCAGCCAAGAGAATATTTGGTGATAATTTTGATCCAGGTAAGCAATAACTTCATAGACCAACCCTGCAGACTGAAATTTGAACATGTCATTGCACTATATGGTAGTGCAGACTTTAGAAAACTACTTGATCTCCTAAAAATACCTCAGGAACATATATGCTGTGTGTCAGGCATTGTTTTAAGCACTTTACATGTTTCAGTTTACTCAGTCCTCACAGCAACCCTGTAGGATAGCAGCAGCAGCACCATTTTATAGATTAAGAAACTGAGTCACAACTAGGTTAATTAATTTGCCTAGCATCACACATAGCTAGTAAATCACAGATTTAGAAATTAAATTAGGTGTGCCTAATTAGATGAAGTCAATTGTTTAAATTTGTCTCCTATAAGAATCTGATCTTATTGAGGATAGATACCATGTCTTACTTAAACCTTTTTTTGTACTTTCAGTATGAAGTGTATAATAGATAATTAGTGAACTAATAATGAATGTAAACATGTCATTTTCAGCTTAGTCATTTATTTTGCAAAGACTACTTAATATGAAGTTAAAGGTTTTAAATATCATTTACATAACTTAAAAATTTTACAGAGTTGAGGTTTCTGAATTTAATACATTAATTTTGTTAACTGGTCTTACTTTATAGATATCTAATCCTATACCCTACTTGAAAAATGAAAGAAAAGAGTTTATAAAGCCATCCAGTGGTATAGGCGATACTGATAATTACATCTTAGACTCTAACTCCACTGATATTTCACTGTAGCAGCCTGGTATTTTGTTGTATTTTAATATTGCTATTGTTAATATTATAATACCATTGTACTATTATTATTATGTACTATAATTATTGTTACAATAATAATAGCAATTATAGTAACTTTGCTATTTGAGTTCATAATTTGAATGTAGCTTCTTTTTACCTCTATTTTCATACATGTGAAAAGTAGGGACTTAGCAAGGCTAAGTCACTCTCCCAAGTCACACAGCTGTATGTGGCAGGATCTCCAGGTTTGTTTGTCTCTAAAGTTCATTCTCTTAGCTCTTTACCATCTGACTTGTGTGTGGTATCTTAAAAAAATCATCCTTCACGTGCATTTTATTTTAAAATTACTTTTTTGGAACAGTAAAAAAAAAAAACCTTTATCCTATTTCCTAATCTAAAATATGGGTTAAAACTAAAGGATCTCTATAGGCGAAACACTGTGTGATATGCACATCAAAGACATCTTTACAGACACATCACCCAAAGCAGTGATAGTGAAAGCAAAGATAAACAGCTGGGACTACATTAAAGAGCTTCTGCACAGCAAAAGAGACAATAACAAAAACAAAGAGAAACCCCACCAACTGGGAGAACATTTTTGCACACAACACTAATGATAAAGGACTGATCACAAAAATCTGCAAAGAGCTGATGAGACTCAACAAAAACAAAGAAAATAATCCAGTCAAAAAATGGGCAGAAGAGCTAAAAAGAAACTTCTCTGAAGAGGAAATGCAAATGGCCAACAGGCATATGAAAAAATGTTCAACATCGCTTATAATCAGGGAAATGCAAATCAAAACTACAATGAGGTACCATCTTACACCAGTGAGAATGGCACATATTAAAAAAACTAGCAACAAATATTGGTGAGGTTGTAGAAAAAAAGGAACTCTCCTGCACTGCTGGTGGGAGTGCAAATTGGTCCAACCACTATGGAGAGCTGTGTGATTTCTTGACCTACTAAACATAGAGCTTCCATATGATCCAGCAATTCCACTCGTAGGTATTTACCCAAAGGACACAGAAACATCAATTCCAAAGAGCACCTGCACCCCTATGTTTATAGCAGCACTATTTACAATAGCTAAGCTTTGGAAACAGCCCAAATGCCCAAAAATAGATGACTGGATCAAGAAGATGTGGTACATATACACCATGGAATATTACTCAGCATTCAAAAAAGATAAACACACGCAATTTGCAGCAACATGGATGGAGCTAGAAGGGATCATGCTCGGCAAAATAAGCCAGAAAGAAAAAGAAAAATACCGGATGGTCTCACTCATAGCAGGAATCTAGAAAACTTAAATAAGGGACCAGGAAAAAGAATAACTATAAGAAAGAAAATAACAAAATCAACAAACAGCTATGAACTAGAGACACTCTATGGCGGGTGGGGGGTGGCGAAAGGAGGGCTTGGGGTCAAAATAAGGGGGTTGTAATTGTATGGGGAATATAAAAAATAAAATTTAAAAAAGAAATAAAAAAAAAAGACACTAAGGGATCTCTGATCCCTGCAGGCTCTAAATGCCCCTTGATTATTATTATAATTGGGATGTTCTGATTATAGTAACAGTGTAAGGTCTAAAACCCACATCTCCCTAAGTCAGAGTGTGGTGATTTTTTTCTCCTAGCCCACAATATGAAGGTTGTTTCCTTTTGGGATTTTTCTTGAAGCAGTGAAATAGAATAATTTATTTAGGTTAGTTTAATACTTTTACTGGAGACTAGAGCTTTCATTTTGTTACCTAGTAAGCATTCTTTTGAATCTCTAATTGAAATTGCTTTTGAATTACGACAGTTATATTCAGATTAAGTTCTTCATTGAGGAAATTTTAAAAATATGTATCTCCAACTATAGGTCTTAAAGATACTATGTCAACCTTGTATAAGTTCTTAGAACTTTAATAGAGTGATACGCATTTTGGTCTTACCTGGAATTTTTCCCAGATATTTGATGGCTTAATATTTTTCAAAAAATTAAGCTTGGAATTGTTCCAAAATTCCAACTACTTCTTGTTTTATTCTCACCTTTCTTTCTTATATAGGAGTTTCCATTGGACTTTCAAAACTGTTTAAAGTCAGTAATGAAATGGAAAGTCTAGTAGCTTTTAAAGCAGCACAGGCTGTATCTCTCTGGGGAAAGGAAATTATGCTCTTTTCACAGTCGATCTCTCAGTATAAAATGTACCTTCAGTAAGTATCCACAGGACAATTTAAAGCATCCATGTAATTGTTAGATTTTCTTTAAATATCCCAAATGCAACCCTTCATTTTAGTTCCCTCTCCTATATTACTTAATAAATACAGTTCTTAAACTATAACTGCTAAGTATAGTTATTAGTAATGTAAACCCCATGTATGGTTTACTCTCTGGTGACATAGACCAGATATAACTTACATTTGTTCATTTATAGCTATATCTTACACTTAAGAAATAGAAATAAAAAACTCACATTTTGGTTAAAAAAAAAAACAAACCACTATACATTAAAATTGTTACTGAACAGAAATAATTTCACTAACCAAAACTCAAAGTTAGATAAACTACTTAATCTTATTGTTTATAGGTTTCTCTGGAGACAATGACCGTTTTATGAGATGTTTTCTATAATCTTTGATTTCTCCACTTTTGAAAGAATATTGCTTATGAGTTAGGGTTTAGGATAATGGTTTTTTGACCCAACAAGTACAAGTCATATTAATAGCAACAAAAATAGTAACAGCTAAGGGTTGTGCGTTTTCTACCAGGTATTATATAAACTTACATGCATTATTTCATTTATACTACAGTAGCATAATGAGGCATAGGTATTGTTACTATTCCCATTTTGCAAGTAACAATTTAAATCTTGGAAAAATTCAAGATCACTTTTGTAGTAACAGAGATAAGACATTTGTATGAAGTTTTGTAATTCTTAGAAACCTTCGTGCTTAACCTTTTGCTAAACTGCTCTTATTTGAACCTCAAGTATCAACACTCAAAACACGTTGAACATGGGGAAATTGTTAGGGAATGTGTTCCATGACCTTTTTCAAGGGGTTGTTAAACAGAGGGAGTTTTTCAGCAGGAGAGTGTTGGTGATTAGACAGCCAGTTATTCACCATTCTCCAGTTGCAAGAATTTCTAATAATTATTTTTTTTAATTAGTCTGATTTCCAGTGTCATAGTGTAAGTTTTTATTCATTACCTGGCAGTATATGAGGATTGGAAAAAAACAAATACCTCTCCAAGTTTTGTGATTCGTCTATTTAGGACCTAAAATAGGCTTATAGTTTTTTTTTTAAGAATTTTCTTTTGAGTAGTATGTTATCAGCTTTATTCTTTTTTTTTTTATTACTGCATTTATAGATTTTAAAATATATATCTGAGTATTACTTATTGTATGTCAGATATGAATTAGGAAATAACTCCTTCTATTCTTACATAGCTATTGATATTCACATAGTCTGACAAATAAATCTAATAGCTTATGTCTCTCAACAGATTTTATTAAACAAAGAAGAGCAGGACTGAATGAGTTCATTCAGAATTTAGTTAGACATCCAGAGCTTTATAACCAGTAAGTAATTTTCTTTATGTTCTAAAGAGGCACTGAAACCAAACTTAGTGTACTGAATAAGCTGTTGATACAGATCGTTTATCTTCTGTGGAATGTTACTGTTTGTCAAAATTTGTGATGTTTATAAAATTTTCTTCTTTAAATTCTTCTTTAAATTTTCTTCTTTTCTTCTTTAAATTTCTTCTTTAATTTCTTTAAATTCTGCCTTCTAGAGGTATAAGTCTAGTGGGCCTTCCAGAGGTCTCCAGACATTTTAACTAGCAATTGAAAACAGGAAAGTTTTTATAATAGAGATGCTAAGAGAGAACAAAGAAAAATGTGGCCTGCTTTTCTTGGGGAGATCAAGGAAGGCTTCCTGGGACTTAGAGACTGTGTAGTTGTTTGAGAATAAGAAAGGTAGGAAGGGCATTCCAGGCAAAGGGTACAGTACATGTAACAGGCTACAGAAAGCCAGAAATATTCAGGACACTTAACAGCCTTTCATGGTGACTGCAACACAGTAGGCTTTCAGAAGGGAGACAGGGCTGAAGGAGTTGGCAAGGATCTGGCATGTGCACCACTACTTCTGGTTCCACATGGGGCATCAACCCAGACAAGCACTGTCCTTCTCTTCACAGCATTTTTCTAGATAGCCGCTTATAAAGGCACTTTTCAAGTCCTATGTGTGTCTTGTGCTGATGAGTTTAAATGAACATCCTTCTGTAGGCCAACAGCTGCCAGTGAAGGCAGAAAGGTGGGTCATTTTCACAAATATTTAAGAACATACAGGTTGATCCCTGGCTTGGGATGTGTTTTCATTTTTGAGACTGGTATTTGGTACATGAAAAATAATCTTTTTTATTGTGATTTTTGTATATGTTGCTTACATTGTTTTATATGTTTAAGTATTATGTTCTAAGAAGAAATGAAGAAATAAAGTATCTGGGGAGCTTTCCATAGCTCACCTATCTATGTAAATATAAAGGTTGCCTTATGGACAGTGATGCAAACATTTTATTTTATTTTTTTAAAGATTTATTTATTTACATACAAGAACTGGGGTACAGGCAAGAGGTATGGGGGGGGGGTGAGAGGATTCACCAGAAACAGAGTGGGGAACAGAACAGGTAGATTGACTGCTGAGGGGCGCAGCGGGCAAGTCAGGAGCGGTCTGCTGCGCCATGTGGGTTGCTCCCCGGCTGGCCCGGGGATTGAATTCTTGCTACATTGGCTGTGGATAGCTTCATAGGTTGTGTCTTAACCCCTGTGCCACCAGGGAGGCCTGCAAACATGACATTTTAGTAGTCTTTTTCAGATCATAAAACTGAAAAACTATTTTTAGCGTTTGTCCTAAACAAGGATTCCTATTGTGTAAGTTTTTACCAGGTCTTCTACTGTTCTGAGCAGACTTTTTTAAAATTTTCTTGATTTACTAAATCACTAAAATACTGGAATTGGACTTTCTCTGACCTTGTTCTTCTGCTCAGTGCATTGGATTTCCCCTGATGTGCATTGATTATGGCACCGGGAGATCCAGCACCTGGGATCAGCCACTGAGGGAGGGTGGGTGTTGTGATCATTTCACAACAGATACAAATATCAAAACGTTACACACTTAATTTATAATATTATATGTTTATTATGTTTCCGTTTTTAAAAGAAGGGAAAAAGTGATTTGGGTAGGAGGTAGCTTCCTCAGGATTGTCATTCCTCTCTGCAAGACTACTCTTTTGTTTTAACCCATTTTTATCTCCATCTTCAATCACATGTTCATTTCTCCTTACCCATTTCATGAAGATCACTTTAGCATGTTTGTTATATGTTGGTGGATATTGTTTGACGGTTGCTTTGTGTAATGGTACTGTGCTATAATCCCTCTTTCAGGCTGCTAACTGTAATTCTCTGGAGACAGTTACTATAGCTTCCTTGCTCACCTCGCTCGTGATAAATGACTCTTTTGCTTTTGATTAACCTACTCTACAGAACGTTGCAATGAATATCCTAGTTACATGTGCTTCACTGAACCTGTACAGAATTTCCTTATGTGGCTTATTCCTAAAGCTGGAATTTCTGGGCCCAGGGAGAATGCATATACAGTTGTACAAGTATTGTCAGATTGCTTTTCAGAAAAGTTGACTCATTTTACATTCTCATCAACAATATATGAGGATCAATCTCCCTGTGTCTCTACCAATATTTTGTACCAATTTTTGCCAGCTAGTAGACATAAAATGATATCTTATTGTTTTGTGCTTTTCTGATTTATTAGCCATCTTTATATAAATTTCCTTACTATTTGGGTTTTCTTTTCTGTGAACTGCCTGTTTAGAGCATTGCCCATCTGTCTGTTGGATTCCCTATATATAAAAATTAATTTGCATATTCCTGTTATAATCATAAATATTAAGGGTTTGGTTAGACTTTCTTGCTATAAGTGTTACCATAGTTACTTTTATTTTAGTTTTACAAGGGAGAAAAGCTGTAGAAATGCAAAGTCATAATAAAGTTAATTTTTGTTTTTAGTCCAGATGTCAGAGCATTCCTTCAAATGGACAGTCCAAAACATCAGTCAGATCCATCTGAAGATGAGGATGAAAGAAATACTCAGAAGGTAGCAGGATTGTGGTTTTTTAACAGAAAATACCATTCCCCAAAGATGAAATTATAGGACTTTTACTTAAAATGGAGTAATTTCATCCATTGTAAATTTTCTGCCCTGTAGAATATATAAAAACAAATGTGTTCACCTCTTACAGATCACTATTCTTCTAAAGTTTATAGAATGATGCTTTTATAAGTTGCACATGTTGATTAAAATTCTGAAAGTACTATTACCCATAGTTAATCACTAATCAGGCATATTAAATTTTATCATCTTACTGATTTTCTTTCTAATCTTCTCTTAATATACAAGAATATTTTAATTATCTAATTTTAATGTTATAGTGTATACAGTTTTATATTTTGCTTTCTTCACTTTATATCTTATTTTTTGATCCTTATAAATCTTTATCATGACCATACTTGAAACCATGGTTTGAATTTTGGCCAGCTGGGAGGAAGGCCTTTTCAAATTACATACCTCTTCCCTTCTTTGTTAGGTTTTTATGTGTAGTGCAATCCATACACATGCCAGTTGGCATCAGCTAACTTTTATTGCTATAGATACGTGCACATAATTAATTTGGATTCCAAGTAAACTTAGGATTTGCTTATTTTTTTTTATTAATTGTGATAACATTAATATAGTAAGCTTATGTCTTATGAGGCTATTTTCAGCATTTACTTTAGAAAGTTATGTGGAATTGGTAAATTAGAATAATTTAACTCAGGATTATTATGTAACAATTATAACTATAAATGTCATTTAAATATGATAATACCGTTACTATTTAAATTTGATTGTAACTCTTGTTAATGTATGCATAACAATCAAGAATGTTTGTCTGAAGAATATCACATACTCTTTATAATGTCTTTCAATTTTTGTGACTGAAAAGATAATTTTATGAGTTGGAATGCTTATGTCCCGTAGCTAAAATCTTCATGTGGAAAATAGGCATGTTCCTTTTCCCTGACTACTAAAAAGTAGTAGTTTCTTTCTCTGACATTCCAAGAGCATTCTCAGTTAAGAGAACAGATTTATCTTCTGCATCTCTGACATGATTGCTCCTAGGACAATGTAAAAGGATATTTTAATTTTATATCTGTGCAATTGGCCAGTCAACCAAAAAAAATATAACAAATACAGCATAAGAAGGAATAACATCTGTGTAAAAAGCTTATACAGTTTTTGAAAAGAATATTTAGATCTTAATAAATAAATGGAAAGGGGCACAAGAAAATACTCCTATTAAACAGATATATAGGAAAGTGTTCAACCTTGATGCCAATAGAAAATGAAATTTTAAGTGAGTTTTTGCCCTCTACCAAATTAACAAAAGTGTAAAGTAAATAAAATACTGCAGGACTCATAAGGGTAAGGAACAGTGAGAATCCTTTGACATTACTTGTGGTGGTACAATTTAAGTGTGCAACTCTTTTGGAAAGCAATTTGGCAACATGTATCAGACATGAAAATATTTGTGTCCCTTAAGGAGTTGATACAAATGAAATTAATCCTTCAGATGAAAAAAATCCAAAGATATTCATTTTAGTATGATTTTTAATGAAAAATTAGAATCAGATATTCCTCAATCAAATTGTATTTGTCTGCACATATTGTGAATTTCAAAACATTTTAAAGATGATAATATTCTATGTTTTGACATATTACTAGATGAAATCAGGGTATAAAATTTTATATATGTATTTGTACAATGTGGTTAGAGTCCATTTTTAAAAGTTATGCAAAAATCATATCAAGTTAGTGTAATTATTTTTTAAATCATCTGTTGGCAGATGATTTTATGTATTTTACTTAAAATATTTTTTTTTTTTTTTTAAATTTTTTTTTTTTTTTTTTATAGAGGCATGTTTTATTTATTTATTATTTGTTTGTTTGTTTTATTTATACATGCACTGGGTACAGTCAGAAGCGTGGGAGGGTGAGAGAATTCACCAGAGCCAGAGCGGGGAGCAGAGCAGGCAGAAGGACTGAAGTACACTGCTGAGGGGAGCAGCGGGCGGCAGGAGAGGTCTGCGCGCCATGTGGGACCCTCCTCCGGTGGCCGGGGAGCAGCCGGGGATTGAACCGGCGCTGCAGAGGCTGCGGGCAGCTTCGCAACCCAGCGCTCAACCGCTGCGCCACCGGGGAGGCCCCTTAAAATATTTTTAAGTATTCTTTAAGTATTCTTAATCTTTTCATATTTTAGTTGTAAAAGATGAAACTATTAAAATTTTTACTTTTTTCTCAAACTATTGATTTGCCAGTACATTTACATATTCAAAAACAAGTTAGAAGAATAAAATCTACAAACTCATGATTCTACATGTTTTGCTTGCTAATCAAGAGTATGTCGAGAGTATGTAGATTTAGGTCATTTACACACTATCTTGACTTGCTATAGGAAGGAAACAGCTGGTTTTGAAGAGAGAACTAAACTGAGAGGGATTCCTAAATTCTGGCTCCTATTCTACCACTGTTGGCTTTAAATCTGAATTTTATTCCTCTTTCCTTTTTTCATCCATAAAATCTGGAACTTGAATTAGGCTCACTTGTAGTTTTAGAATAATGATGAAAAGATTATCTTCAAAACAAGCAGAGAACACCAATTATTTCATCATATATTGTAACTATTTATTAAGGACTTTTATGTGGATAACTGAGGTTAATAGCCAGAAAATACCGTAGATGGCATCTGGACCTATCCCCATATTTATAGAGAAGAAAAATAAAGGCCATGAGATGTCATGAAACAGACACCCTTGATTAGCATTCATTCTGTTAATAAATTGTAGCTCACCCTCAGTTTAGTGATTAGATGTAATCTTTTTAAAAATAGTAGGTGGAGTAAAAAGTTACCTAATTATATATCCCAGTAATTTTCATTATTTTTTCAGAAATGTGCCCATAGGAAAATCATTGCTGAGTAATAGAAACTTACTATACATTAATTAAAGGCACAAGTTGTCTTTATTGTGTAATCTATGCTTGTTTAATTGTCTTCCCTCATCTATATAAGAAAAGTTCCCTGAAGGGAAAGCTACTCTACTTTTCCACACATTCATTAAAAGAGTATTATAGAAATTATAGCTTAATGATTTACATTATCAGATCCAAAGAGCACTGTAATATTTTAAGAGTATTCCATGTTATGGTTATGCTACAACAGGACACCTCATTTAATAAATCAGCATTTATATGTTTTTAAGTATCAGATAAGTTTAAGGCATATGTCTCTAATAAGAAATGACTTTGATAAAAATTTTTATCCTGTTTAACTGTTGGAGGAGAAAAATCTCAAATTTTATTGCCACAGTGCTGGAATTAGAACAGAAACTCTTTTGTCTGTATGTTTTAGTTTTAGAAATATGTTTACCTACTATCACATTAACACTCTTGGTCTAATATTTGCAGTCTTCCTCATTATGATTAATTTCTTTTCTTAATAAGCTATTTGAAAATAAGAAAAAAATTTAACAAATATTTTAAATTTTAGTTTCAATATCCACCTCTTTCAAGGAGCCTTCCCAATTTGCTTTGTTCATTTGTCAACTTTGAGCTACATTTCTGCATTATTACCATTTTCCTTACAACTGTTCTTGAAACTTGTAAGAATGATTGTCTCATATTTACTATGTATTTTCCCAAGTAAGCATATACATTTAAGAATTTGGATTTTAGGTTTCTTTAACATGGCAAAATATCTACAATAAAATTATGTATTACTTGTTTCAAAAACATTCATTGACTGATAACCTTTGAAGTTCCAATAAGATTACTGCTTTTTTTTTTTTCCCAATCCCAACAGTTACACTCTACCTCACAGAACATCAACCTGGGACCATCTGGAAATCCTCAGTAGGTTTAATTTGTCTCAAACAGTCTCTAACTAAACTTAGAAAGATCCTTTTTTGAAATTTGCAGTTATATATAATTAAACCAATTTAACTGAACAGCTATGAAATATAACCATAGTTACAGTGACTACGGTACTGTCGTATGCTTACCTAAATTACTGCTCTAGCTTCTCTTTAGTGAAGCTCTGAGGATCTTTTAATCCATGGATTATTACCTGGGTTCTATTATTTTGCCATTGTCACTTTTCTAGGATGTGCATGTATGTATGTGTTTGTGATGTAAGTAGACCATGCTTCCCCGAGGACCATAGGTCCTGGGAGATACTCTGACAACAGCATCTGTGCAGGTCTTATTGATAAATTCTCCTGGGTACTCAGTATCACTGTACAACTCTAACCCTTAAGTCAGCTTGTTCCAGAGTAGTCACAGTGTACATTAGCATGTTAGAAGCTTTAAACTTTCTTTATTCAATCTTTCCCATAGTCCCTTATTTATTTGAACACAGGGAAACTTTTTAAGGAACACCTGGAGTAGTAAATACAGACTTTGTGCACACTCTGACTGCAAACTCTGGCAAGTCATTAGAAGTGAATTCCTAGAATACTAACTACAAAGAAAGATTCCAAGTCTACTTCTTGGATTAGTTTAACAATTGCCCTTTACAGATAGTGAAGTTTGCCATGGATTGAAGGAGGAGAAGTATGTTGGTTATCCCTACTTTTAATTATCCTTACAGTCTTTTCCATTTAATTCTAAAATAGTCTATCATTTATCCCAGGACCCTATGCTTCCCTCATCCTTTTAGACCAGTTAGAGAATGATTATAGGTAGCTAAGAGTTGGTCCAAGGATTGTATCTTCAGATACTTCAGCATTATAATAAGTTCAGGGAGGACCAATAATGGAGACATAAGAAGAGTAATTAGTATGAGAAGAGGAAAACTAGAAATATGATGTCATGAAATCAGATGAAGAAAATAGATGGAGAGTAATTAACATTCTTAAGTTGCGAATAGGGCAAGTAAGATGAAGATTGAAATTGACCATAACTTTGAGAAGTGATTGGTGATCTTTACGAACATTTTCAATGATGTGGTGGGAACAAGACCCTGATAGAAAAGGATTCAAGAGAGAATTGTCGATAGAAGAGAAAGCAACAGGCATAGACAGTAAATTTAGATAACTTACTTGAGTTTCACTCCAAAGGAAGGCACAGAATTGGATAGTAGCTGGAAGAGGAAATTGATTTTGAATTCTCTTTTTGGTCTTCTTAGCATTAAGTTGGTCAGGCAGCTCAAAAACTGAAACGTACTTTCAGTTAGAGTTCATCACCAATAGTTCACGGTAAAGCCTTGGGTATGCCTTGGTTAGCCCATTTACTGTGTTTGAGAAATTTGCATCTTTTTTCATGATTATATTTGTTTAAAAAATTATTTCAGTATCTTAACATACCATTAGAGAAAAAAATAATCCAAAGACCAGGGTATTGAAAAAGCAAAACATCTATGCTTAGTTAAGTATTTATCTGCCTAATCTTTAACTGTTACATTTTAACCAGACTTGTGTTACTCTCAAGTTTGAATTGACTGTTTCTTTTGATAATGAATTGAAGGAAATTAAAATCTAACTGGGGTTATTCCCTTTTCCTTGTAAAATTTAGGAATACACACTATATTGAGGAAAATATCTCTTATGACTGCTTAAACAAAGTTTTCTGTTGCTTGTGCTTTTGTATATATACAGCTAATGTTTTTATTGGATAGGTTAATATAAAAAGATAATCTGACTATTCTTTTTGGCTTCTTTACTCCTGCCTTTCCCACATCACCAGCTATTAGAATCAGCAAAGAGGTCTTTTGTCTGTAATTTCCAATAAATGATACGTATGCAAAACTCTGTGATGACTTTTCTCCATCAGGAGTTTCTCTTAGTGACTTTATTACATGTTCCAGCCAGTAACTGTCTCTTCACATGAATAGCCAAAGTAGATAATCCTTGGAATAGATCACTAATTAATATAGTTATGCAGTTCCTCATTAACAACAGTAGTGAGGGTTTGGGTTGATACAGTTGGTTTAGATGGAATCTCCATTGAATTCAAAGAAGTACATACATACACATGTATGTGTGCGTGTGTGCTTGTATATGTATATATACTTTTCTCACAGATGCTTTATTGAAGTCCCTCTGAGCAGAATTTAATGAGGTGTACATAACCATGTATCTCAGCTAATCAGAAAGTAGGTATTATTACTATTCACTATTACCTATTTCATATTAAAGATGAGGTATTGCCAGCTGAAGTCATCATGCTAACGTGTTTTGTACCCAACTTTTATTTATTAAAGAGTGAGATGCTTAGAACTGTTTAGAAGTTAACATCTTTCTAATTTCTAAGAGGTTAATTCTTACCATTGTTAATTTATTTCAGTGCTAAACCAACAGACTTTGATTTCTTAAAAGTTATTGGGAAAGGCAGCTTTGGCAAGGTAAGAGTGTTTATATTTTCTCATTTAGTAAATAAGTAAATATATGTGAGGTTACAGGGCTTGCTGGTATCAGGATATAGAGTTGAGATGGTTTCTGTATGTTTAGAATTCTAACAAAATAAGGAGATAAAGCATCTACTTAAATTCTAATATAAAATTCATTTATTCAGCAAGTATTTGTTGAGCCCCTACAATGTGCCAAGCACTGTTCTAGGCCCTTGTTAGATTAGTAGTGAACAAAACTGAATGGTTACTGTCTTTGAGATGCTTACAACCTAGGGATGAAGTAGTTTATTGAAAATATTCAGTCAGGGGCCTCCCTGGTGGTGCAGGCAGTTGAGCGCAGTGCTGTGAAGCTGTCTGCAGCCTCTGCAGCGCCGGGTCAATCCCCGCTGGCCTCGGAGCAACCCACATGGTGAGCAGACCTCTCCTGTCATGCCCTCTGCTCCCCTCAGCAGTGTGTTTCGTCAGTCTGACAGAGCTCCCCGCTCTGTCTCTGGTGAATCCTCTCACCCTCCCGCGCATCTGGCCTGTGCCCCAGCTCTTGTATAAATAAAATAAATCTTTAAAAAAAATAAAAATAAAATATTCAGTCAGATAAATAATTACAAGTAGTAATGGGGCTGTGAATGAAAAGAACATAGGGTGAATGACAGAGGATAATAGGCAATGGGGGGCACAATCTTTAAATGCATTCATCAAGAGTGGCTTATTTAAAGAGATGCTGTTAAGCTGAGCTAAAAAGACAAAAAATGAGCAGCTGTTGGGGAAGGAAAGAAATGTAATGACTGTGCTTCTCATATGTTGGTTGTCAAGTGATTCACATAACTTTACCCTGTGACTGTACCAAGGAATAATCACTGAAGGCTTCAAGCTTCATAGATAGTATTTTCAGAATCATTAAATATATGTAAGTCCACTTTCATATAATACATCAAAACAACAGTAAAAATATGTGTGTTTAATTGTAATTTGCTATTTCCGTAGCTTTTGATGTCTCTGGTTTTTTTCTGAGTTTCCTAGAGACCCCAAACTGTCCAAATACTTAAATCCATGTGTGTTTATTAATCTAGCAAATACAAATTGACTATCTGTTCCCTGGGGAGCATGGTGTTAATATAAGCAATAGGAAGTTAGAATTGGATCTTGTTCTCAAAATGCTTATAGTTTGTTGGAATATTAGAAATAGCTTATTACTTAAAAAAAAAAGTTATCTTTTGGAAATTTCATGCTTAGAATAGGGTCCACTAGGAATATACAGATCTTCCTAAACTTAGAAAGAGAGGATGCATACCAGTAAATCCATTATAAATTCCAGCTATCCTAAGTTGAAAATGCAGCTAACCTAACAAACATCATATAGCCTGTCATGCCTTTAACATGCTCAGAGTGCTTGCATTAACATACAGAGATGGAATCACCATGTATAGCTTAGCTAACAAAGCCTATTTTATAATAAAATATTGACTGTCTCATGTATTGCATGTGTATTGCTTTCACACCATCATAAAGTCAAAAAATTTTAAGTTCAACTATGATAAATTGGGAACTGCACATAATGTGAGGTATAGATAAGGTGATAGTTCATTTTCCCCCCAGTGATTATGTAACTAGTCTCACACAATTAATGGCAAAGACTACTCTTGCCCCAGAGATCTAAATTTTACATTTTGTTTCAGAAGTCTGTCTCCTTGTACCAAAACAACACAAGTGTATTCAAGAAGGGTTGCTTGTCCACAATACCGCATCACATTTAGTTGTCATGTTTCCTTAAGCTACTTGTGACTGTGACAGTTTCTTAGACTTTGCTTGCTTTTTAGGATCTTGATGGTTTGGGGGAATGCTGGTTAGGTGTACTGTAAGATACCCCTCTGTTGGAATTTGTCTGATATTTTTCTCATCATAAAACTGGTGTTATAGATCTTGCGAGGGAAGCCACACATGTTCTGGAAAGTAAGGCCCAGCAGTGTCACTATTGCTGTGTCATGTTATCTCAAGAAGCTTTATATCATTTTATAGTTATTACAACTTGTGGGGCATCTTGAATCCCTTAAAATTATTTGCAAAACCTTGAGCGTGTATACCTTTTTCTGGAGCAAGATCCTCTAAGTTTCTTCAGATGCTTGAAAATGCCACCCAGTCTGTAATAGAAATTCAGCTAAGCTATACATGGTGCTTCCATCTCTGAACTCTGAAATTGAAACTTGAATAGAAACTTAAATGTTAAAACAGAATACATTTTGATCACCTAGAAACCATTTCTTTTTCTTTTTTTTGTAGCATGAAGTATATAGCCTCAGTATTTTCTAAGGACACTCTTCAGGATTCATGAACACGCATGAACACACCTATACACACACATGTGCACACAATGTTTCTATGCCATGTAGATTTTGGCACTTAAATTGGGTAATTACCTCAGAACATGATCACATTAAGTGACAAAAAACTGCTGCCTGGCTATTCAAATGATCAATATACTTTTTTGTTCTGTAAAAATATCTAAGGAAAAGTGGAGTTACCGAAATAAATTCAATAGTTTAACATTTCAAGACAAATATATATCATCTAGTCCCTTTTGGGCTTTATTTTCACATAACTTAAGTTTTGATTTACTGACAATGATTCTTATCAAAAGAATGAAATTTCTAACAGCATGCACAATCTATATAACAGGTTCTTCTTGCAAAACGGAAACTGGATGGAAAATTTTATGCTGTTAAAGTGTTACAGAAAAAAATAGTTCTCAACAGAAAAGAGGTAAAATAAAATCGCTTCATTTCTCCTAATTCTGCTTTCTTAACAGTGTTGTTGTTTACTATATAATACAAGTTGATCCTTTACCTTTTTTTTAAACAGCAAAAACATATTATGGCTGAACGTAATGTGCTCTTGAAAAATGTGAAACATCCATTTTTGGTTGGATTACATTATTCTTTCCAAACAACTGAAAAACTTTATTTTGTTCTGGATTTTGTTAATGGAGGGGAGGTGAGTTTTATAATTAATTTTCTAATACTGATAATGTTTTTAAAAAGTAAAATAAGGTTAAAATGATTCCTTTCCTTGTAAGTTTTAGAATTACAGCCAGCATCAACAGCTATTGTTGAGTAGCAAGAACCAAGGGCTGGTAAAGCACAATGCAAGATATGGAGAAGTATAATCACACAAAGTTCTCAGGCAGGTTATGATGTAGGTGGGAAGGTTCATACAGACTCCATGGGGAGCTTTGTCATTGAACTATATAGCAAAAATAATACACAGAAACATTTGAAGGAAATGTGATTTGTAATTTAGATAATTACTGTTTCAATAGTTGCATATAAATACTACACTAGCCTGTGATCTTCTAAAGTGTGCAAGCTATTAATCAGATGAGATAATCCTCTAATAAAGGGTTATGTGGTGATGTCAGTTTGGAAAATGTTTCATGTTGTATCCCCTTGGTGATTAACAGTGTTTCTCTGTGAGTTGTGGTATGTTCCGGCATGTTAAAGACTTTGAGAAATTCTGCCCTAAACAAAGCTAAGATTTCTTTTAAAATACATTTTTTAACCACATGGTTTCCTTTTTTGTTTGAACCAAATCTATTAATAATAATCTGAAATCAGGAGGCATATCTTGGAATACTTTTTAGAAAATGTTGCTATTCTAATAATTACAGTAATAACTAACATATATTGAATGATTACCCTTATGTGCCCAGCCTTTTGGCTTTTTGTACTTTATATTTCATTTTTACTTTTTGTATTTACAACAGTCCTATTACATAAAACAAACTGAGGCAGAGAGAAGCTCAGTAACTTGTTCAGGTCATGTTGTTAGTAACTATTGGAGCCAGAAATTGAACTCAAGAATTCTGATTGCATGATCTACACTACTGATCATCCTTATTCATAACTCTGCTTCTCAGTCCTCATACCATTCTAATTTGTTTAATCTCTGATCTGTGAATGTCTTCAAAAATTATTTCAGTTGTTAGATATTGTCATATGTTTACAGAGAACTTTACATCCCCAAATCCAGAGCAAAGATAGAAAAAGAACATTTTAACCTCACTATAGTCGACCTATCTGTAGAATAAGGGAACTAGAAGGGAAAACAAAATCTATTCTGCAAACCTAAAAGATGGTGATGGGAAAGGGCATAAAAAGAATCATTATTCAATACCCTGTATCTGTGACAAAAATGCTTTCAAACTCCTTACTGCAGAAGCAATAGGATGAATCCCCTAGATTTCAGAATGTAGAATACCCCACATTGTACCAACCTTGAAAGTCATCATTTTATTTTGTGTGTGTGTGAATGCTAACATATGAGAGTTTATTAACACTTAGCAGTTTATAACTATTTAACATGCATTATTTCAATTAATCATTACAATTCTCTGAAATAAACACCCATTTTATAAATAAGGAAATTAAGACTCCAAGAGGTCTAGTAATTTTTTCATGTCAGCATTCTAGTGTCAGGCCCTGTGGGTTTAACCTAGACATAGTAGCACTTTTTATCTTTGAAATGTCATGTGAGGGCCTCCCTGGTGGCGCAAGGGGTTAAGACGCAACCTGTGAAGCTATCCACAGCTACTGCAGCACGAGTTTGATCCCCTGTGGGCCAGGGAGCAACCCACATGGCGCAGTAGACCTCTCCTGACTTGCCTGCTGCTCCCCTCAACAGTGTACTTTGGTGAATCTGCCTGTTCTGTTCCCCACTGTGCCTCTGGTGAATCCTCTCACACCTCTGGCCTGTACCCCATTTCTTGTATGCATAAATAAATAAATCTTTAAAAAAAAATGTCATGTGGGGCATCTAACTGCAGATGAGATCCTACTGCAAGTTTCCTGCTTTATCTGTGGTTTCTTCATGCTGTTTTAGGACTTTGCTTCTGAGCCCTTTTTACACAGTGACCGCTCATAAACTGAGTGGAAGGTGAAAAGAGGTAGACTTGTCTTCCCAAAGATACACTTGGCCAAGATAATAGAAAAAAAGGGAATGAAATAAAATGTTGGAGTGGGTGGAGGAGGAGATGAATGGAGCAATAGGTAGAAGAGGAATAATGAGGGGGAAGAGACAGAAAGGGAGAGAAAGGAGGGGTGTAACTTCATTATGCATTGTGTGTTTCCTATTGTGTGTTTCTCATTATTACTATGACTTCCCCCCTTATCCATATTTCTACTTCAACCTCTCTTGTGAGATTTATTTTGGTATACTACAAATTTGTTTTGTAGCCAGGTAGAGTATAAATAATAAGGTTTACGATACTGGGCATATAAATAAGCCTTTCTGAACCTCAGATTCCTCATTAAATTTCCTATCTCCAACTAGTGTGGCTGGGTTAAATAATATAAGCATATAAAGTCCTTAGCATTAGTACCTTTGATTCAATAAACAGTTAATGTTAAGGTTTCAATATTGGGTAGTTTCCATTAATAATACTGGATGTGATTAGGAGATTAAATAGAATTAGAAATGTGATTAGATGTGATTAGAAGATTAAATAGAATATTTCAACAGTACATGTTACATTTAGGAAAAGCAGTGGTAGGACCAAAAAGGAGTGACTATTCCAGAAATAATTAAAAGATAACAACAGAACAATTTGTTCATTGATTGACTATAGGGCCTAAGGGTAAAGGAGCAGTAAAGATGAATCCCCTGTGTCAGCCCCGATTTATTTACTCTCAACAGGATGTATTATAACTGAGCTTCACCATAACTTTTCAGAAGAGGTAAAGGAAAATATTTTTGGACAGTTTTTAAAATCGGAGAAATTAAATTGCACACAAAAAGAGAAGAAACAGAATTTGAATGAAAAGTCTAATCAGCTTTTAATCCTGACACTTTCCACTGTACCTATAAGCCACATGCCTTATAGAACGTGGAACTGAGTGGGCAGAAAGTCAGTCTTATTAAAGGAGAGATACAGGGCCTCCCCCGTGGTGCAGCGGTTGAGCGCTGGGTTGCGAAGCTGCCCGCGGCCTCTGCGGCGCCGGTTCGATCCCTGGCTGCTCCCCGGCCACCTGAGGAGGGTCCCACATGGCGCGCAGACCTCTCCTGCCGCCCACTGCTCCCCTCAGCAGTGTACTTTGGTCCTTCTGCCTGCTCTGCTCCCCGCTCTGGCTCTGGTGAATTCTCTCACCCTCCCGCGCTTCTGACTGTACCCAGTGCATGTATAAACAAAACAAACAAATAAATAAATAAATAAAACATGCCTCTATATTAAAAAAAATAAAGGAGAGATACAGCAGCAGCAGTAAGTGTGTTGGAGAAAATAAGGAGCTCTGTTTTAGATGAATTGAATTTGTTGACTTGTGAAATACTCAAAAAAAGTAGCAGATAAAAGAGCAAGTCTTGCAGTAGAAGCTTCAAGTATTGGTGTGGGCTGGAGATGTTCACTTAAGAGACATCGACATAGAAGTAGTGGTTAAAAATCCCTGGAATAGATTGGGTCACCTGGGCAGGGTATCCAGAGGAAGGATAGCAGTGGAGAAACAAAGGGCAGAAAAACGTGTAACTCCCTGAAGTATAAGGGACCAGAGAGGCCTGGAATTGGAACTCTCCAAAGTAGAAGGAAACTCAAGGAGAGATGGTCCTCTTAAAAGCCATGGGACCGGGCCTCTCCTGTAGCGCAGCAGTTGAACGCTGGGTTGCGAAGCTGCCCGCAGCCTCTGCAGTGCCGGTTCAATCCCCGGCTGCTCCCCGGAGGGTCCCACATGGCGCGCAGACCTCCCCTGCCGCCCGCTGCTCCCCTCAGTAGTGTACTTCCGTACTTCTGCCTGCTCTGCTCCTCTCTCTGGCTCTGGTGAATTCTCTCACCCTCCCGCGCTTCTGACTGTACTCAGTACTTGTATAAATAAATAAATAATCTTTAAAAAAAAAAAAAAAAAGCCATGTGACCTAGAATGAGAACCTAGAGCAAACTTCACCCAGTGAGTAACCTAATGACTAGAGGATTTGTTGTGCAAAGTTAAGAATTAGAAAGTATAAGAAATGAACAGGAGTCTAGCTATTGCTCAGCTCCTGCCAGTTGCTTCCACATTGACATTTAAGCTTCAGGTATATTTAAGCTTTTTTACCTAAGGGAAAAAAAAACAATTTTTGCCCAAAAAAAAATCCAGTTTTTAAGTGTAACTGATTAAGTTTTTATGAAAACATATTTGGCACAAATCATGTCTATAGACTATATTTGGTCTGCCAATCTCTAGTTCCTAATTTCTGAATAGTATTTAGTTTTTCTCAAATGAAAGAACAGCCCAAAAAGTCCAGTAAATAAATTATATAGCAACGTCAAAATCATTGGTCTTTATTGATAATCTTTTCCAGAATGGTTGCCTAGAGTAGTAAGAACTGCCACATTGAGGAGAAGACTTCATGGGAATTGAATAAGTTAGCAAGGATAAAGAAAGGATATGTGATTGAAAAGAGAATGATTTGCTAGGTGGGGAACACAGACAAGAGTCAATCACAGTTCTTTGGTACATTTTTTACCTCACCTTTAAAGTAAGGAAAACAAATCCTATTTTTGTATTTATAGACTATATTTGTTTCATTCTATGTGTGAGTGATCTTAATAATTCCTTTCTCTCCCACCCCCACCCCCCATTATACAGCTATTTTTTCACCTACAAAGAGAACGGTCCTTTCCTGAACACAGAGCTAGATTTTATGCTGCTGAAATTGCCAGTGCATTGGGTTACTTGCACTCCATCAAAATAGTATATAGGTAAAGTTTTAAAATATTACTTGTAAAAATGTCTTTTTATTATTTTTACTTCAACTAATACTCTGTTTTGCTTTTCTTTTAATATGATAGAGACTTGAAACCAGAAAATATTCTTTTGGATTCAGTAGTAAGTATTATCTTTTTAAAAATCTATTAGTTCTCAATTTTGTCATAATTAGTGGTAAGAAGTCAATTTCAAAGATTCCACATCGCATGATTGCATTAATAAAACACTCATGAAATAACAAAACTTTATATGTGGAGAACAGATTGGTAGTTGCCAGCTAAGTAGTGCAAGGGAGTTCCTTTGTTTATTTGCGGCCATGGAGAGTTCTCGATCTTGATTGTGCTCTGAGTTACACAATCTGTACATCTCTGTTGCATAGAACTACACACCACACTCAAATACAAATGCGTGCATGTAAAAATGATGAAGACTAAGATTATACAATATATGGTAAGATTATGCAATAGTTAACAGTATTGTACCAATGTCAGATTCCTGATAATGATATTGTACAGCTATACAGGATACCAGCAATGGAGTGAGATGGGGGGAGAGGAGTTTGGTGAGGGGACTTGTAACTTTGTGTACTATTTTTGCAATTTCCTGTGGGTCTATAATTATTTTAAAATAAAATGCTTTATAAAATTGTGAACGTATGACCATGCTTTGTTTTATCTTACTGACCCTGTATTGTCAGGGACATGTTGTCTTAACAGATTTTGGGCTTTGTAAAGAAGGAATTGCTATTTCTGATACCACAACAACATTTTGTGGGACACCAGAGGTAAGAAATATGTGTCATTGTCATTCATATAAACATATATAAAATGCAGATATGAATCACAAATTACAAATCACAGATCCAAAATTTGAAATAAAAAATGTAAACACTGTCATTTTTATTTCTAGCCAGTTGGAAATATCTGATAATCATCATTTTTGAACATTTAGAGTTTGTTGATAGTTGTTTTTAACTCTGAGATATCACAGATGCTTTTGAATAACCCAACCTGGGTAAATTATGCTTATTTTTTTTTCTGGTAAAGCTTACCTTTGATTTCTTTCAGTATTTGGTTAAATTTCTAATACCTTTTTTTTTTTAAATCACAAACCAGAGATTAAAATGTCCTAAAATTAATTGTGGTGATATTTGCATTACTCTGTGGCTATGCTAATAGCTATAGACATGTATGAATTGCATGGTATATGAATATCCTAATAATGATTGTTTTAAATCCTATAAACTAGCAAAAGCATATCTTTCTATTTGAGACAATAATGATAATCCTGCTCCTTACAATTTCTGTAAAAGCACTATTATTCTCACTTCACACACACAAGTTTAATTTACCCTGTTTTGATTTCAGTGTGTTTATAATGATCTTAAGTGATATTTATAATGATCTTAAGTGATCTTAGGTGATATTTCATCATGCAAATATAATGTAGAAAATATATCATAAAAATGGCTCAGATGATACTTCTTAATTATTTTTTTTTATTTTTTACATCATTGTTCATTTTTAAACAATATTTGCTTGCCCCCACCCCCTCAGGTGTAGTCCCCATAGAATTTCCTTTACCAGTGCACCCATGCACCATCACCTCAGTCCCCTGTGCTCCTCCCTTCCTCCCTCCCTCTGATCCCTCCCCCTCCTCCTCCCCTGCAGTATATCTCTGATTTATAATTGTCCGTTTTTGCTTTGTTGTGTTTTGTATTGTTATTATTTTTTTACACTGATGTCTTATTTGGTTCCCCTATATTCCTGCTATAAGTGAAACCATGAGATATTTTTCTTCTTTCTTCTTATTTCACTGAGCATAATTGCTTCTAGTTCCATCCAGGTTGCTGCGCATGGCATGAGTTTATCTTTTTGATTGCTGAATAATATTCCATCGTGTATATATGCCACATCTTCTTGATTCAGTCATCAGATGATACTTTTAATCAACATCAGAAACTTAATTAAAAGTATAATTTAAGTTATTTACTTTGAAGTGAATTTTTTGCCTTCCTTTGTTTCATCTCACCATAACCCTTGAATATACTTATAACCATTCTATTGTTTGGTTTATGTATGAAGTAACATTTGTTTGTGATAGTGTATTGATTTCATAATTAATAAAGTCTCTAAGTCCTGTAGTTTTTTAGAAAGGAAGCACACAGTTTTTTGGTACTCTAAATCTTATAGGGATAAAATTATTAAACCCCTTTTTTCAATTTACCATTTTTTTGGATCACTTAAAAAAAAGCTTAAAAAGAAATTGTTTCCTGGGTCTCCCTGGTGGCGCAGCGGTTGAGCGCTGGGTTGCGAAGCTGCCCGCAGCCTCTGCGGCGCCGGTTCGATCCCTGGCTGCTCCCCGGCCACCAGAGGAGGGTCCCACATGGCGCGCAGACCTCTCCTGCCGCCCGCTGCTCCCCTCAGCAGTGTACTTCGGTCCTTCTGCCTGCTCTGCTCCCCGCTCTGGCTCTGGTGAATTCTCTCACCCTCCCGTGCTTCTGACTGTACCCAGTGCATGTATAAACAAAACAAACAAACAAATAAATAAATAAATAAAGCATGCCTCTATTAAAAAAAAAAAAGAAATTGTTTCCTAACATATAGTTCATGTATGAAGAGCGAGTATATATTTTGGAACTGGAAGTCCAAATTCACCCACTTTTATATGTGAAATTTTGAAGTTTTTAAAATACCCATTTAATAGCCTACAGCTTTTCTAAATAATATGTTAGAGAACTGCTGTTGTAATTCTCAAGAATGTGATTCATTTTTTTTCCTTTTACTGAAAAGGAAAAAGAATTATTAGTTGCCACATTAACACTTCTTTCTGCAAGAGTTGCAATTACAGGGCCTCCCCTGGTGGTGCAAGCGGTTGAGCACTGCACTGTGAAGCTGTCCACAGCCTCTGCAGCGCTAGTTCGATCCCGGCTGGCGGCAAGGGTCCCACATGGCATGGCAGACCTCTCCTGTCTCGCCCGTTTTCCCCTCAGCAGTGTATTTTGTCAGTCTGCCTGTTCTGTTCCCCACTCTGTCTCTGGTGAATCCCCTCACCCTCCCACACATCTGGCCTGTACCCCGATTTTTGTATAAATAAATAAATAAATAAATCTTTTAAAAAAAAAAGAGTTGTAATTACAAATATGACCAGAGAATTTCTAAAATAAGTTAATCTTGTGTAGGATTTCCCCCGAATACCAGCTTTACCTACTTAGTACTACAGATTTGACATTTGCTATCCTATTTGTCTTAATTGCTTCACAGTTCTGGGAGAAATGTTTAAATGTGTGTGTTTTGAAAAATACCTCAATTTATTCTGAAGAATTCCCCTGCCTCAGGGTATGGGGTGAGAATCCCTAACCAATTAAAAGTCTAGATCATGCTGTTTTTTCTTTTAAAGATTTTATTTTCTTTATACAAGAGCCGGGCTACAGGCCAGATGTGCAGGAGGGTGAGAGGATTCACCAAAGGCAGAGCGGGGAACAGAACAGGCAGACTGATGAAATACACTGCTGAGGGGAGCAGCAGGCGAGACAGGAGAGGTTTGCTGTGCCATATGGGTTGCTCCAAGGCCAGTGGGGATCAAACCGGTGCTGCAGAGGCTGCGGACAGCTTCACAGCGCTGCACTCATCATGCTTTTAGTGTGATAGTGACACTTAAAATTTATTAAGTTTCTTATTACTCCTAAATTTTATCTTGAGCTGCTCTAATATGTAATCTTTTCTGTAGTACCTTGCACCTGAAGTAATCAAAAAACAGCCCTATGACAACACTGTGGATTGGTGGTGCCTTGGTGCTGTTCTATATGAAATGCTTTATGGACTGGTATGTATTTCTACATTTTCATTATTATTCCAATATATTATCATTTATCTGAGTTTTCGCTCTTCCCTCCTTCCTCACCTTTCTTCATTTACTCTCTCTTCCCCACCCTCTACTACTCCCTCCCCTACCCTTTTAATAATCTTGTGGACATTAGATAATGCCAAGAGAGCAGTAGTAACTGGGTTAAATGAATCCAAAACTACAATAGGGATCCACACAAAAAGAAAAGCTTTTCATTTTGTTACCATTTATTAAATATAATTATATCTCTGTCATGCTAATCACTACTTCAGGTATTCTCATCCCACTTGCATTTTCTTAGAAATAGAAACTTAGTTTTAACATTAAAATTATCTACTTAATTGTCTTTACCCCAGTAATCATTCTGCCTAATTTTGAGAAATGGAAAGAAAAAAGATTTTCATTTTTTTTTCTCAAGAGAATGCCTTTTGAATTTTTGCCTTTTATTTTATAGGATTTAATTAATACTCTGCTGCTCCAGTTTTTCATTACTGGGAATCCTCTGTTCCCTTCATCATAAATACCATGTCTTGAAGATTTCATTGAAAAAATAATGTTTAGAATGTGATAGGTTTCCTGCCTTTATTAATTAAAGACACATATGGCTAGTCCGAGCTGATTTAACATAAGTAAAGTTGTTTTACTATATTGAGTTAATAACATTCCAACCAAAAGCAGCAATTATTGAGATTTTAGTTAGTTTACTTATCCTTATAGGAATAATGTATGTTTTTCCTCATGATTTTTTTTAAATATTTGGAATAGTTTCTAGACTCCCTCTGTGGTCCTTGAGTATCCAGCTGCATCTTGGGAGCCATCTGCTCACCTCCCATGTAGCTTACCTGGCTAAGCTAACTACCTTCTTCAACTGAGACCTGAATTGGGGCTTGGTTGTTTTGTGGAATTTGTCCTCCCTGGAAACTGAGGAGCACAGGAGGTACATTATAGAATATTGGTCTCATGTCACTAATTGTGACTGATGGATTCCTATGACAGCTTACCCTCTTTCTCTTGTTTGGCCTTGACTATGATCAGCTTGTTAAAAGACCTAGTTTTCTTATTATCCTAGTAACTTAGAACAGCTGATAGCCATTTTATATCTTACTTCCTTCAAGTGCTATCCTGATATTTCCAAATCCTTTCAGTTTTCTTAGGGACTTTGAAAGTATAAAGTATTATCATTGTATATGAAGTGGATTGATTCAAAAGGAACATTTGAAACTTAGACTTCACTGATGAGACCTTATTTAAAATTTAACGTTAAAGAGCAAAAAATAAAGTTTTACTTTCCTATAAAATGAAAGAAAAAATAACCAGCCTATAACTCCCTTGAGAAATTATTTTTAGTTTAAAACTTAACTAGATGATGCTAATCCTCATGTTGAAGTGGTACCTCAGTTCTTTAAACTGTGACAGTAGAATTTTAATTCTAGAGAAGGTACCATGTGCTGTCACTGTTACCAGTATTTAGGAAGGGACACCATGTTCAGGTCTCCATCTGTACTAGAAATGTCTGTTTTAATTAGTTTATTCCCAAGTCTCAAAAAATTATTTAATGTTTGGACTCACTTGAATTTCTGTTTCTGATAATTCTGTCATTAAACATATTGTGAGGTTGGTGGTTGTTTTCTATAAATCAGATAGTATTACAAGTTTTGTGTAGTTTCCACCTGTCTACTACAAGGTATTAATTGAACATTTAGTGACTGTGTGTTAAACTTTATTAACAGTGAACCTGGATTTAAAAATCTCTTCATGTCAGAGGCTATACTGCGGATATACACAGATCCAAAGAAGTCTGCGAATTTCTGTAACTGTCCAGACCTAGACTGCTGCCTGTTAATTAAAGCTAAATCCAACCGTTTCAATTCCATGTTGTCATAGTTCAATTCATACTAGTTTCATTTTGCTTTTTTTTTCCAGCCTCCTTTTTATTGCCGAGATGTTGCTGAAATGTATGACAATATTCTGCACAAGCCCTTAAGTTTGAGACCCGGAGTGAGCCTTACAGCATGGTCCATTCTGGAAGAACTCCTAGAAAAAGACAGGCAGAATCGACTTGGTGCCAAAGAAGACTTTGTATGTACATCCCCCCAAGTACCCAGTTTATTTAATCTTATTTATCTTATTTGAAGATAAAGCCTCCTTTCTTTCTGGTATTTAATGAGTACAGCCCTTAAACACCAGCACCATGAAAAAGAAGTTACTTTTCCCAGTAATTTTCATCAGTGTGTCAGTGTTTCATAGAACTGTAGTGGTTTCTCTATTTTAATTGGGCCTGCATGGTTTACAACACTGTGTGTGATTCAGAGGCATAGGATCATACCTTCTAAGATTCATGTCAGCATACCGTACCCACTGCTAAAGCACCCGTACTTCTCCACCATAGTCCATTGTGGCTCTTCCCACTTTGCTTTTCTCTACCCTTCTCTGGAAATCTCAATTCTATAGTCAGATTTCTAGGGTTTGCTACTGCTTTGGTTTTGTCTGATTGTTTGTTTTGTCTCTCTATATTCCACATACAAGGAAAATCATCTATTATTTCTCACTCCCCTTCTGATATAGTTCACTTAGCATAATACCCTCCAGTTCCATCCATGTTGTCACAAATGTCAACAATTCATCTATCGTTTTTTTTTTCCTTCTTTTTTCACATTTTTTTTTTTTAAAGACTTATTTATTTATGCAAGAACTGGGGTACAGGCCAGACGTACGAAAGGGTGAGAGGATTCACCAGAGACAGAACAGGGAACAGAACAGGCAGAATGACTGAAATACACTGCTGAGGGGAGCAGTGGGCTAGATAGGAGAGGTCTGCTCGCCATGTGGGTTGCTCCGAGGCCAGTGGGGATCAAACTGGCACTTCAGAGGCTGTGGATAGCTTCACAGCGCTGCGCTCAGCTGCCTGTGCCACCAGGGAGGCCCCAACAATTCACCTATTGTTTCCTTTTGTTTGTTTTTTTGTATCTGCGCAGTATTCCATAGACCACATATTTTGTCTCTATAGTCCACATCTCGATAATCTACTCATCTGTACTTGGGCACTTTGTTGTTTCCACAATTTGGCTATTGTCAGTAGTGCTACAATGAACACAGGAATGCATATATCCCTTCAAAGTGTTGTTTTTACATTCTTCAGGTACCTAGGAGTGGAACTGCTAGATAACCTGTTAGATCCATTTTTAGTATTTTGAAACACCTCCATACTGTTTTCCATTGGGGTGAACCAGCCTATATTCCCACCAATAGTGTACAAAGATTCCTTCTTCTCTACATCCTTGTCACCACTTGTGACCATTGTGAAACCAATGTGGTTTTGATTTGCATTTCCCTGATGATAAACAACAAGCATTTTTTCATGGGCCCGTTGGCCATCTGTATGTCATCTTTGGAGAAATGTCTATTCATCTCTTCTGCCCATTTTTTGATAGGGTTGTTTTCTTTTTGTTGTGTTAGATGAGTTCTTCATAGATACTGGAAATCAGCCCCTTGCAGATGTATTCTCCCTTTCAGTAGGGTATCACTTTTTTAAATGATAGCTTCTTTCACTACAGAAGCTTTTTAGTTTGATTTTGTCCCATTTGTTTATGTTTACTTTTATTTCTCTTCTCAAATGGACACAAATCCACAAAAACATCACTGAAGCTAGTGCCATGGAGTGTTTTGCCTGTTTTCTTCCATGTAGTTCATGGTTTTGGGTTTTACCCATGTCTTTATTCCATTTTGAGTTAATTTTTATGTAAAATATGAAATGATGGTAGTTTTTTTTGCATGTGGCTGTCCAGTTGTCTCAGCACCACTTATTGAAGAGACTTTACTTTCTTCACTGTACATCTTGGATCCTTTGTCCTAGATTAACTGTCCATGTATGTGCAGGTTTATATCTGGACTTTCAGTTGTATTTCATTCATCTGTGCGTCTGTTTTTGGTCCATAAATCATACAGTTTTAAAGCCACTTGCACACCATTTTTTCATGTTATCTTCATAAAAATTTCATCCTCTCCTCTTCATCTCCCACATCATATTATTTATTTGATCTATATTTGTAAGAATGTCTTCTGTCCCTTTTTTAAAAATGTGTGGCATGTTTTTTCACTACCTATAATTTTATTTCCTCTAATTTCCTCCAAGTTGACTTTTATTTTAAATTAATTTTTAAATGAAGTATTTTTTATTATATCTTTATTCATTTTTAGGCAGTGTATGATTTCTCTTCTCAATTTGGTCACTGTAGTTCCTCTACCACCAAAGTACCCATAGTCCATCACCACAGTCCCTTTTGCTCTTCCCCACCTCCTGTTCTACCCCTCCCCCCCATGCCTCTCATCTATGATCAGCTTTCAAGATTTGTCAGGCTTACCCTTTGTTTTGTTTCTCTGTAGTCCACATATAAGTGACACCATCTGATAAAGGAAAAAGATGTTCTTTTTCCTCCTGCCTTATTTCACTTAGCATAATCCTTCCATGTTACCACAAACCACTGAGTAGTATTCCATTGTGTATATATCCTTGATCACATCTTGATCCATTTATCTGTTTTGGGGCATTTAGGTTGTTTCCATATCTTGGCCATTATAAATAGTGTTATCATAAGCATAGGGGTACATGTTTCCTTTCAAATTAGTGTTTTTGTGTTCTTTGGGTAAATTCCTAGGAATGGAATAGCTGCCTCGTGTAGTAGATCTGTTTTTAGTGTTGTAAGGAATCTCTACACAGCTTTCCATAGTGGCTAGACCAGTTTACATTCCACCAGCAGTCTAAGAGGGCTCCTTTCTAGTTTTGTTTTTGTTTTTGTTTTTAAATGTCCCATTCTCACAGATATGAGATGATATCTATTGTGATTTTGATTTGCATTTCCCTGATAATAAGTGATTATGAACATTTTTTCATATACCTGTGGCCATTTGCATTTCTTCTTTGGAGAAGTGTCTATTTAGTTCTTCTGGCCATTTTTTGATTGGGTTGTTAGCTTTGTTTTTGTTGCATTGTGGGAGCTCTATAGATATCTGTATATCAGTCCTTTATCAGGTATATGATATGCAGATACTTTCTCCCATTAACTAGAGTGTTTCTTCATTTTGTCTTTCTAATTTTTTTTTAAAGATTTATTTATTTACGCATACAAGAGCTGGGGTACAAGACAGAGGTGTGGGGGTGAGAGGATTCACCAGAGACAGAGTGGGGAACAGAACAGGCAGATCTACTGAAGTACACTGCTGAGGGGAGCAGTGGGCGAGTCAGGAGAGGTCTGCTGTGCCATGTGTGTTGCTCCCTGGCTGATCGTGGATCTAACTTGTGTTGTAGAGGCTTTGGACAGCTTCATAGGTTGCTTGCGTCTTAACCCCTTGTACCACCAGGGAGGCCCCTCATTTTGTCTCTTTTGCTTTTATAGTCTCCTTTTTCCCTTGCTTCTGGTGATGGATGAATCCTCAAAGCTGTTTCTGAATTTTATGTAATGAAGTTTTGCCTATGTTTTCTTGTATATATTTTATGATTTTTAGGTCTTACATCCAAGTCTTTAATCCATTTTGAGGTAATTTTTGTGTATGGTGTGAGATAGTATTGACTACCTAAAATTTTAAATCATTTTATTAAGAATTTGTTGTCCCTTTGCTTCACTGCTGCCTGCTGATGCTCCTGTATTCCTCTCTTTACCTTACTTTCCTACTGTCTGTATTAAGTATTTCAGACTTCTCTCCAAATTTTCAGATTCTATTCCTTCTTCACTGTTAGCAGATAGTCTTGCCTTTCTATTTTATAGGGTAAATAGAACCACCAGAGTGGAATTGTCAGTTCTTGCTATCAAATTTGCAGGTATGTATGCATCTGCTCTAGTTTCCTTCCTATTATAGTTGGAAAGGACAGTTTCTACTCATGTATTGGATTCTGACCCCTTGCGGGGAGCTCCATACATTCTTTTTTCTGAACAGGTAACTACTCCCTTTTGTTCTGCTTCCTTCCAATTAATCATTAAACATTTTCAAGTCTCCTGTTTAAAAAAACAAAACAAAACACCTAAACCCTACTGCCCTGCACAGTAATAGTCATTCTCCCATCACAGCCAAATATGTTGATGATTTCTATATTCATTCTACCCGTCTCAGTTCCCTCACTTCTCAATCTGTCTCAACTAGAAACACTGAACATTTCTACCCCTCATCTTGCATTGTCAATAGCTTTGGAACTTCCATCAGTCTCTTGTTCCTAGTTTTCTGCAGTTGCACACACTTACCTCATGCTTTCCTTTCTGTACTTCTGGGCCCACCTCCATGATCCCCTACATAGGCTCCCCTTCTTCTACCCGATTTTTATATGTTGCTATGCCTTGTGGTTTTACCAAAACCCTCTTTTCTTCTGCTTTCCTCTCTTTCTGGACAGTTTGAACTGGCTTTATGGCTTTGGTATTTTCAGTCTTCACATTACGCATTTACATCTTCCTCTCTTCTGAACTAGAGACTCAAATAATATCTGTCTACTCAGCAACAGCACTTGGACTTCTTAGAGTTCTTCAGACACAGTATATTCAAAATTGAACTCCTGCAGTCTTCCTTCTGTGCTCACTTTCTTATTAAATAACATCACTGTCTGTGTAGTTGTTAGGTCCTAAGTCTGAACTGTTCTTGACTCCTCTTTTCCTTACTTCCACATTCAATAAAGAGCAGTTGCACTTGCCTTCTCAATATTCCCATATGCAGAAACTCCTTCGACTCCCACTGCTCTTTCCTAACATTGTCAACTTTTGTTTAACTTTATCTGGTCACAACTCTCCTGTCCATTCTCCCTTACAGTCATAGTGCTCTTAAAAGGCAAACCAGAAATCTACCACATTTCTCACATCACCTCCCCAAAACTATTTGATGGTTTTCCAAAACTAGAAAAATAAAAAAAATTTCAATATAGTCCCAGTATAATATGACCCATTTTACCTCTTGAGCTTCACCTGTGTGACAATCTCCATCCTTCCCTTTACTGTATCCATATTCATCTTATTTTCTTAATTAACAATCTCTTTGTCACATCAGGACTTCATGCTCTGTCTGGACTTTTCTGCCCTCATTATTTTGTCTGACTAATTGATCTTTGAGACCTCTGCTCTGACATCACTTTCTGTAAGAAGTTTTCTTTTTTTTTTTTTTTTTAAATTTATTTATGCATACAAGAACTGGGGTACAGGCCAGAGATGTGAGGGTGAGAGAATCCACCAGAGAGAGCGTGGGGAACAGAGCAGTTGGATCTGTGAAATACACTGCTGAGGGGAGTGGTGGGCGAGACAGGAGAGATCTGCTGTGCCTGTAAGAAGTTTTCTTTTAATACATCAAACTAGGCTGGATCCTCCTTTATAAATTTTCATGGCATTCTGCAGTAAAAAAAACAAAAAAAAAAAACCACCTAGAATTGGTACTATGCAAACTTTTAATAATACAAACCTGGAGTAGAATATTTTTTGGTAGTACAGCTCATCATCTTGATCTTATATCTGCCCCACTGTAAAACTGTCTTGACTAATGTATTTCTTCATCTCCCCCATTCATATAATAATTCTTGCTCCTGTAGTGCTTTATTCTTTTCTTATCACTTTTATTTCTATGTATTCCACTGATCCTTAAAACAATCTGTGAAGTAGGATATGTGATCCTAAAAACAATCTAGGATAGAAATGTTAACCCCATTTTATCTATGCTGAAGCTATGACTGAAGCAAATGTAACTTAAGTCTCTCATTCTATGTAACTGTTTTTCATGTCTCTGGTAGTCTCAGTGTGGCAGTGTTTTCACCACTCTAGGTAACCACTCTGGAAAAGATTATCAATAAAGACCAATGATTTTGATGTTTCTATACAATCATGGATTAAATAAACATGTACCCACAAAAAATTATTTAGGGACAAAGTGGTAATGATTTGGCTGTATAAAGTTCTTAAGTGAGTACTTAATAGAGTCTTCATCATAAATAAAAAGTTTTTTCCTTAATTTTCTAGCTTGAAATTCAGAATCATCCTTTTTTTGAATCACTCAGCTGGACTGATCTTGTACAAAAGAAAATTCCACCACCATTTAATCCTAATGTGGTAAGTATATATTCAAACTTTCAAGTAGAAAGTTCATGAGGAACTATAGTGCCCCATAATTTAGCCATAGATCGCAAAATCTAAGCTGAATGAAATTGAATCAGTACCTAAATAATGGTGAAATATGTCACTCATTGTTGTCTAGAACAATAACTTCTGAATGACCATTGAGATTATATTAAATTTATAAAAATATCTTCCATCACAGTAATTGTGGATATTTCTCTTAAGATTGATTTATTTATGCATACAAGAGCTGGGGCACAGGCCAGAGGAACCGGGGGGCGGGGGGGTAAAGAGGATTCACCAGAGACAGAGTGGGGAACAGAACAGGCAGATTGACTGAAATACACTGCTGAGGGGAGCAGGAGAGATCTCCTGCACCATGTGGGTTAGCTCCCTGGCTGGCCAGGAATCAAGCTCATGCTCTGTCATGCTGCAGTGGCTGCGGATAGCTTTATAGTGCTGCAACTTAACGCCTTGCGTCACCAGGGAGGCCCCTAATTGTGGTTATTTCTTTGGAGCAGTGTAGGAAAGGGATGAGTTCAACAGATTTGAAAAGATATGTAAGTTAAAGAAATTAACTAAAAGGTATCATTTTGATACCTACCAAGCCAGCAAACATTTTAACATTAATCTAAGGTTTTTCCTAGATTGATGTAAAACCAGGTATATACAAACATTATTAATGGAAAGGTAAATTGTTATATCCTTCTGGAAAACATTATTTTTAAAATATTTCCTGTTATCATCACTTGTTAAATCTACAGATGGAAACATTTAATCTAAATATAACTTTTTTTTTAAGAAGAAAGCCCCAACAAAGACATGCCTTAAAGTATTAATAAGGTTAAAAATTTGGGAAATACATATATAATAATAGGGAAGTTGATAAAAATCATCAGTAAGCCAATAATGATGTTGTTATTAATAGTGTCTCATATACAGGTATATATATATTTTATGCATTGTAACATATAATTTTTCCCTCAAATAAGTTACCAAGTTGTTAGTATTACCATTGTCATTATTATACATGCTTTACAAATGAAGAAATGTAAACTCAGATGCCACATAACTAGATTAAAAAAGAATGGAAGGAGGATTGAAATCTGCCTAATTCCCAAGTCATTATTCTTTCTTTATGCAATCTTATGCGCTGTTGCATTTTTATACTAAGTAAATTATAATAATAACAATAAATACAAAAGTGAGCAGAGACTTGAAAAATCTTCATAACCTTAAATGGAAATGTAATTAGAATTTTTGTGACTTATGATTATAACAGTAAAAGAAAAGGATAGGACTGAAAACAGAGAAACCACGATTGAGTTTTAGGTTGCAAGATCATAGGTGAATTTATTTTTCTTTTATGTAAAGTTTTTTGCATTGCTATGAAACAAATATTTTTTCAGTAAATTAGAGTAGGATATAGAAATCATCTCAAGAAAATATTTAGTCTACTCAGGTTTTGTTAAAGGTTTCAGTGCATAATTCATAGCTCATTAATAGGTGTGATATTGTACATATATAGCAATATTTGTAGATTGATTTGTTTCCTGTAGCTCATCCATATGTGACTCCACTCGGGACAATGTCTAGCACTGATTTGTAGAGTTTGCATTAGGAAATTAGGACCATTAAGAATTATATTTTAGAGCCTCCCTGGTGGCGCAGTGGTTGAGTGCTGGGTTGCAAAGCTGCTGGCAGCCTCCGCAGCGCGGGTTTGATCCCCGGCTACTCCCGGGCCCCTGGAGGAGGGTCCCACATGGCGCGCAGACCTGTCCTGCCGCCCGCTGCTCCCCTCAGCAGTGTACTTTGGTCCTTCTGCCTGCTCTGCTCCCCTCTCTGGCTCTGGTGAATTCTCTCACCCTCCCGTGCTTCTGACTGTACCCAGTGCTTGTATAAATAAATAAACAAATAAAACTTTAAAAAAAAACAACAAAAAACCTTTAAAAAAAAAGAATTATATTTTATTTTTATATCGAGAGTTGTACTGCATTTGGTTACTTTTAAATAATGGTGTCATCAGGCTCTTAAAGAGGTAGAGACTCCTTCTAAGCAAAGTTGGAAATGGAAACCGTATTGAGATGTCAGAGTCAGATACCTGGAGGTTTGGTTCACTGCTTTTCCTATAACTAGTTAATTAAACTTTTGGAAGCAAAACCCACAATGGAGAAATCTTGAGGAGAAAAGTTGGTAAATTTGGCCACATAAAACTTAGAGATGTATGCATGAAAAAATACTACAAATTACAGAATGTAGAAAATTCCTTAATATCTAAAGCAATAAGAGAAAAGACCAATCAATGACTGGTAGAAACACAAACAAGACATAAAACATGGAATTCCAGAAAGATAAATACAAATGGTTTTCAAATATAAAATTCATTGTTCAAACTCACAGACATGTCAAAAATACAAACTAAAACCCTAACGGGTTACCAGTTTTCACCTAGCAGGTTAACAATGATCAAAAAATTAGCTACGGTAGGTTAGAGGATTTATTCTCAAATACTATTCTCAGTAATTTTATCCTTTTACTTAATGGTGAAAACAAGCCTATGAATTTTTTCACATGTTACAGATGAGTTAACTGAACCACAAAAAATGTTAAATAAGTTGCCAGTTACAAAACTAGAATTTGGGCCACCCTGGTGGCACAAGTGGTTAAAACGCAACCCGTGAAGCTATCCGCAGCCACTGAAGCAGGAGTTCAATCCCTGCTGGCCAGGGAGCTACCAACGTGACAGGAGAGACCTCTCCTGACTTGCCCACTGCTCGCTTTGTCAGTTTATTTCAGTCAATCTGCCTGTTCTGCTTCCCACTCTGTCTCTGGTGAATCCTCTCACCCCCCCTCACCTCTGGCCTGTACCCCAGTTCTTGTATGCATAAATAAATAAATCTTTTTAAAAAAAAAAACTAGAATTTGACCTTGGGCATTTTAAAGCTCTCACTTGCTCTTTTTATGATAATGCAGTATTTTATTTATTCTGTCTATTAATGACTAATATTTGGTTACAATATTAATGGAACCTTATCTAAGAGAGGTTAAACTTCTGTTTTTTTTTCTTTTTGTATTTCAATACTGGGTTATTAATGAACAAGTGTCAAAATAAATCTCATTATTATGTCAAAAACATAAGTGGTTGGTGTTAGTCTACATAAAATTCAATTTTTGGTAAACAGTTCTTTGGCTGCAAGAAAGATCATTTGTTTTGCTTCACTAATAGGAGTATCTCTTAATGCTGGGATGGCCTCTTCTTGGTATTCTGCTTTTGATTTTTAGCATAATTATCTGTTATTATATGATTGGCATGAGTGGGGAAACATTCATCATATTTACTCCAAATAGGAGTATATAACTGATTAAACATTAAGAAGTACATAGGCAGTGCAGTTGCCCAGTATTTTTGAGGCCATTAGGTTAAGCTTAAGGAGTTTAGCCAAGATTCAGGAATAAAAGCCCACATGAGAAAAGAGTATGAAGTGTTCATTTATTGAACACTTTCTACACATATGATTCTTAGACTTTAATGTATTTGCACCTGAAGTTCTCCCAATAACCTGAAGAGGTAGGTGGTAGCATCTTATTTTACAGAAGAGTAAATAAGCTCACAGAGATAGTTTATATAAAGAATTATAGCTAGCAGGTTTCACAACTAGAATTCAAATCTTAGTTTTACTCCAGAACTCATGCTTCTAGGGTTATGTGTAAGAATTTGATGACATTATATGTATACACACACATACACAAAAATATAATTTTCTCATTCTTCCTCAGATAGAAGGCTCTAGCATTCTAGGCTTCCCTGGTCTCTACTGTGCTGTTTGTAGCCCTACCAGGCTAAGTGTATCCTTGGCTTATATATAATGCATGCGCTGAATCCCTGTTTGTTTACCTCTGGTTAAACTTGATGACTTGAACATTTTAAGGATTCCCTTAAATCCTGAGAGCGAAAAATAACCTAGAACTCCAGGAATGAACTTGTATTCCAGTTTTTGTCTATACTTACAATGGAAAGGGAGAGACTACATTAGCTTGTATCAGCCTAGGCTGCCACTATGGTTCAGTTCCCAATTTCCTAGGCTGCTAGAACTAATGGTGTCCTAGTCAAAGGCTTCATAACCAGTGTGCTATTGCACAAGGAGAGTTAACCTTTCACTATTGTACTTGATGACCCCTTCATCCTGTATTCCTTCATTCTTCATCAAGGCTTCAGTGTACCCAGAATTGAGAACTGGATGGGCAAGCATTTTATGGAAACTCAAAAGCAAATGCTATCCTGAAAAGCTGCCTGAGCCCCTTTTCTGAACTTAGAGTAGTGATGTGTAGAGAGAAAGGAATTTCACTTTAGGGTCTCGAAATTAGCATAGTTGAAGAAGGACTCTTATGCTACTCTTCCTCACCTTTCTCTTCTCTCCACCTAACAAGTAGAGGACAAGCAACCTCACCTCAGTAATTAAAATCAAGAAAGGAAAAGTAGAAAATGTTTTAAAGAAATGATGGTGTAGGGAAACATTTAAACTTGCCAAGGATAAATACACAAATTCATAAAGGGGTTTTATGAAGAACTAAATTAATGGGGAAAAAAGCTACGGTGAATAATAGTATGCTTTTGATGTTTTAGGCAGGACCAGATGATATCAGGAACTTTGATGCAGCATTTACAGACGAAACAGTTCCATATTCTGTGTGTGTGTCTTCTGACTATTCTATAGTGAACGCCAGTGTGCTGGAGGCAGATGACGCATTCCTTGGTTTCTCTTACGCGCCTCCTTCAGAAGACTTATTTTTGTGAACAGTTTACCATCCAGAACTCACTGAGCAAATATAAATCCATGGATGAGACTGAAACTCCTGTTTGTGTGAATATATTCAGATATGTTTAACTAGTGCCTCATTTTTACATGTAATGTTGAAGACTATGAAAAATGTATTTTCTGCTGTATGCAAGAAAATAGGGCATTTCAAGAGCTAAGTTTTGAATTAAAATTTGTATTCTTGTTTATTAAGCTTATTTTTAAACAGAAATTTTAAAGCTATTGTTCTTAGCATTAACCTATTTTTAAAGAAAACTTTTTTGCTATTGACTGTTTTTTCCCTCTGAGTTTACACTAATGACTACCCAGGGTAGACTGTTTTCAACAGTCTACTTCAGTTCAGTTAATATATATTAATGCCTTTGTAACTATCTACTTTGAACTTTGTTCTCAGATCAGAACTATGCAATTGGTACAAGATTGTTTAAGAAGAAACCATGTCTTTCCATAATAAATAAATCACTATTTGATATAATCATTTCTTGGTAGAATTAAAATGTACAAGCACCGTAAATACATTAGCTGCTCATTAACACTGAATAACCATTTATTCTGCAGATCAAATTAAGAAATAACAAAAAAATTCTTTGCTTTTGAAATACCAGTTCAAATTTGTGAATTATTTTTCCTCTGTAAGAAGGGAAAAAGCTTAATAGGTAGAAATTTTAATTCCCAAATTTGTGAATTATTTTTCCTCTGGAGGAAGTATAAAGTTTAATAGCTAGAAATTTTAATTCCCAATGATTTGAAGGGTAATAAAATATTGCTGGACTTTTTTTAGGTGGTGCCAAAAATGAATGTGTCTGTGTCATGTATTTATGTTATAAATACAGTCTATTTATGTGCTTGGTTGTTTTTAATGTTTAGTGTACTGTTACATAAGTCTAAATCTTGGTATTTGCTTTTGCAAATAACTATTGTAAGCTGTCTTCCTAATTGGTTGGTAAGTAGCAGATACTGAGCTTTCTAGAGTATATTCCTAATTGAGAATTAAAAAGTAGAATAGCAAATTCTGGGTCAGTATAAATGTATATAGTTTTACTATAATATAACAAGAGCTAAAAATAATTCAAGCAAGATGCATAGTCAGTATCTTATTTATCTTAGAAAAAGTACAGGAAACTGACCTTAAAATTATACTAAGAACCAACTAACTTGTTACTTGTAATTTGTAAAAGAGAACTATAGAAAAATGTAAAATGAATGCCTTTTTTGGAATTCTGATTTTTAGCAACACTTTATATTATGTAGGAAACATTGTGAAAGTTCAATGACCAGTTTAGGTGTTCCAAGAACAAACATTCTTTCCATGTATTTTCTTTTGAGAAAGAAATTATAAACACATTTTACACCAGTACCTTTTGGCTTAAAAATGATCAGTAAAGTCGGGGGAGAGGAGTGTGTTTTCATTGGTTTAATAACATTTGCATCCAGTACACTGAATTTTCATTTACAGGTAAGACTTTAATAACTACACTGTAAATATTTGGTTCATTTGGCACTTCTGTAATTTCTGCTTTTATAGAAGTTTTTTACTTATTGTAAAGCAAAATAAAAATAGTTTCTTGTAATATTTTTTTTTAGTCAGCCACTCCTTAATTGAACTGCCAAAAACTAAAGTGCAATATTTCATAATTTTAAGAACAAATTTAAAATAGAATATCAATGTTTCATGGATCACAAAAAATACAAATCTTATATAGTACAATAAAACTAGCAAAAAGAGTACTAATCATCTAATGTTTGTCATTATTTTAAATCAAAATTGGTCGTGGTTACAATAGTCATTTCTAAATGAGTGATTCATATGTACAAGAGAGGAAAAACAAAATTTTGACAAAATCTTTGAACACATAAGAATTACCAGATTATCATATGCTGACATGTTTATTATTCAGGGAACAAAATCCCTTCCAAGGTTATCTTTTCTTTCATAGCATCCAAGTCTTTGAAAAAATGTATGCCCTTTGAAAGGACGAACCATTTTATGATTATTGCCAAAATGAAAGTTTAAAGGAAAACTTAACATTATTCATATTACCTGTACCTTTCATTTCATTGATTTAGTACAGTGTTGCACTTCCCAACCACTGTCACATTATAGCATACACTGAAAATTACAAATTTTTTTTCATCTGGAGAGAAGTGCTAGGTGAGGTAGATACTAATAATGTGCTCTGTTCAAAATTTTAATATGCCAAGATTTCTGAACTTGAGATATTTACAAAGGGAATCAACAAACGCTATAATTTTTTTAGCAATGGTGGACGTTTGAAGTGTTTGGAGGTACTAAATATTTTACTATAAAATTTTATCACTTATCACTATAAAATTCTATCACTATAAAAATTTATCATTACCACTCTTATTTAGCGTACCTGTCACTAGTATGATTATCCATGGACTTTAGTAATATAAAAAACTTTATATGAAGATTATGAGTCATTCTTTTGTATGTTATATACTATGTGAAAATGGGAATGGGTATGTAAAAACATTTTTAGTAATACTGGAATGACTTTTTCAATGAATCATGTTATTGATAATTCCTTAAATAAGCAGTTTGAAAGTTAGCTGTTTTTGAAGTGAGATATTCTGTCATTTACCTTTAAAGGTAGTTTACAATTTAGTTGGTTTTTACAGATTATTCCATATCCCAAGGTGGTTGGTTATTTATATAAAGTGTACATAAACACATCCCAGGTGACTTGAGCACCTTAAAATGATATGCCAAGTTTTATGTATAAATGAAATTGCCTTAAGGTGGGGAGTGCTACATAACTTTATACAGATGCTCAAAAGTTCACTTGGGTTTCTTCTCTGCCACTTCTCCTTTACTCACCTAGTCTTAAAAGTAATTTATCTCTAACTTTCTGAGATCATAAACATTTGAGGTTGTATATCACTTCTTTAGCATTTTTAGTCTTAATAATACTGTATAATCATTCTTCTGTGATCCTTCAAACATTCCTTAATAGTTAAAAGAACTACACAAGTATCTTTTCATTATGTCTTTATATTAAATCCATACAAGACAGTCTCACTTACAGCAGGAATCTAGAAAACCTAGTAAGGGACCAGGAAAAAGAATAACTATAGGAAAGAAAAAAATCAAAATCAAGAAGTGTGAACCAGAGACACACACTATGGGGGGGGGGGAGGAGGGATTGGGGTCAAAATAAGGGGGTTGCATTTGTATGGGGAATAGAAAAATAAAATTTAAAAAATTTACATAAAAACAAAAAAATCCATACAAGGCATTTTTCCCATTTATATAGAGGTAATTAAATCAGAAAGAAACATAACTGTCTCCAAATGTAACTATAAAAGGCAGAAAAAAGACAAGAAAGATTGAGGCAAGGGAAGTCCACAGATAGTGGTAACGAGTGTAACATTCATCCAACTGTGTCATTCTGAAACATGGTCTATATACATCAGTTAAAAGATAAGATTGTTAGTGGCTTAATAAGCTCCAACTATGTTATTCACAGAAGTCCACTTTATTTTTTTTTAAAGATTTATTGATTGATTGATACATACATACATACAAGCACTGGGTACAGTCAGAAGCGCGGGAGGGTGAGAGAATTCACCAGAGCCAGAGCGGGGAGCAGAGCAGGCAGAAGGACCGAAGTACACTGCTGAGGGGAGCAGCGGGCGGCAGGAGAGGTCTGCGTGCCATGTGGGACCCTCCTCCTGTGGCTGGGGAGCAGCCAGGGATCAAACTGGCGCTGCAGAGGCTGCGGGCAGCTTCGCAACCCAGCACTCTATCGCTGCACCACCGGGGAGGCCCACGCAGAAGTCCACTTTAACTAAATGTCAAGACATTATACATTTGTGCTCTGCATAATTACTTTAAAATTTGTATTGCCTAGTAAAGTATAGCACACCCTACCAGTATGCTACAGGAACAATAAGAAGTCGTGAATGACCCAGCTCCTCTTCCAAGGTAGACTACTTAATTGCTATGCCAAGGAAATGAAGTACTGTTTGGAGAACAACATACATTCTAAAACATACACACAATTATGAAAATGCCTGAACAATGTATTTCTTAAAATACCTGGTAAGCAGTAGATGACTATAGGTCAAAATAAATGACTGGATTGAAAACAGACCATGCTAATACTAATCAAAAGAAAGGAGGAGTAGCAATATTAATTTCAGAGAGGAATGTCAGAGTAAGGAAGTTGTCAAGGATAGAGAAGGACATTACTTAATGCTAAAGGGATCAATTTTCTAAGAAGATATAACCATCCTTAATGCCTGTGCGCCTCACAACAGTGTCATAGGTCTATAGACTTTCATCCATGAAATAGTCACCGACAGACCAAATTCTGGTTTATAAAAGACACCTTAACAAGTTTAGAAGAGAAGAAATAAAATATTCTAAAACAAAAGTGGTTTTAGGATTTAAGTTAATAAAATAAGCAGAAATCAATGAAATTACAAACAGGAAATCAATAGGAAAAAAAAAGTGAAGCCAAATGCTTAAATTATTAGTATCAGAGGGGCCACCCTGGTGGCGCAAGGGGTTAAGACGCAACCTATGACACTCGCTGCAGCCACTGCAGTATGAGTTCGATCCCCGGGCAGGGAGCAACACACATGGTGCAGCATACCTCTCCTGAGTCGCCCACTGCTCTTCTCAGCAGTGTATTTCAGTCCATCTGCCTGTTCTGTACCCTACTCTGCCTGTGGTGAGCCCTCTCATCCTCCCCACAACTCTGGCCTGTACCCCAGTTCTTGTATGTATAAATAAATCTTAAAAAAAAATTACTAGTATCAGAAATGAAATTACTAGTTTCATTTACTAGTAATGATGGAGGAAGAATAGAAAAGCTAAAGAAGGCATCACAAGATGCCTGACTAGAACCTGACTCACACAAGGAGGAAGGGGTAGAAGGGACTAACATGACAGTTAACTCACCTATGGAAATCAAGATCCTTAGGCACCAATGCCTTGTCACAAGGCATAAGACCCAAGCAGGTATCATATTGCTGTAGGGAGTGTCGGGAGCACAGACCTGAGGGTGAAGATAGGGAGGTTGGGCCATTATGGAATCTCGGGTCTCTTTATGATTCTGCATAGCTGTCCAAAATCAGCAACAATCTAACCACTCACAAAGATGAGCCCCTCCCTGCCAAAAGAAGAGGATAAAACCTAACGCTTGCCCCACAAAGGGGCAGCTCTTTCTGCCCACTTGTGTCTATGCAAGTGTCCTTTATTCTCTGTCCCCTTTCCCTAATAAATGTGCACTTTAAATTTAACTAACACCTCTGTCTGGTGGAGAAACTCTCCTGGGAAACTCGCTGCGTGCCACTGAAAGGGGAAGTTCTGGTGAAACCTTTCCCAGAGTGAACCCAAGGACCCTGCTCTCTAAACCCATCAACTCCATAACTACATCAGTATCAGAAATGAAATTTCTAGTTTCAATTACTAGTATCGGAAATGAAAGGAGACATCACTATATATTCCATAAAAAATAAAAGGATGATAAATACTATGAACAATTCTATGTCCATAAGTTTGATAACTTAGATAAAATGGGCTAACTCCTTGAAAGACAATCTGCCAAAACTCACACAAGAAGAGATATATGCTCTGAATAGGCCTATAAATATATTAAAAGGTGAATCAATAATAACCTTCCAAAATAGATGGATTCACTGGTGAATTCTACTAAACATTTAAGGAAAAAAATAAACCAATTCTCTACAAACTCAGAAAACAGAAGCAGAGGGAATATTTCCTGATTGCTTTCTGAGGTCAAGATTACCCTAATAACAAAACCAGACAGGCATTACAAGAAAAAACTGCAGAGCAGTATCCCTCATGAACACATATGCAAAAACCCTCTGAAGAAAAATTAGTAAATTGAATACAACAATGTATGAAGAGTTATACCCTATAGCCAGATGGAATTTACTCCAGGAATCTAAGAACAGCTCAACATTTGAAAACCAGTTAATGTAATTCATCATAGCATATAATCATATCAAGAGATGCAGATGAAAAGCAGCACCCTTCATGATAAAAACTCAGTAAACTGGCAATAGAAGGAAACTTCCTCACTTTGATTTTAAAAAATATCTACAAAAGACCAACAATTGGCAAACTTAATGGTGAGAAACAGAAGTTTTCCCATTAAGATTAGGAATAAAGAAAGAATGGCCCCCCTCATCACTCTTTTTCAACTTTGTACTCAATGTGTTACAGAGCAAGGAGAAGGGCACCTCAGACCCTGCAAACCTGCCTGCTCTAAATATGTTCTGCCATCTGCTGCATCAACACAAAACAAATGAGACTTTAGTGGGGAGGAACTTTAATACAATTAATAAACAATACAGGAAAGGCAAAGAATATAGTTTCTAAATCAAGCACCCAAAGTTACCCATCCCCTCATGGGTAAAAGTCCACCCAAATGGAATTGGCCCAGAGAAAGGCCCGAAAGCCTGCCACAAGTCTAAAGCATCTTTCAGTGGGAACCCACAGAAAAGGATCAGAAACAACCAGATAAGTCTGGGAGGAAAAGAGCAAAATCAAAATCAAGGTGAAAGCTGCCGTGGTTATCCTCCCCATGGGTCTCACCAACATCTGTTTCAACCAGTCCACGACCAAAAGGCAAGCACAGTTTCTTCACATGTCTCTCAGCTCCATGTGTCTCCTCCAGGTCTCCTTCTGGCTCTACATCCTGCTTCCTTCCTTCCTCAGTCTCTTCGGCAGCTTCTTCTCCCTGCTCAGTTCCACCCTCCTTTGGGTGGGGCAGGAAACCTGGAACCTCCCCCCTTCCTGAGGACCACCCTGTTACAAATGTACTACCTATAAGGAAAGATATACAGATTGGAAAAAATAAAGGAAGGAAAAAATAAAATTCTTTGTTTGCAGATGACATCATTTATATGGAAAATCTAATTGTATCAACAAAGTCCTGGAAGAAGTGATTGTAGCAAAATTACAGGCTACTAGGATAAATATATTAAAGTCAATCACTTTCTTATATTGCAACAATGAACAAGTGAATTGAAATTAAAAACTACCATTTACATCAGTATCAAAAAAAAAAACTTAGGTATGAATCTAGCAATATTGTATAAGATCTATATGAGGAAAACTATAACTGATGAAAGAAATCAAGTATGAAAGGATACTACATATTCATGGATAGGAAGAAAGTATTGTCCAATTTTATCTATATATTTAATGCAATTCCAATCAAAAACTCAGCAAATTATTTTGTGGATATCAACAAAATGATTCTAAAGATTATATGTAAAGACTAAAGACCCAGAATAACCAACATAGAAAAAACAAAGTTGTAGGACTGATACTATGTAACTCGACTTACTGTAAAGTTACAGTAGTTAAGATAATGTGGTATTTGCAAAAGAATAGACAAATAGATCAAAGGAACAGAATGGAAATCTCTATGCAATACAGCAGGATTGATAACTGTACTGAGTAATGCTAATGGAGGACGAGCCACCACAGGTTTTAAGTTCAGTGATTTTTTTTCTCCCCAGGGGGGATTTGGGGGAATTATTGGGCTTTATTGAGATTTAATTCGCATATCATACAATTTTTACTCACTTAAAGAGTACAGTTCACTGGCTCTTTTAGTTTATTCAAAGTTGTGCAATTATCATCACAATCAATTTTAGAACACACTCATCATCTCAGAAACAAACCCTGTATAAATGATAAAATGTGGGGTATGCATACAATGGAATATTATTCAGCCTTAAAAGAGAAGAAAATTTTGACACACTAAACACGGATGAAACTTGAAGACTTTTTTTTTTAAGTGAAAAGCGCCAGTCACAAAAGGACTAATAATGTATGATTGCAATTATATAAGGTAATATAAGTTACCTAGAGTAGTCCGATTCCTGGAGACAGAAACTAGAACTATGATTGCTAGGTTCTAATAGTAGGGGAGGAATAGACAGGGGAGAAAGGGTAGTTAAGTTCATGGATGGTGGTGAATTGCACAATTTGAATGTACTTATCCCACTGAACTATACACAAAAATGATTAAAATGCGGTATATTTTATCACAGTTTTTTTTTTTTTTTTAAGCAAAAGAAACTCATACCTGGGCTTCCCCGGTGGCGCAGCGGTTGAGCGCTGGGTTGCGAAGCTGCCCGCGGCCTCTGCCGCGCCGGTTCGATCCCCGGCTGCTCCCCGGTCACCAGAGGAGGGTCCCACATGGCGCGCAGACCTCTCCTGCCGCCCGCCACTCCCCTCAGCAGTGTACTTCGGTCCTTCTGCCTGCTCTGCTCCCCGCTCTGGCTCTGGTGAATTCTCTCACCCTCCCGCGCTTCTGACTGTACCCAGTGCTTGTATAAACAAACAAACAAATAAATAAATAAAACATGCCTCTATTAAAAAAAACATTTAAAAAAAAAAAAAGAAAAGAAACTCATACCTGTTAGTGGTCACTCTCATTTCCCCTAAACCCCTAGGCAACCACGGATGTATTTTCTCTCTATATGGATGGATGTGCCTGTTACAGACATTTCATGTAAATAAAAGCATACACCTTTTGCCTTTCTGAGTCTGTGTGTTCAAGATTAACCCATGTGATAGTATACGTTGGTACTTCATCTTTTTTAGAATCAAGTCATATTCCATTGTATGGAAAAATATAGCACATTTTATTTATCATTTATCAATTTCCACTTTTTGAATATGTTCTAAATTCTCTCAATTAGCGATGTATATTAGATAATGTGGAGCTGGAATTGTTGGGTCATAACTTTATTTTGTCCTTTGAGGTAGTCCCAGAATGATGTACAAAATAGACGACCACGTTTCCATTCCCACTAGAAGAATTTTTAGTAAGTTTTTAACAACCATGGACACCGTTGGCTTATGATAACAATGAAAATCAAAGGTTTCTATCTTCCCATCTCCTCTTTTCCTCGCAGGGCGGGAGGGAGCAATAGTGAATAAATTACAGGGAGTGGAGGACTAGTTGCTATGGCGACTGGGTTGCCCCTGAATCCCAGCAGCCCCCTCGGCAGTGAAGCCAGGGCTGCTGTAGCGCCGCCGAAGGAGCCCTCGTTGGTTCCCCACCTCAAGGTACTTCCATGTGGCTGGCCAAGCTGGTGGGGTCAGGCGTGGGTGTAACGTTCACCTGGGCTGGGGTTCTGGGTGTCTGGAGGTTCCTGCTGGGGTGGGAGAGCCCCTGGGCGCGTGGGTGTGAGGCAGGCTCTACTTTCATCTGCTTCAGTGTGAGGCGTCTTCCTGCCGAGGCCGCAAGGAGGAAGACGACACGCGCCTGTTCAAGTGAACCAACACTTGGGTTCTTTAGATTGTGGAAAGACTTATAGAACTTTATCCCCATTCGCTTATTTATTGCTTATACACAGACTTCCATAACTTTTTATCCTCACTGCCCTCCTTGAAAAAATGCCTCAGCTCCCTCTGCTTTACACAGATGATACCCTGAGCTTTTTCTGTCATTTCTTACTACTGAAACCCGAGCTCTGGTTTACGTCAGCGTAGTGTTTATGTCTGTCAGTGGCCCAAGAGCCCGTCAAACTTAGAATATCACACATGAACTTTTCCTTATAATTTCCTTACTCTTCCCTCTGTGTTCCATATTTCCATTAGTGCAGTATCAGCCGCCCATACCCACACTGAAAACCCACTTTCTTTTTTTTTTTTGCCTTTTTATTTTTTAATTTTTAAAATTTTGTGTATTTTTTGCATCAGTTTTCATTTTTGCACAATGTATGCATTTTCATCTTGGTTATATTCTCCACACAATTCTCACCCCCCTTATTTTGACACTGATCCCTCCTCCCTCCCCTCCCCCCAGTGTGTTTCTGTTTTATAGTTGCTTCTTGATTTTGATTTTTACTTTATTATAATTAGTCTTTTTCCTGGTCAAAAACCAACTCAAATGGATTAAAGAACTAGACATAAGACCTGAAACCATAAAATATATAGAAGGAAATACAGGTGAAACACTACATGACATACACCTCAAAGACATCTTTGTGGACACATCATCCAAAGCAGTAATAGTGAAGGCAAAGATAAACAGCTGGGACAACATCAAATTAAAGAGCTTCTGCACAGCAAAAGAGACAGTAAATAAGAGACCGCTTATCCTTTTGACCACTCTCTTCCCGGTAATAACATGCTTTACATCAAGTCCAGGGGGGAAACCTTGAATTGTCTAGAATCCATCTCATCCATTTCATTCCATCCTAATGCTCTAGACTGGGCTATTCATCTCTTAGCACTATTCCAACAGCTAGAAACTGATTATTGACTGACTATTCCTCTATTCTAACCGGTTTTCCACACTGATGAGAGGTATTGCTTTCCAAAATAAAAATGTGATCATTTTCTTCCCCTGTTAAAAACAACTTTGATCACTTTCCTTTGACTATAAGATCACCATCAACTTCATAATCTGGCTGAATCTCACCCAACCATTTCATTGTTAATAGTTCCTCCCCCCACTATTCTCCCACCTTTCCGCAAACCTTATGTTCTAATGAAATACAGACGTTATTTTCCAAATCCAACACATACTTTAAGATCATTGTGGTTATGGCCACAGAGAAACTCTGAAGCATCCCCCATAAATAATAGAGAAAAGGACAAACTCAATGACTTTTCTTTGGAAAGTTATCTGAACTCTAAGTAGTAGGGTTATGGGTGCATTAGTGTAGGTCTGAAAATTGGGAAATGGAGAATTCCCCTATGTTTGGAAAACTATCTCCTCTTCACCTCTCCTCCTGTTAGTGAAATCTTAACTATTAAATGTAACTTTTAAAGTAGAATTTACCACTTCTCTATCAAAATATCTAAAAAGCAATAGAAAATAATGTCACTTCTACACAAAGATGACCCCAATAGTGAGTTATGTTATATATAGTGTTCCTTCTGTGCTCCTTAGTACATTAGTGTTCTTTACATAGCACCTTAATTTGTATTGTAATTTTTAATATATCTTTCATCCCTCACTATATTCTTTCTGAGCAATAGACACTATATTATCCTGAATATTCAAACCAAAAAAATAGGCCTTCAACCCCTTCAATTTTTACAGATGAAAATGACTAATGTAAAAGGATTATAGGTATATAAATGAATACAGAAGTACTAAGAAAGTACCAAGGAGAGGTCAAGTAATTTCCCTATAGCAATTAGAAAATGGGTATAGAACTAAATTCTCAGATTTTTCAGGTTAGTTAACTTTGTTACTTACACTGAATTTATGAAACAATTTTAAGTTTCAGGTTTTCTTTTTTAAATTTTTTTTTTCACTTTCAGTTTTTAAACACCTCCTGCCTCATCATCCAATATATATTTCAACAAGCCTTTTTTGGAATACTTACTCTTTAGGGAGATACTTGAAGCTCCTCTTCTTAAATTTGCAGTCATATGGAGATTCTCGAAACCTATGTTAATAAAAAATGTTATTTAAAAAGAAAAAGAAAAATTTTGTTTCCCTTTGGGTAGAAAGTTTTAAAAACATTTTGCCTCATTTTGTTTACTCTCAATTTTAAGTTATGAGCTTGTAAAATTTTTTGGAGGTATTCAATTGTAAATTTATTTTATTTCTAGGTTTTCTCATCTTTTCCATGAATTTCACCATCTGTGAAATTTTACCTGCAACTGTGGTTTAATTAATTAGTGATAGAGAAGAAGCTTTAACTCAGAGAAAATGTCAAATCTGAAAATGAAAGAGGCAGCTCTTATCTATCTTGACAGAAGTGGAGGCCTCCAAAAATTTATAGATGATTGCAAGTACTACAATGGTATGTTCAGCAAAGGTGACTTCTAGAAACTTTAAAATAAATCCCTGTATGTAACTATCATCATTTTATATTTGTTTATTTTAACAGATTCAAAACAAAGTTTTGCTGTCTATCGATTCAGTATTTTAATAAGTCCTTCTGATGTTGTTGAATTAGATGCTGAACTTGGAAATCATATTTTACACCAGCCTTTAAAAGCTGCTCAAGTTTTTCAATCAGTAAGTTAAAGAAAGAAATAATTTTATGCCAAATGGACTTTTCTGGTAACTTTTTGGTTCGTTTAAAATTACAGGTCTGTTTTATTGCTGTTAAGACTCTCTCATTAATTGGACAATTACAGACCGAAACTCAAGTAAGTTCTTATTAAATTTAACAAATTTGATGTATAACACTTTAAAGGTCACTTGTAAATAGATATTTTTATATTCATAAGCTTTTTGTTTATTAAAAAATTATTGCATTTTTTCTAAGTTCAGTGAAATTCTTACACATACATCTTTACTTTGTGTATTACTGTAACATTAAATATTTTTATAATAAATCATTTCAAATTGCCACCAAATAAAGAGAATTATATAATGAATCTCCATAGAGCTAGCATAAATTCTTGGAAAGTAATGAGTGAAAAATTAGCAGACTTCAGTGATGATCCATATTTTCTTTTTGGTTTTTATTTTCCTTTTTTTTTTTTTAAGATTTCTTTATTTATGCATACAAGAACTGAGGTGTAAGCCAGAGATGCAGAGGGTGAGAGGATTCACCAAAGGAAGTAGGGAGCAGAACAGGCAGGTCTACTGAAATACACTGCTGAGGGGAGGAGCCAGCAAACCTGGAGTGGTCTGCTGCACCTTGTGGGTTAGCTTCTGCTGCAATGGCTGGCGATAGCTTGGTAATGCTGTCTTTAACCCCTGCACCACCAGGGAGGCCCCTTTCTTTACTTTAATAATGAAGAACTCATGATTTTTTAAATGTTTCTAATATGGATCAATGAATCTGTCATTCTTTTTGATGCTTCTAGTATTGTCCTATTTTTGGTCTTTGGGAGTCCCTTAAATTGTGCTCATTTGTTCTTTTGACATATCTCATTAGTTTTTCATAGCTCCCTTGGTTTAAGGCACATTGAAATGCACCAGGTCCATCTGGTATTTTTTCTGCCCCAGAACTGTAGTCACCTATCTCCCCTAAGCAGTCTTGGATTCTTTTAGTGAGAAATTATATTTCAACATCATAATCTGGATGCTTTAAGTATTCATTGCTATTGTGCTGTCATTGTTCTGTAAGTCTTTCAGTGGTGTAACCAGTAAACGTGTATTTTTAAGGAAAAATAATGAATTCATAAAGATATTTTTAATTGGAAGGTTATAAAAGTTTTGCTTCTTTAATTTTGAACTTAAATCTCTCCTATGTTTAAATTCTTAGTTGCTAATAACTTTAACAAATTGTGTACTTTTTATTTACTGTATTATAATACAACTCCAGTTGGATCTGCAATTTTTCTAATACCATTTTTATGTTCTTATTAGATTAATATAGTACTGAAGTTAACACATTTACCTCCTCTGCCAAGTTATAGTCTTGATCTTTGTGAGTTTCCACTTGATTATACATCTCAAAGATTTTATATGATGCAAGGAATTGTGATTGCAATGACAACTGTAACCAAGTATACACAAGGTGCAAGATTTCTTTGTTCAGATGAAGCATGCCCTCTTTCAAAAGGTAACTACTAAAATGTAAAAATCAAAATATCATGCAATTTACTGCTTAATCCTAAATCATATTTACAATTAGTTATGAAACATTCACCAAATCTAGAAGGAGGAAAATAAAATTTGTACCCCTTAATGTGTCTAAATTTACTTAGCATAATTTTGAAACATATTCTTTCTCCCTATCTTCTCCCCTTCAACATGACAAGTGCTCTTGTTTTGTTGAAGTACTTGCTTCTCACATATTGTTTAATGGCTATTCACCTGTTTTCCTTCCATATAATTTCCTTTCTCAACCCTTTGACTTAATTTTGGTTCAGTCCTTCTCCAGGATATCTTTTTCATTCATCTCCACCTCTCATTCAATTGGATGCCTCTCTCTTCTCTCAAAACATGCTATGAGTGAAACTGCTTATTGAAATCATCTGTTTCTTATTGCTACCTATTGAAATTATGTGTTTAATCATGTATATTACCAGTGCTTTAGTACAGTGCCTGGCAAGAAATAGCCATGCAATAATACTTAATTGAACTAGTCTGAACACACATGCAAAATTGAATTAATTATCCTTTGAATTAAGTTAGTTTAAAGTATTGGAAATGGACAGCTAAATCTGAAAGCGAACATAGCTCACCTCTTTTCTTTCAGGATTTCAGTATATAAGAGTGCATGTGCCTGGTGCTACAGAATCTGCAACAATAAGAAATGACTTTTTGTGTGATCTTTGTGCATCTTCACTTCAGGAAGACAGGAAATTTAGAGTACTTGGTGGTAAAAAATGCATTTACATTTTATAATTATAATTTTTTTCTAAAGATTTATTTATTGGGCCTCCCCGGTGGCACATAGGTTGAGCGCTGGGCTGCGAAGCTGCCCGCAGACTCTGCAGCACCAGTTCGATCCCCAGCCACTGGCGAGGGTCCCACATGGCGCACAGACCTCTCCTGCTGTGCCCGCTGCTCCCCTCAGCAGTGTATTTCGTCAGTCTGCCTGTTCTGTTTCCCACTCTGGCTCTGGTGAATTCTCTCACCTTCCTGCTCTTCTGACTGTACCCAGTGCTTGTATAAATAAAAAATAAATAAATAAATCTTTAAGAAAAAAAAGATTTATTTATTTATGCATACAAGAACTGGGGTACAGGCCAGAGGTGCAGAGGGTGAGAGGATTCACCAGAGACAGAGTGGGGAGCAGAACGGGTGGATCTACTGAAATACACTGCTAAGGAGAGTAGTGGGCGAGACAGGAGAGGTCTGCTGCGCCATGTGGGTCACCTCCCTGGCCTGGGATTGAACTCCTGCTTCAGTAGCTATGGATTACTTCATAGTGCTGACACTTAACCCCTTGCGCCACCAGGGAGACCCCTATAATTGTAATTTTTAAAGTGATATTCAGCATTTTAATGTAGAAATTAAATTGAATATATATTCTAATAACAATTATTTTTCACTCTTTGTTTTAAGATAAACAGATAGTTGAAGTAATTGCCACAAATGCACTTCATGCTTTTCAGGGATATTCTAACAACCAGCCATTTAGGTTTCAATCTCTTACAATTTTCCTAAGAGGTAAGTAAATTTTGTTTAAACTCAAAGCAAATTGCTATAAGCTATGTAATTAATATGTTTGTACTTATATATTATAAATGATACTTTTATAGCTTAAGTATCATAAATCTTATTCTTGAGTATCTTAAGAGTCATATTAGCTAATGTATCAATTATTCATCTGGTCATACAACCTTCTTCTCTTAAAAAGATATTAGAACCTGCTTTGTTCCAAGCACTGCTAATTCCCTGGGTCACAGTTATTTGTAATAATGATCTCCCATTATTCTATGTGTGTATCTTATGTAAAGTTTGGAGTTATCATTTTAGAATATAAGATTTATGAGGGTGGGGACTTCATTTTTGTTGCACTTAGTAATAACTCAATAATATTTGTTACATAAATGAGCGAACATCGACTGTGATTACTGTCGAGAACTGCTGGGTAATGGCCTATCAGTAGGTGCCAGGAAGAAATTATTAGGAAGGAATTTGAGTCTTCCTTCAGAAGGCTCATTATGAAAATGAGAATGTGGCTTAGTGTTTATTCTTGGGCTAAAAATGGAGAAATCAAACTGTTCAGAGAGAGAGATCTTTGGTGTCAATCATATATAGAAAACTCAAGAGTTAGGAAAATAGAGATTCAAACAAGAATACTCTTCATCCTGGCACCACAAAGATGAGGCATGCTGGTAAGCCCAAAGGATAAAAGTTATTTTTATATATCAAAAACTATATACCAGGCATTGTTACATACACTAACTCATTTTGTCACAACAACCCTATAGGTTCTAATATTATATATATTTTACAATGTGGAAAATGAGACAGAGAAGTTAAGTAACTTGTCCAAGGTTATACAGCTAGTAAGTGAAAAAGCCTGAATTCAAACCAAGGTAATCTAGGTTCAGAGTCTATGCTTTTAACTACTTCATTATATAATATACTATATACAAAACATATATTACAATATAGAAATAGAAGTGGCTATCCAACTTATATTTTAGTAGAAAACAATTTATTTTAATAAACTTTTACATAGAACTCAACTAAATTTTTAAAATTTAAATGAATGAAAGTAGATCTTTTGAGGTTGACATCAGAAAAGATACCCAGATTTCCCAGTCTCATTGCCTACCTTTTGGCTGTTCCTTGCCCTCAGGACACATCAGCCAAACTCTGAGATCCCATAAGCAGCTGAAAAACTTTCGTGTGTGTGTGTGTGTGTGTGTGTGTGTGTGTGTTTGTATGTGAAGGAGCTGGGGTGTAGGCCAGAGGTGCGGAGGTGGGGGTGGTGAAAGGATTCACCAGAGACAGAGTCGAGAGCAGAACAGGAGAAATTACTGAAATACACTGCTAAAGGGAGCAGCGGATATTACAGGTGAGGTCTGCTGTGCCACATGTGGGTTAGACCCCTGGCCGGGGGATCAAACTCAGGCCATCGTGATAATAGCGCTGAGACTTAGCCCTAAGGCCACCAGGAAGGCCCACAATTGAAAAACTGTTTAAAGAGATAATAGTTTCTGTTTTTATTTTCCCCTTGTCGTTCATTCTGTATCTTTGAGTTGCTTTTTGTTATTTAGTTGGTTGGTTGTTGTTGTTTTATAATAGTTGAAACAGGCAAGGCTTTTGAGAGAGACGTATGCATGAGAGAACCAGTTCTACAAAGGAGAATTTATCCTGGATTCTTGGCTTTGGGTTTTTATATTTGTTTTTATTTTTTTAATTCTTGAGCTTAATTCTTCCCTTTCAGATGTGTAGGGTCATCAGTATGCTCTCTGGCTTTAAAAAAAAAAAAAAAAAAAAAAGAAAGCCAGTGAGAGAGAGAGACAAAAACAGTGGCAATCACTGTGATCTTCACAGAGAGAAGTTAATCCATGTTCTTGTAAACCTTTCATAGCTTTACAACCACCCAACTTCTGTGTAGTGAAGGATCAAGAATTTCTATGTATGTTTTAAAATAAACTTTGAACTTGAGCAAAAACTTTATCCAGTCTGTGGGTGAGAGGGAACCTAGTTATAGTGTAAGAAGGTAGACTTTTGAGATACGCAGGTCTAGATGTGAATTTGAATTCTGCTCTTTACCATTTAGATTTGTACAAGTCATTTAACTTCTTGATGTCTTCATATATACAAGTGGGGATAGCAATATTTGTCTTAAAATTTATGATTAAATTATGTGTGTAAAAGTACATAGTCTTGGGGGCCTCCCTGGTGGTGCAGTGGGTTGAGCACAGCACTGTGAAGCTGTCCGCCTCTGCAGCACGGTACGATTCGCAGCAGGCCAGGGAGATACCCACATGGTGTGGCAGACCTCTCTTGTCGCTCCCACTGCTCCCTTCAGTAGTGTTTTCGGTCCGTCTGCCTGTTCTGCTCCCTGCTCTGTCTCTGGTGAATTCTCTTACCCTCCCACACCTCTGGCCTGTACCCCAGTTCTTGTATAAATAAATCTTTTTTTAAAAAAAGTACATAGTCTTTATCGTAGACAATGAATAATACCTTTACAAATTGTTTTCTTCCCGACTAAAATTATTACTTTATAAGGTAATTTTTATTATTAACACTTCTTGTCATTTAATGCAAAGGTATTTCAACTTCTATAAAATGGTTTTATTTTTCTTTTAGTTATAGTATGGGAGATTATCTGCTTGTTATGTCACATGCTTCTTGAAGTTAACTTATTACATATAAGTATCAAATTTTAACAGCAATAAAATTGCCTCAATTTATATAATAGTTCCAGTCTATGTGGATCTTATACTAAAAAAAGTAAATATTTTATTACTAACTCAACTACTGTTTCTTCTGTGTGTAATAATTTAGATGAATCAGTGAATAAAATGGATATAGGAAATGAGTATAAAATCATTGGAATTCCAACCTATGTGAAAACCTCACAAACTGCTATCTGTATAGAAGCAAACAGTATCACTTTTTGCAATCCAAAGGGTAAGGAAATATTAGTATCATATATTAGCTAATATTTAAATTTAAATACATGTGTTTAGAAAATAAGTGTTAGTTACCTATGTGCTTAGCACTCTTCTAAGAAGTTGTACGATTGTAATCAGGAGAGCAAAGTTCCTATTCTTAAGTCCCATATTAACTAATCAATTTCAGATAATACTTACCTTGCCCACAGGAGGGATTCCTTTATTTTGACTAAACTCTACTTTGATTTTCTGTAATTAGCAATGAGGAAAATGTTTTAGGATGCTAAGAGTTAGAGATTAGCCAACAGGTCTTTCCATACTACTGTTTATTTTCTAGCTAAAACAATCTGAAAACTGTTGTGACTTGAGAAGGAGAACCCAATAAAATGACATTGTTTTCCTCATCTGAGTTCTGAACCAATGAAGAAATAAGAGAAAAGAGAAAGGTAGATAGTGCCAAAATATTATCTGTTTCGCAATTTCCTTTAACAATTCCAATATGATTAAGCATCAATAAACTAAAGTAAAGAGCAGACTTTTTCTTTTAACTTGGCTCATAAATATCTAAATATCGGAAAGGCTAGTTAAATCTTTAATAGATTTAGATTTGTTGGATTCCCTAGATAACCATCTGCAAAAATAGAAGACCAGGTTGAATTTAATTATTTATCAAGACTTGGGTAAATGGGCCTCCCTGGTGGCACAGGCGGTTGAGCGCAGCGCTGTGAAGCTGTCCACAGCCTCTTCAGTGCCGGTTTGATCCCCGCCAGCCTCGGAGCAACCCACATGACGTGGAGACCTCTCCTGTCTTGCCCGCTGCTCCCCTCAGCAGTGTATTTCAGTCAGTCTGCCTGTTCTGTTTCCCACTCTGTCTCTGGTGAATCCGCTCACCCTCCTGCGCGTCTGGCCTGTACCCCGGTTCTTGTATAAATAAAATAAATCTTTAAAAAAAAAAAGACTTGGGTCAAATACCATACATTCAGATGTAATATTTTATCAAGAAAGACCAAAAAATGTATGGTTATAGAAAAACTTGCAAGCTTTTTTATTACTTGGTTCTAGTTTCACATTGTGGTATGATGGTTTAGCAACAGCAGCTCAGTTAGTGTCAGATAATTCTTGATACCTCAAAACCCTATCCCCGCCACCACCACCAAGATTCTAGATACCTCTGCTTACCTTGAAGAGAAAAAATTCTTGTAAAAATTAAAATGTTGAAGAAAGCACTAATGGACAAAGACATTTTAGTGATCTTTTAAATATTTTCTGCTGTGAAGTATTTCAAGATGTGTTGATTTGGTAACAGAACATGAGTAGATGGATAAGTGTGCTTTCTCATGCTGAATTCCAAAATTAAGCAGATTAAACCACTCAAATGGGGCAAGAACTACACTGCAATTAAAGTGGCCTCCCTTACCATTCCTGGATGAGTGGAAGTCCTTGATCTCTGAGAGCAGCATAAGAGAAAGAAGAACGGGACTAGCTAACACATACATATTTGTTTAAACTGATCAGTTGGATTAAATCAGCCATCACTTGCAGGAATTGAAGAAAGGGTAAGAGTAGAGAAGGGTGGGGAAGATCTAGAATTTTCCAGTATAGAACAGTACAGAGTTTTCAAAGTAGTATATTATTAATATTTTGTTAATAGCAACATTCAAACATTTCCCATTTGGCATTTCAGTCCTCACTAAAGGTGATATTGTTTCAAACACAAAAATATACAAGTAAACACTGAAACACAGGAGTCCCATGATTTGACTTTCTTCGCCTAGGTGTCAAAAGGAGAATAATGAAGGATTTGCCTATAATTCACAACTAATCTATGTGGTTACATGGGGTGACTGTTCCTTTTTATTACATTTGCTGGTATAGAATGATATAACAGAGTAACTTCCAATTATAATTTACTATCATTATAAGAATTTGAATATGGCATCATTGAGAGAACTATAATTTGATAATATTTTAGATAAATGGAATTGAATATAATGTAATTTTCTTGTTGTAATATCTGTGTTAAAATTTCTTTTCAGTTCCTTCAGGAATTAGTGACAATTTCAGATGTCTCCTCTCTTTGACATCCAGCTCTTGCTGGAAATTTACAGCAATACTTGCCAATATCTTTGCATCACAAATTGTTCCTCCTGGGACTTACAATTTGCTCAAGCTCTGTTTGCTGATGAGTCTAGTACAGACAAGTGACCGTAACAAAGAACTGGAAAATTGCCTGGATATTTTGATTATAACAAGTGATACTCTACTTGTGGAAAGGTAAAATATGTGACATGAAATTTTAGAATTATAAATTGGTCACAGATTTGCATAAACTCTCTCTATGATTATTATCACAAGATGAATATTTAGAATTTACCTGAGCATTATAATATATAACAAATAAACTTATCATTTGAGTTTAAAACTTTTTAAGGCATTAATTGAAAAATGGAATATTTTGCTTTCAGTATTTTGAGAATCTGGCTACTTAAAGTTTCATCCTATTTCACCACTCAGATCTTTTCAAATAATTGCATCCTTTTCAGGCTTCCTTTTCCCCATTTCCTGGCTCAGCATTCTGCTTTTGTACTGTTTTCATTTTTAAATAACCCTCCCTCTCCACCCCTATGCAAAAGCCACAAGCCATTTTCTTATTTTTCTTCAAAATTGATCAATTCAATATTGACTCACTGTACCCAAATAAGGCAAAGTTTCAAATTGCATTTTGGGGGGTTGTCACCTTAACCTTGGAATGAACCTCTTTTTAGCATTTTGGAGCTCCCCACTAGCAGGTACCTTTATTTATTTATTTGAAAGTACTTTAGTAGGATTAGTGTATATAGAAAGAGAAGAAGAGAAAGAATGATATTTTCCCAATGAAACAACCAAAATTATCCATCCCCTTGTGGGTAAATGCCCAGCCAAAGAGGGTTGGCCCAAATTAGAGCCACTGAGGTTCAAAAACATGCCACAAATCTAAGGTACCGTTTTGTAGGGAACCATAAGAAGAGGGAAAAGGGGCCGGGCAAGTCTGGGACAAAATTAACAAAATCAAAGTCCAACTCAAGATAATGGCTGCCATTGTCAGCCTCCCCATATGTCTCTCACCCACATCTCTTCTAAATGTCTCTATAGGACTAGACTCCAGAGAACTTCTCCAAGTCTCCTATGTCCAAAGCTGAGAAGCAATTGTGACCTTTTTCTTCACATGTCTCCCTACATTGTCTCTCCCATGTGTACCTTTTTTTAAACAGTTCCTTAAATGTTCACAAAATTAGGTTTAAGATTCTTATGTAAATATCTTGTATGCAATTCTAAAGCCAAAACAAATTTATAGAATGAATTTAAAATTGAAAAATTCAGGGCCTCCCTGGTGGTGCAAGGGGTTAAGACGCAACCTATTAAGCTGTCCACAGCCTCTGCAGCACGAGTTTGATCCCCAGCCTGACAGGGAGCAACCCACATGGCACAGCAGACGTCTCCTGACTCGCCTGCTGCTCCCCGCAGCAGTGTACTTCTGTCAATCTGCCTGTTCTGTTCCCCACTCTGTCTCTGGTGAATCCTCTCACCCCCCGCATCTCTGGCCTGTACCCCAGCTCTTGTATGCATAAATAAATAAATCTTAAAAATAAAATTGAAAAATTCAAATTCAAATTAACTTAATTGGACAGATGTTTTTACCAAAATTAAATTGCAATGTAAAGATGGTGCTAACTGCTCCAGATTGCACAAATTTATTCTTCCACTAATAAGCATAAGAGTATTTATTTCCTCGCAGCCTCACAGACACTAGGTATCATAAAAACTTCGAAATTTTGCCATTTGATGGGTGGAAAATAATATTTTAATTTACATTTCTTTAATTGGAAGTGAGTTTTAGCATAATTTGAGCTTTTTAAGCTCTTGTTATTTTTCTTATGAACCTCCTATTCTTGACTGTTGTCCATTTTTCTGTTGTTCATTTCTTTTTTTAAAAAATTTTATTTTTATAGTCCCCAAACAATTGCAACCCCCTTATTTTGACCCCAAGCCCTCCTTTCCCCATTCCACCCCCACACACACAGTGTGTCTCTGGTTCATAGTTGTTTGTTGATTTTGATTTTTTTCTTTCTTATAGTTATTCTTTTTCCTGGTCCCTTATTTAGGTTTTCTAGATTCCTGCTATGAGTGAGACCATCCATTATTTTTATTTTTCTTCCTGGCTTATTTCGCTGAGCATGATCCCTTCCAGCGCCATCCATGTTGCTGCAAATTGCATGTGTTTATCTTTTTTGAATGCTGAGTAATATTCCATGGTGTATATGTACCACATCTTCTTGATCCAGTCATCTATTTTTGGGCATTTGGGTTGTTTCCAAGGCTTAGCTATTGTAAATAGTGCTGCTATAAACATAGGGATGCAGGTGCTCTTTGGAATTAATGTTTCTGTGTCCTTTGGGTAAATACCTAGGAGTGGAATTGCTGGTTCATATGGAAGCTCCATCTTTAGCAGACTGAGGAATCTCCACACAGCTCTCCATAGTGGTTGGACGGGTTTGCACTCCCACCAGCAGTGCAGGAGAGTTCCTTTTTCTCCACATCCTTGCCAACATTTGTTGTTGCTAGTTTTTTCGTTTTTTTAAATAAAGATTCATTTATTTATTTATACAAGCACTGGGCACAGTCAGAAGCGCGGGAGGGTGAGAGAACTCACCAGAGTCAGAGCGGAGAGCAGAGCAGGCAGACTGACGAAATACACTGCTAAGGGAGCAGTGGGCGGCAGGAGAGGTCTGTGTGCCATGTGGAACCCTCACCTGGTGGCCGGGGATTGAACCGGCTCTGCAGAGGCTGCGGGCAGCTTCGCAACCCAGTGCTCAACCGCTGCGCCACTGGGGAGGCCCTGTTGCTAGTTTTTTAAATATGTGCCATTCTCACTAGTGTGAGATGGTATCTCATTGTAGTTTTGATTTGCATTTCCCTGATTGCAAGTGATGTTGAACATTTTTTCATATGTCTGTTGGCCATTTGTATTTCCTCTTTGGAGAAGTTTCTTTTTAGCTCTTCTGCCCATTTTGTGACTGGATTATTTTCTTTGTTTTTGTTAAGTCTCATCAGCTCTTTGTAGATTTTGTGATCAGTCCTTTATCATTAGTGTTGTGTGCAAAAATTTTCTCCCTCTATTGTTCATTTCTTATTGATTTAAGGACTTTGTCTCTTCTTGTTTTTGAAGAACCTTTGACTTTTCCTATGGTTTATGTATGTATGAAAGATTTAGCTTGTTTTATTTTGTTTTTAAGGTAAAAGTTGCATATGGTGAAATAATCAGATCTTAAGTTATAATTTAATGAGTTTGATAGATACAGAACATTTCCATCATTCCAGAAAGTTATTTCAGTCCTCCTTCCAATCCATTCCTGTCTCCTCCAGGTGATTTCTGTCACTATAGATTAATTTTCATGTTTTTGAACTTCATATAAGTGGAATCATGTACTGTATACAATTTTGTTTTTTGAAATTGGCTTGGTTATGTGCATCAGTAGTTCATTGTTTTTATTGATGAGCAGCATTCCATTATAGGAATAGACCGTAATTTCTTTATCTTCTCTCCTATTCAAATTTTGTATGTTTTGACTATTATGAATCAGGCTACTGTAAATATTCTTGTACAATAGTGGAATTGCTATGTCATAAGGTAAATGTGTATTTAACTTTATAGATAACTACCAGTTTTCCAAGTGGTTGTACCATTTTACATTCCTACCAATGGTGTAAGAGTTCCAATTGTTTCTATACTTATCAACATCTGGTGTGGTCAGTCTTTCCCAATTTATCCATTCTAGTATGTATGAAGTATAATCTCTTTATAGTTCTAATTTGCATCTCCCTGATGACTAAGTGGTTTGGGCTCTTTTTCAAGTGCTTATTGACTACTTATATTTCTTTTATGAAGTATCTATACAAGTCCTCTGCTCACTTTTAAATTGGATTTTTCTGGATCTATGTCCTTCATCACATATATGTATCATGAAAGTTATCTCCCAGCCTAAAGTTTATATTTTTCTTTTCTTATGGGTATCTTTGATGACCAAACTCATTAGCTTTGATGAAATTCAATTTATTATTTTCTTTCTTCTATAGTGTTTTCTGGGTTTGATTTAAAAATCTTTGTAATCCTCAGAGTCACAGATATTACTCTTTTATGTTTTCATTTTAATGCATTTTTTTAACTTTTGTCTTATTGAAGTTAATTTTTGTATGTGGTATGAGTTAAGAGTCAAAGTTAATACTTTTCCTTTGCACTTGTCTGATTTTTCCATATCATTTGTTGAAAGTACTTTTCTTTGTCCATTATATTGCTTGCTACCATTGCTGAAAAATTAATTACCGAGATATAAACTTGTTATAAAATTGAACTGGGTGTAAATATAGTTGAACTCTCTTTTCAGTTATATTGGCTATTTGTTTACAATTATGCCACATGACACTTTCTTGATTATTGTTAAGTTTTGAATCAGGTGGTACAACTTTTTCATTTTCAAGATTTTTTTCACTATTTTAGGCCCTTTGCATTTTCTTAATAAAGCTTACAATCCACATATTTAATGCCACCCTTTCCTACCCCCTCAAAAAAAATAAGAAAAAGCCTTTATTTTTTTTTTTTTTAAGATTTGTTTATTTATTTATACAAGCACTGGGTACAGTCAGAAGCGCGGGAGGGTGAGAGAATTCACCAGAGTCAGAGCAGGGAGCAGAGCAGGCAGAAGGACCGAAGTACACTGCTGAGGGGAGCAGCGGGCGGCAGGAGAGGTCTGCGCACCATGTGGGACCCTCCTCCGGTGGCTGGGGAGCAGCCGGGAATCGAACCAGTGCTGTAGAGGCTGCGGGCAACTTCCCACTTAACCAGCACTCAAACACTGTGCCACTGGGGAGGCCCAAGAAAAAGTCTTTAAGGATTTTGATTTGAAGTGCATTTAACTTCTGTGCATTTAAGTCATTGCATTTAAGTTGCATTTAAGTCAATTTAGGGAATTTGCATTTTACCATATTGAATCTTCCAAACTGTGAATTTGATGTTTATCTCCATTTGTTTAGAAGTTCCTTAGTTTCTCAGCAGTGTTTTGTTAACATTATGCATATATTTTATGTTGATTTTTATTTTCTACTTTTGATGCTATAAAAATGATAGCATTTTATTTCTCACAAATTTGCTGTGAGCGGGGCCTGTGGCACAGGGGTTGTCTCAGCACTATCACCACTGTGGCCTGAATTCAATCCACAGCCAGGGAGCTAACCCACATGTTGCAGCAGACCTCTCCTGTCTCTCCCTGCTCCCGTCAGCTGTGTATTTCAGTGGCTCCACCTGTTCTTCTCCCCACTCTGTCTCTGGTGAATGTCCTCACTCCCCACACCTCTGGCCTATACTCCAGTTCTTGTATGCAGAAATAAATAAAAATAAATCTTAAAAAAAATTAAAAAAAAGAAATTTGCTGTGAATACATAAAAGTAAAATTGATTTTCATATTTTTACCTTGTATTTTATGACCTTGTAATAGTTTTCAAAATTCCTTAGCTGATTTCAATATGAAGCCAAGCTTGAGCACCATTGTTCTGTATAACTAGATTCTTAATCTGACTGCATGCTAGAATCACCTGAAATAATTAAAAAAATATATTTATCACTGTGTCCTACCCCCAAAGATTCTAATTTACATGATTTGACATTGGGCTTGGCATTGGAAGTATTAAAAATTCCTCAGATGATCTTAATTTAGGCTACAATTAAGAGACAATGTACTATAGGCTTACAAACATTTCTCTCAAAATATCACTCCTCCCTTTTATTTATCTTCAAAGCAACATTAAAATCCTTGGAACAGCACATACACTATACATTTTATAGCATCTTCCTATCCACATGGCCTATCTACCTCTGCACTTACTTTTGTACTGCATATCTCCATCTGCTTGTCATAGTTGATTGCACCAGCAAGCCATGATTTCTGTGGCAAGGATTTGAAAGCTAAGCTAAGAAAATCATATTCCCTTTTGAAAATTTAAAGTTGAGAAATGAAGAGTCGGGAGGTAATTGGTGAAGGGATTAGAAAGCAAAAGGATATATTGGGATTTACCATGATACATAGGCAATAAAGGTAGTTATGATGGGCCTCTGGTAAGAATAAATGCAAAATTTCTGAATAAACGAAAGAAAGCATTCCATGAAAAAAAAGGGAACAGCCCAATTCATATGTCATCTCTTTGTAGTTTTCTCTGGCTTCTTTCCAGGAGGAACTAATATCCTTATCAAGGTTTTCAGGACATTATTTTAGTACTTAAGCATTGTGTGTTAGTTTCTTGTCTATGTCTCACTTTCTAGGCTTTGAGCTTTTCATTTTAAGGCAAAATCTCATGTATGTGCTTATCAGCCTAGCGCAGGTGCTCATTAAACATGGAATCAAATTAAGTTGTTTAGCTGTTACAAATTATAGCTTCTGAAAATCAAATATTAGGTAATAGTAATGAATAATTTATTTTCTCCCTAGGCTTTTGAATTTTAGTATAAACCTTATTCCCCGTGGCATACGTCATCCTGTCTCCTCTGAAATTTTTCCTACTTTGTCCAGGAATAAGTATGGAACTGGAACAGGTAGCATTCAAGCTGGCAGTGCTTTGCTCGCTAAAGGTGGTATCTGTTTTATAGGAGATTTGACCTCACACAAAAAAGATAAACTTGATCAGCTCCAATCAGGTAAACAATATTTTTTTGAAATTAATTTTCACCTATTTAACTTACAGTCACATCAGTATAAAGTAGTTATTTAACAGTTAGGATCATACTGCACATATTTTAAGAATTGAGAAATTACATTAAATGACAATTCTCATTTTACCTTTATATATATATAAAGGAATTTAATATATAAATGCATCATCTTAGTCTTTACTTTCAGTTGTGCTAATACATGAGTTTGTATTGGACCAGATTTGTTTCCTTTTCTTATTTTATTGTATTAGCAGGGCCTTCCAAAATGATATTGTGAAACAGTGGTGGGAGGGGATATTTTTGATCTTAGCTGTAAAGCTTTGAGTTTCTCATCATTAAATATAGTGTAGGTTTTTTTTGTAGATGTTCTTTTTCAAGTTGAAAGAGCTCCCCTTTATTTCTAACCTATTGAGAGGTTTTTTTTTTTTTTCAGTCAATGGATGTTAGATTTTATCAAATGTATCTACTAATACGTGATTTTTTCTTTGGTAGTCTGTGTATTATAAATTGCAATAACTGATTTTCAAATGTTGAGTAGGCCTTGTATACCTACAATAAATCCCAGCTAGATGTGCTATATAGCTCTCTTCATACATTGTTGGACTCTATTTGCTAATTTTTTTAATTGAGGATGTTTGTATTTATGTTCACACTAGATACTGAACTGGAGTTTTCTTGTAACATCATTGTTTGGTTTGGTATTTGGGTAATGCTGATTTAGGACCAGATTTAAAACTAACAAGTATATCCACCATATGTATTTGGCAAAGAGCAGTCAGGGCCTTGTATTCTGGGCATGCCAGCAAGAATATGCAGCAATGCTCAGAGATATGGACTATTACCTCTTCTGCAACAGACTGCAGATGTAGGCTCACTGTGATGATTTAAGTTGGTATTGTGCAGTATTAAGATAAATGATAAAATCCATGTCAATAATTATAAATTTTAGTTTTAAAATGGCAAATGCTTCTGTTACATTTTTTGGGTAACAGTTTAATTGAGATATAATTTGCATACTACACAATTCACCCACTTAAAATTATACAGTCTAAAATTGTAACAACTGATTTTTGACAACGGTACCAAAGCAATTAAATGTGGAAAAGAAAGTTTTTTCATCAAATGATGGTGGAATATCTGACTATGTATGTGGAAAGAAGTTAATGTCAGCTTATATCTCACAACTATATACAATAAAAGATGAATTATAAACCTAAATATAAAGACTAGAACTACAAACCTACTAGAAGAAAATGTAGGAGAATGCCTTCATGGTCTTAGGGTAGGCAAAGATTTTTTTAGGCAGAATCCAGAAAACAATAAACACACACAAAAAATTTATAAATTCAACTTCATCAAATCTAAAAAGTTACATACATCAAAACGCCCTGCTTTAAAGTAAATAAGCTAGCAAAGAAAAAGAACATAATTGTACATACATCTGACATAGGACCTATGCTCGCTACAGGTGGTATCTAGAATACAGAAATAATTCCTGTAAGTCAGTAATAAAAAAACAAAGAATCCAGAAAAAAAAAATGGGTGAAAAGACTTGAATAGTGACTTCACAAAGAAATATCTATCAAATAATCAATAAGCAAAGAATGTTACTATCATGTGTCACCAGTAATAAAAGCCACAGCTACCAATACTCACATCCTAGCAAGGCCTGCTTTATAGATCTAGAACAAGAACAATTGCACCAAGCACTGCCCTCCCTCTGGCCACTAGAAGAGCCTGACACTTGATTAAAAACTCTGTTGTCCTCATCTTCAAATTTTTAATAATTTTATCTTTGAATTTGTGTTTAATGAGAAAGTCAAGTAAGACAGTGGAGCTTGAATGTGAGAAAAGGACATATGTGTACAAGTGTCTACTACAGCTTGCTATGTTATTTCTTAGAGCATTTGAAGTCACTCTGGCATCTATAATACAATTTATAATCAATTTTATTCTGCTACACTCCCATGCATCATGAGTACACTACAAATCAGGGTTCATGTTCCATATCAAAACATCTTCAATTGAGTAAGAAAAGAAGCTAATTGCTCCACAAGGCATGCTTTCTATTTGAAACAGACTTGTTTTTAATATAGAAAGAAGGCAGTGGCATTTTAAGGAACACAAATGACCAAGGAAACCCATCATGTCTTTCTTTACTTGGTTTTTTCAAGTGCTTATATTGAAAATGATGATATAGAAGGAAAGGGAAAGATAAGTTAACCCATAGTTCCTTTTCCTTTCAGTCATTCCTTACTCATGATCAGTAAACTGAAATGTGTGCAGAAATGTGTGCAGAAGTAAAATAGACAGTTTACTAGAGATTTCCACAGTAAGAACAAAACATGCGTGTATGTACTAGCTACACATCATTAGCCATTTCACCCCCAAGTTAAATGCTCATATATTTGTATTAAAGACTGGTGACTTTTGTTTGTTTGTGATTGAGGTAACATTAGTTTAAAAACATTGTATAGGTTCCAAGATTACATTTTGTTACCACATCCACCACCTTGTGCTCATTTACCATCCACCACCAACCAATCTGCCCCTTATACCCATTCCATCACCCCTTCCTCCCTTCTGGTTACCACCATTCTTTTGTTAGAATCTAAGGTTACCACCATTCTTTTGTTAGAATCTAAGGTTTTGTTTTTGCTTTTGTTTTCTTTGTATTCCACAAATGAGTGAAATCATAGGTATTTGCCTTTCTCATTCAGACTTATTTCATTTAGCATAATTCCCTCAAGGTCCAGAATTACAAATTATAATTATAAAAAGAGAAAATGAAATAGTGATAAATGCTACAACATGGATAAACTTCAAAATCATTATGTGAAAGAAATCAATAGTGAAAGAAACCATCTTTTTTTATGGATAAGTAGTTTTCTGTTGTGTATATATACCATACCTTCTTCAGCCATCCATACCTCACCAGGCATGTGTTATTTCCATGTCTTGGCTATTGTGAACGGTGCTGTCATATCATAGCAATGAATTAAGGTGTGCATATGTCTTTTTTAGTTAATGTTTTCATATTCTTCAAGGAAATAATAAATATCCTTCAAGTGAGGTTACTAGATTATGGTAATTCTGGTTTTAATTTTTGAGGAACTTCCATTCTATTTTCCATAGTGACTCCATCAGTTTACATTCTCACCAACAAGGATTGAGAGTTCCTTTTTTCTCCACATCCTCATCACCATTTATTAATTTTTGACTTTTTGATAATAGCTGTAGTAACCAATTTGAGGTTAAACCTCATTGTGGTTTTGATTTGCATTTCTCTAATGATAAGCCATGTGGAACATCTTTCCATGTGTCTGTTCGACATCTGTATGTCTTCTTTGTGAAATGTCTGTTTTAGATCCTCTGCCCATTTTTTATTCTGGTTGCATGTTTTTTGTTGTTGAATTGTACAAGTTGTTTATATATTTTGGATATTAACCCCTTATCTGAAATATAGTTTAAAAATAATCTTTTTCCATTCGAGTGTCTGCTTTTCTTTTAATGATGGTTTCTTTCACTGTGCAGAAGCTTTTCAGAATAATATAGTTCCATTTGTTTATATTCTCTTTTGTTTCTCTTGCCAGTGGAGATGAATCAACAAAGATATTGCTAAGACTGATGGTTTAAGATTGGCATTGTGCAATATAAAGAAAAATTATAAAATCCATGCCCATAATTTAAAATTTTAGTTTTAAAAATGGCAATTACTTCCGTTACATTTTTTGGATGACAGTTTTATTGAAATATAATTTGCACACTATACAATTCACCCACTTAAAATTATACAGTTTAGTGGATTTTATAATACTCAGAGTTGTACAACCATCACTAGCTACTTTTGGAACATTTCTGCACCCTGAAAGGAAACCCCCATACACATTAGCAGTCACTTTCCAAACCCCTACCATGCAACAGTCTCTGGCAATATGCCTTCTACTTCATGGATTTACCCATTCTGAACACTTCATATAAATGAAGTCATACAAAATGTAGTCTGGTGACTGGCCGCTTTCACTTTCCATAATGATTTTGAAGTTTGTCCATGTTGTAGCATTTATCACTATTTCATTCTCTTTTTTATAATTATTTATAATTCTGGTAAAATACACATTAAATTTACCCAATTAAACAATTTTTAAATAGAAAATTCAGTGGCATTAAGTACATTCACAATGTTGTGGAACCATCACCACTACCCATTTCCATAACATCTTTTGTAACCCTGTAGGGGCAGGATGGTCACTGAGCAGGTTTTCTAATCCAGCAGACGGATAAAGGAGTATCCTCGAGCCCTCGGTGGGTTTCTCAGGCTTTTATTGAGCTTTACATGTAGTGTGGCAAACAGGTACATGGCAGGCAAGGGTGCTGGGGGGCCAGGAGGCCATGGCCTCCAAGACCCCAGCAAGTCTTCACTCTGGGCTTCTCTGGCCTTCTTTCTCCCCCTTCTCTCTCCTGCTGCTTCTCCTGCTTCAGCTTCTCTTGGTGGCTATCTCAATACTCCTCCCATGGCCCACAGAAGTGAACAAGTCAGCTTACAACACTGTAACAACTGCAGGTGCCCCATCAGGCAGGGCAATCCTAATGGTGGAAGGACAGAAAAGCCTGAAAACCATTTACCCTACGAAACCTTAACTGAAACTGTACCCATCAGCGATAACTTTGATACCACCAATCCCTAGACCTTGGTAACCTCTATTCTGCTTTCTGTCTCTATGAATTTATCTAGAGAAATCTCATTCCTTTTTATGGTTAAATAGTGTTTCATTGCATGCATATACCACATTTAAAATATTTTATTCATCTGTTGATGGACACTTAGGTTGTTTCTAAACTATTGTGAATAGTGCTGCTCTGAACGTTAGTTTACAAATATTTGTTTCATCCTCATTTTCAACTCTTTGGGGGTATATACCTGTAAGTGGAATTGCTGTATTAGATAGCAATTCTATGTTTAGCTTTTTGAGGAACTACTAAACTGTTTTCCACAGTGGATGCACCATTTTATATTCCCACCAGTAATGCACAAGACTTCAAATTTTTGCACATCACCCTCTAACATTTTAAAAGTAAAAAAATATTTTAAAGGAAATGTTTTATATATCAGTGCTCTTAATAACAGGTTATTTTCCCCCTGAATTTTGAATAAGTGACTCAATTTTTAATTTTACACAGTGTTTCACAAATTACATAACTGACTCTGCCAATAGAATGACAACAGTTAACAAGATTGACAACAACAAATGTTGCTGAGAATGTGGAGAAACTGGGATTCTTGTATGTTGACAGGAGTATAAAATGGCACAACCATTTTGCATACTGCTCAGGCAGTTTCTATAGTTACATATATATTTACCTTAGGAACTAAAAAGAAAATAACATGGATACAAAAGATTCTTATCATGGAATCTATGATTAGAAGACTAATTTGAGAGATATTTGGGAGATAGACTGCTAAGAATAAGATTGAATCCTAGATTGAATGGTTATGGGGGATGGGAAGAATTAAAATGAGAATAGGATATTTCCACATGTTTTAGTTTGGTTTTCAAGTGGGTGGACAGCGATGCCTCTAATTGTGACTAGTGCATACAGAGTCTTCTGAGGTGGAGAAATGATGTGTTTGGCTTTGCACACGTTGAATTTGAGATACATTTTGCACTAGTCATTGTAATTTATATTCCCTATCAATATTTTCTTCTTTCACTGCCACATAGATGACCTGCTTTCTGTTATTTTTTTCTACATAATAGAAAATTTCTTAATTTCAGCCTCACTTGTAAATTTGAACTGTTTGACTGGTCTCCTAACCCTCTGCCTATTCTACCCAGATATTGAGTACAGTTCTGCTATGTAGGGGCAGGAGAGGCACAGGGTAGGATATCTAGGATCAGAGCAGACTGGGTAAAGGAGAGTCTTGGAGCGCTGGGTGGGTTTCTCAGGCTTTTATTTAGTTATGGCAGGCAAGGGTGCTGGGGGGCCAGCAGGCCGGGAGGCCGCCAAGCCCCCAGAAAGTCTTCACTCTGGGCTTCTCAGGCCTTCTTTCTCCCCTTCTCTCTCCTGCCTCTCTCTCTTCTGCTTCTCTTGGTTTGCTCCTCTTGGTAACTATCTCAATACACCTCCCATGGCCCACAGAAGCCCCATCAGGCAGGGCAATCCTAATGGTGGGAGGGCAGAAAAGCCTGAAAAACCGTTTACCCTGCATGCTACCTGTTTTATTCTGGTGGTTCTCATCAAGTCATAGACACCTGACCATTCAAATATTTCTCTCGCTTTGTTGTTTTTGTAACAGATTATCTAATTTACTCATATATTACAAAATAATCAAATTTACTTGTGTCTTTACTATCAAAGGTTAGATATAAAATTCTATATAATATTTGTTATTAATTTGTAGATATATAGGCCAAAAATGTTTTTAAATAACAAATGGATATTATCTTCTGATGTAGTTGTGGAAACCAGAAGTATCACAGTGTACATTCCAGGAAAGAAGTTTGGGGATGATATAGATCAACAAATGACTTTTCCAGTTCAGTGCAGCTTTTGGTCTTTTGTTGATATGGATTCACCTTCAAGGAGAAATACACAAAAAGCCAACACTTTAATAGGTCAGATGGTAAGCTATATGTATATTTTATTGTTAGACTGTTCCTCAGCAATTTCAGTCACAGATTTTAGTGTAATGTTTTTATTATTCTTAATGTTTTGTTATTTACCTATTTCTGTACTTAATCAAGTGCTAAAAGTAAATAATGATACAGTTGTTTAGGTTTTTTTCATGTGTATTAGTCATGTAATGCAGACTGCTCACTAGAAATTGGCATTTGAATAGGCTAGTAGGAAAGGCTTTAATAAAAATATGTAGAGAATAGTCAAAGAGAATTTAAAAAACTGTCACCACAAATTCCCATGTTATTCAGGAATAGCTTTAAGTAATTCATAATAGTAAATAACATAATAATATAATGTAATATAATCAAATACTTTAATAATTATATTAATAAGTTAAATAATAGTTATAATTATTACTTATAATTGTTTCCAAAATGTTTGTGAAATGCCACAGTTTAATGTTTGCCTTTTACCTTTTGTTTTGATGTAGGATTGTAGTTTGATTCCAGCTAACCTTGTCGAGGCATTTGGATTATTGATTAACTGCAATGAATCATCTCCTTGCTACTCATTTCTTCCAACTGTGCAGCATACTTTAAAAAAATCCATTGATCCTGAAGGGCTGCTTTACATAGATTCTAAACAGTTTACAAGTGAAGATTTTGAAAAGGTAAAGGTAGATAAAATGATTACCAAGAATACTTAAGCTAATATTTCTCAGTTTAAGTAGAATTTCCTTTGAACATCCAATTTTCTTCATTTAGGATTTTTTTTGTTTCCAGCTTTTAAATACTCAAAGGATAGTGTATGGAAAATATTTAGAATTATAGTGAAATAAACAACTGTATATAGACATAGATATTAAAATGCTGAGTTTGTTCTTTGCACCACCTTTCAAATCACTGTAATTCAAAAAAATCTGAATATTAAAAAAACAAGATATTCTTATAGAAAAAGTTATAATACGCTGTTTTATATGAATGCCTTCAGAATTTTCACTTTTGGGAATATATATCATGACTCACTAACCTATTTTATTAACCTGACATGTAAACTTGTGTGGCATTTTCAGAGTGCCTGACAATAGATGATGTAAATTCAGTAATGGTTCTTATAGCTATTAAATATGCTCAGGTACTTACAAGTGAAATTCTTTTGGTATTAGTTCTTCAGAAATCTGTCCACAGTACAGTTAAAGTGTCTGAGTAGGACAGATAAAAGGCAGGGGATATTGGAAAGTGAGAATTCATGAGTCAATTTTTTTCATACTTGCCTTCCTTATAGACATATTGTATGGGTAGAAGGGTAAAAATGAGGTTGATTTAAAATGAAACATAAACTTTTTTATTCATATGGGTTAGACTAGAAAAAACAACATAATACAGTGAATTTTTTTCCTAATTGAGATTAAAAACAAGATATATGAAACAAGGGAAAATTTATGTACTAACATGGGTGATGTTGATATAAATATTGCAGGAATTCAGAAGAGCAGATATCAAGTAGTATGAAAGTAGTAAGAGTTGAAAGACTTCAAGGACAAGATGAAATTTTAGTTGGGCTTAAAAGAAGTTAACATTAGATGGCAGGAAGAATAGGCATTCAGGATAGATATGATAGTGAGATCAAAGATATAAAAATAGAAATGAGTATACTACATGGAAAACTATGAGAAGACCTGACTGGAGCAAAAATTTTATTATGGATCCATTGCTATTAAAATTTGACAAATTTATAATAAGCCTTGAAACTCAGGCACAAGGTTTATGGTTGATTCATCAGACTGCAGAGAACAGCTGTCTACTTTACTAGGCTTGGTTAGTGAAAAATGATTTCTTCAGAAGATAAATCTGTGCATCATACATAACCAATTAGATGGAATATGTTGCAACCTGGGCTTTCCAAGAGGCAGACTGAAATGGAATTTCATGTGCCAGTGTTTATCAGGGAGTGGTATTATAGCAAAACGAGTGGAAGGGAGAAGGAAGCACTATTGGCCAGAGGAAGGAGTTAAGCTGTAATGCAGACCCAAAAATGACCTCTAATACCCTGTAGTGAGTTCTGGAGCTACAGAAGATCCCTCACAGTTGTCTTGCTTTGAATGGAAATAGATGATTTGAATAGAAATAGAGATCTAAAATACCTTCTTCCCCACCCTTCACTTCAGTCTTTTGATGTGGACTGTCCTAAGGCATTCTCTAAAGAAGAGAAGCACTGGAGGCCATTGCTAACATTTCCAGTAGTTGGACAGCCTACTCCTGAAGAGGCATTTAAGTAGAACATCACTGTGCCTTCATAGGATTAAACTTAGAGAGGGCTACTAATGCTATCGGTAGTAGTATCATTTAGTTCTGAGTATCATTTGGTTCTGATCATTTAGTATCATCACAATTCTGAAGAGAATTGTGGAATATTAAATGAATAAAAAAGACAGGATATATCCAGATCCTTAAAAAAAAAGTTTTACTTAATATATAAACATTGCAGGTTAATAACAAGTCTATAATGTTTAATTTTTCCTTTTAGTTCTGTGAGTTGAAAAAGAAAAGTAGACTGGTGAAATGTCTGGGAATAGTATCATACAGTAAGGATTTAAGGAACTGGGAGTCACTCAGAAAGAAAACACAAGCCTCACAGAAAACTATGATAAACATTACATTAAAGACTTATTCTCGGGCCTCCCCGGTGGCGCAGCGGTTGAGCGCTGGGTTGCAAAGCTGCCCGCAGCCTCTACGGCGCCAGTTCAATCCCCGGCTGCTCCCAGGCCTCTGGAGGAGGGTCCCACCTGGTGCGCAGACCCCTCCTGCCACCCGCTGCTCCCCTCAGCAGTGTACTTCGGTCCTTCTGCCTGCTCTGCTCCCCGCTCTGGCTCTGGTGAATTCTGTCACCCTCCCGCGCTTCTGACTATACCCAGTGCTTGTATAAATAAATAAATAAATCTTTAAAAAAAAAATTGTCTACCAAAAATCTTACTGAATCTCCAATGCCCATTTTCATAATAGTTAACATAGTGCCTCCTACATTGTGATCAGGTGTATTCTTTAAAATGAAGGAAAATAAGGAGGACAAGTAGCTTTAAGACCAATGAGAGAAAGTTCTAAGGAAATAAACTGCCGAAGAATAAAAAGTATTCAAAGAGAAATGAGCGCTTAAAGAAAACTTCTCTCCCATTGAAATGATTCAAGTGAGTCTTTATTCCACTGGAAGCAAAGACTTGATAGTCATTCAAATAAATACATTACACAGAACATTTCTGTGCTAAGAGGGGAGAAGAGATTATTCTGGGTAAACTTTAATTTTCTTAGAAGTATAAATTTCTGATTTAAGTATTCAATGGCTTTGAGATGACTCCAAATATTTAATCAATTTTACGTAAATGAAATATTCTAACTTTTTTAAAAATAAAATGACAATATACTTTGTTTTTTTGTAATATAGATTTGATAATGCTTGTGTCTCAAAATTTTCACTCTTAATATAGCTGCTGGCTTTTGCAAAGAATTTGAATGTAGAATTCAGCATGGAGGCAGAGAGAATGATTCATGGCTATTATCTAGCGAGTCGCAGAATCAGAACAGATTCTATAAGTGGATCAAAACTGACAGCATCTGCATTAAAATATTTGTAGGTATTCGATGCAAAATTTAAAAGTCAGCATTGACCTAAATGAGGTGTTTAACTTACTTATTTCTCTGTTTCACTTGTTTGTATATTTGATTGCTGTTTGGTTAGTTTATAATTTGTTCCAAAATAATTTAAGGAAACTTAATTCCTTTTGTTATATTGTTACATAATTTTAACTTCTAATAATTACTAAAAATTAATTTTTATTGGATCCCTTGTATGAGATATGTCTGAGAACAGTGCATTGTTTGCTAATGCAAATTATTTTTAAAAACATGACTGTTTAATCATTCCAGGTATTTTGTAGTTGAATCTAGAAAAAATTCTTTAAGTTTTAAAAAATAATTGTTCTTGTATTTTGAAATTCTTTGTTTTTTTTTAAAGATATGTTTGTTTATGCATACAAGAACTGGGGTATAGGCCAGAGGTGTGGGGGTGAGAAGATTCACCAGAGACAGAGTGGGGAACAGAAAAGGCAGACCGACTGAAATATACTGCTGAGGGGAGTAGTAGGCGAGACAGGACAGGTCTGCTGTGCCATGTGGGTTAGCTCCCTGGCTGGGGATCAAACTCATGCTGCAGTGGCTGCTGATACCTTGATAGTGCTGAGACTTAACCCCTTGTGCCACCAGGGACACCCTATTTTGAAATTCTGTAATTGACTCACCTATTACTGTTCCTTAGAAACTTTTTTAAACTAACTTTTATTATAAAAGTGAAATATGGACATAGAAAAAGAGCCTTAAATGATGTATAAAGTACACTGCTATCTCGAGCCAATTCCTATTCCACTTCCCAGAATAATCACTATTAACAATTTTGTTTGTATTCTCCTAGACATACTAGCTTATACATATATGTAATTTGTATATGATGCATATTAAATACATGTTTATTTAAATTTTACATATTTTAAATGATTGATATTTAAATATATTACACATAAGTATACATATTCATATGGATACTCTCTTTTTTTCCAAATGGAATCATATGTGTTGTACATATCATACTGTCAGCATTTAAAGAATTACCTGATTGTTTTTAATAGCTGCATCACAATTTTACTGTGTTGTGATTGCTGTTCCATTATTTAAACAGTCCCTTAATGATAGACCATTATTTCATTTGATATACATTAATGTATAATCTCAAACAAATTATAAAGTAGGACCAGGATTAAGATAATCCATTAAATTAATAAGTATCTTGTTATAATTGCAATATAAAGTAAGACAAGTGAAGGACTGGCAGGCAGGAAATGTCAAATACAGTTCTAAAAGAAATATTTAGTTCATTTCTCCAATTGTATATTTATCTTCATAGGGTTGGGAAAAAATGCTGTAGATAAGCCAAAGAGAAATCAGGTGTGATGTCTTAAAATGATAAAATTATATAATGCTGTCCATTTTGTGAAGTCATTTGTAAAATAGTTATATCAATATTCAAATACTTAATACTCAAATCTTAAAAACATTAAGGTTCCTATTTCCTTATAATGTATTTTCTCTGTAATAAAGATATTTTTATTTGAACACATATAGCTTAGGTTTATGTGACTATATTGACCCCAAAATAAGGCAGAGTAAATTTTAATATAACTATTTTTTGCCATTGTGAAAAACAAATACTATGACTGGAGGTGAGGTTTATGAGATAGCAAATTAAATAAACCACTACTCAGGGAGTCATAAACCTTGCATTTTCCCACCTACTACTATACATAGGTACCTAATAATACCATCTTTGCTTTTCTATAAAATGGAGCTGAATAATATGCTATTTTCTTCTGAAAGACTATATATACATAGTCTGTCAATATTATTAGAAGGAATTTAGGTAAGGACATCAGGAAAATTATAATCAAACTGTAAATAAATAACACTGGAACGTCTTCATAGATCTAAATGATAATCTTAGTCTAACAGGAAGAAAATTAGTAGGATAAATGAAGTAAGATAATGTCCTCAATTAGGTCCCAGCCTTCCTATGCAAGCATAAATGAATGAAAAAAGGGTGATATGGCCTAATACGAAAAGGACTTAAGATTTCATTCTTTCTATGTTTAATATGTGCAAACAATATAATCTTCCTGTTAATAATGTGCTTTGGGGTTGTATTAATATAGTATTAAGAGTAAGAATATAATGGTTCTGCCTTACCTCTAATCTGCTGGCTAAAGTACCTGTAAATTCTATACTGAAAAAGAATTTTAACCAAATCTGGCTTAAAAAGGTTAGTTATGGAGCCTCCCCTGGTGGCGTAGCGGTTGCGCGCTGGGCTGCGAGGCTGCCCGCAGCCTCTGCAGGGCCAGTTGGTTCCCTGGCCACCGGCGAGGGTCCCACAAAAAAAAAAAAAAAAAAGAAAGTTAGCTAGGATGGTAAAGGGTCTGAAAATTACCTCTTATGATGTATTAAAGGACCAGGAATATCTTGGAGAAAAAAGAAAACATGGGACAACTATGAAAGTTGCTTTTGAATATTTGAAGAGCTGTCACAAAATTTAGAAGTAGTAGGCTTGTTCTGTAGTCTCTGAATTCAGAACCAGGGACTAGTGGGTGGAAATTACAGTGAAACCAATTTCAATTTACTCTTACATAATCTTGTGGGTGAGTCACAAAACTTTCAAATACCTTATTTGAAACCACAATAACCCTATGAATTATTATTATCCCCATTTTGTAGTCGTGCTTCACAAAAATCTCAGAAATTGAGAGATTGATACAAACTCACCCAGCTAGTAAATTCTAGAAACTTTGCCTATCTTTTCTGTTTCCCTAGTCCAGCAATCATTCAAGTATGTCACATGTGCCTAATAAGAGGTTTTCAGGTAATCAGTGGTAGTTAAAAAATTAAAATAAAGAATGGATTGCCTCATGAGTCCCAGTGAATCCTAGGAAAGTTTCAAGAGACTGAACAATAGTAGCTTGGGAGGGATATTGTAGAGAAAATTCAATTATCTGATGGAAGTTTGGATTTTGAACTCTAAGATCTCTTCTAACACTATTTCAAGATTCTATCAGGACTTCATAGCCATGAAGAATTTGGAAGAAAACACCAAGCAAGAATATGTCTGTAAGAGATATTTAATTAGGTTAATTTTTCCAAGAGTGTATTTATCTGAACAGAATTTGGGTAGAAGAGGTGTAGAATAGAATTGGGCCTCCCCAGTGGCACAGAGGGTTGAGCACAGCTCGGTGAAGCTGTCCCCGGCCAGGCAGGGAGATTCCCACATGGCGAGGCAGACCTCTCTTATCCTGAGTCCACTGCACCCCTCAGCAGTGCTTTCGGTCTGTCTGCCTATTCTGCCCCCCTCCCTGCCTCTGGTGAATCCTCTTACCCTCCTGTGCCTCTGGCCTGCACCCCATCTATTGTATAAATAACAAATAAAAAAAATCTTTAAAAATTAAAAATAGTTAAAAATAAAAAAAAGAAGAGGTGTAGAATAATAAAGATATACCAGGGTGGAAACCAAATCCTTAGATAAGAAGTCAGGATACTCATTTTTTCTGGAATATTCTAATGAAGTTGGGAGGAAAAGAATACTTTGAAAGAAATTAAATTTTGGAGAATAATGTTCATGTGTTGCTATGAGACTGCACTTTACAAATTTCCTTTTTATTATTGTTTTCAAATAAACCCATTTGTTGATGAAAAAAAGTGATTTTTAAAAAAAGAATATGCTGATGTTTAAGGTGTGACTTATATTCACACATCTTTGAACTTGCCAAAATATATATAATCTTTACCATAGAAATATATTTTGATTGGTATCAATTTTATTTCTTAGAGTTTCCCTGTCTGAAGCCCATGCTCGACTGAACTTAAGGAATAAAGTGCTTAAGGAAGATGTACTAATTGCAGCCATATTATTTGAAATATCTCTCACATTGAAATATGGTAATCTATTAAGTCATTAGTAATCACAAGTAATTATATTAAACAAATGTTCTGTCAAAATGTTAGATATATTTTAAAAATTATTTTAGAGAATCATAAATTTCTATCAGGTAAGCCTTGTTTGAATTTGAAGAATTAGTAATTGTTTATAGGTAGTATCATTATCTGATATTGTTATTGTACATAATTGTTTCTGTAATTGAATTTTTGCATTGCTTGAATTCAGGGGGAAAATGTCTAATACAACACAAGAAATGATTTAAAATTTACCTTCTTTTTAAAGTGCAACATTTAATTATCTAATAATCCTCTACCGTGGAGTGAGGCATGTAAACAAACAAAATGTGATTTTTTTTTTATCACCGCCTTTCCTGAATTGCTGCTTGTAATATTAAGACTATAGCATTTAATTATTTGAAGATTTTATTTATTCATTCATTCATTCATTCAAGCACTGGGTACAGTCAGAAGTGCGGGAGGGTGAGAGAATTCACCAGTCAGAGCAGGGAGCAGAGCAGGCAGAGGAACCGAGGTACACTACTGAGGGGAGCGGTGGGCGGCAGGAGGGTCTGCGCGCCATGTGGGACCCTCCTCCGGTGGCCGGGGAGCAGCTGGGGATCGAACCGGTGCTGCAGAGGCTGTGGGCAGCTTGGCAACCCAGCGCTCAACCGCTGCGCCACCGGGGAGGCCCCATTTAATTATTTGAAATGAAAGGAACTTACGGTAATAAAAACATAAGAGCTAAGGTAAGAGTAAAGAGAGTTAGTCTTAAAAAGTTCTTTGTTGAATTAGATGAAACATTAATTTGGTGAGAGGTAACTACTTCAAATCAAACTTTGGCTCTAACCCCGGGACCCAAAGAATGTATCAACACTGACTTTCTATGTTCAGTGCTTAAATTTGTTTTAAATTTAATTTTTACTTGTAGGGGCAGGAAAGGGCACTGAGCAGGTTTTCTATGATGGTATGCAGACGGGGTAAAGGAGGAGAGAGTCCTGGAGCCCTCAGGGGCTTTTGCAGGCTTTTTTTGGATTTACCAGGTACACAGCAGGTAGGGGTGCTGGGGGCCTGGGAGGCTGGAGGCCTACCAGCCTCCCAGGACCCCAGCCAGTCTTCACTCTTTCTGGGCTCTCTGGTGGTCTCTGCTGCTCTCGTGGTTCTGCTTTTCTCGGCTTTTCTGTTCTTGTGGTTCACTCTGCTTCTCCTTCTGCTCTCTTGGCTTACTCCTGGCGTCCCTGTGATGCTGCCCTTAAAAGCCCAGTCTTAGCCCAGGTGAATCTCATCTACATAGGCCCATACCCCACTCCGGGTGCCCGCCATCAGGCATGCATTCAGGACTTCAGGGTTATGTCATCTATCCTAATGGCTGGAGGGCAGAAAAGTCTGATACTTTTTTCTTTACCCTACATACTGTAATAATTTTTCATAAAGATCTGTGTTCTATTATCTAAATTATCTACAAATATCTATCTGTGTTCAATTATCTAAATCAAGCATTCTTAATATGATGCAGGGACCCATAGTCTTTTTTTTTTTTTTAATTTTCTTAATTTGTGGGTCATCTTTCTATAGTTACTGTTCCCTTTAGGTGTGGCTCTCCCACCAATAATCCACCCTCGGTACCACCACCCAGCTCCCCTGTGTCTCTCTGCTCCTATCACTTTCACTCCTCCACTGCTGCCAGATGTAGATTGTTGGTCGGCCCACCAGCCTTGTCTTTTTCCTAGAACTTTGGACTTTTCTTGGGCAAGGACCTAGGCTTCTGAGCCGCAGCACACTATACTGCTCTAATCCCAAGGTGCAACTATGAGGTAGGTAGCCAGCCAGAGTCGTTTAGGAGCCTCTTGTATCTCAGGTGTGTGGTGTGGTTCTCGGACTCCTTGATTTTGGAGCTCCCTGTGGTATTGGAGGCTGTCTTGTTTTGTCCAGTCCAGCGTGGTGTCTGGGCTCCCTGCCTCCTCAGCCACACAGGTTGTACCACCCATTCCGGTGACTGTCATGTGATGCTGCTTCTGAGTCATATAATTCTGGCATTGAGAACCCTGCTCCCCGCCAATGTCAGTGGCTAAGTTCCCCGGTGGGGACAGACTCCAATAGATGGTTAGTCCAGCTCCTCTCATCTCCTTTTGTGGTTTCCAGTCCTGCGTTGGGTCCCCAGTCACAGCTCTGATGTTTTCCTCCCCCAGTTGGAAAAGGAGGAAGCCTCAGTCACCTGGCTTGCATCTCTGGACCAGGGTTTGGTTCTTCAGCTCCCAGAGATGTTGTAGGTGGGTCTCATGTGATAGGTCACCACATCAGTTGTCTCATCTGATTGAGCAGTTTGGGTCAGCCCCAGGCAATGACTGTCTAAGGTTTTGATTTGTCCTTCTGATAAAAGTCTGCAGAAAGGGTGCCTGAATTACAAATGTCTTCACCAACCCAGTTGATGCCGGAGTCAGAAAGGAGAGCTCCCTAAATGTTACTTTGAACATAGTCAGAAAATAATCCCTACTCAGGTCTAGTTTTCTTGAATACAGAAAACAACACAAACTAGAGATGTGGGTGGGTTGTTGAGGGAATAAAAAACAAAAATGCCCAGGTTTGTCTTGAGCAAATGATTGTATCATGGTACCATTTACCAAGATTTGGAAGAAAAGGATTTGGTTAAAAGATCAAATTATAGATATAAGTGAGATATTTTACCAGAGATCAAGCAACAGATGTTAAGAATCTGGATAATTTTAACCAAGACGCAATTTAAAATCACTAATTTCCTAATTAATCATGTCATCTTTTCATGTGCTTATTGACTGTTACCTTCGTTGGAGAAATGTCTATTCAAGTCCTTTGTTCATTTTTTAAATCTGGTTTTCTTGTAGACCCCCTATCAGGTATGATTTGCAAATATTTCCTTCCATCCAATGGGTTGTCTTTCCATTATTAATTGTATCTTTTGATGCAGTTTTAAATTTTGATACGATCTAATGTTTTTCTTCTGTTGCATGTGTGTAGGGTAAGTATCAGACTTTTCTGCCCTCCTGCTATTAGGGTTGATGACGGATCCCTGTGGATCCATCCTGAATGTGTGCCTGATAGTGGGCACCTGGAGTAGGGTGTGGGCATGCTTAAGTGGGTACACTTGGGCTAAGACTGTGCTTAAAAGGGCGGCATTACGGGGACGCCAGCAGAGCAAAAGATCAGACCAAAGCAGAAGAGAGCAGGAGAGCCCAGAAAGAGTGACCCGGCCTCCTGGCCTCCCAGCACCCCTGCCTGCTATGTACCTGGTAAACTCAATAAAAGCCTGAAAAAGCCACTGAGGGCTCTGAGGACTCTCCTTTAACTAGTCTGCTCAGATCAGAGAGAACTTGCTCTGTGCCCTTCCTGCCGCTACAATGTGCTTTTGGTGTTATAGCCAGGAAACCATTGCTAAGTCCAATGTCATGAAACTTTTTTTTTTCCACCAAGTTTAGTTCTTTTGCTTAGATCTCAAATCCATTTTTTGTTTTCCATGTAAGGGACTGTAGTGGCAAGAATGGGCACAGGGCAGGTTCTCTATGATTCGAGCAGATGGGGTAAGGAGGAGTCGTGGAGCCCTCGGTGACTTTTGCAGGCTTTTATTGGGATTTACCAAGTACACGGCAGGCAGGGATGCAATGAGGGTGGGGTGGTGGGGGCTCTCCAGCGTTCTCTCGTGGCCTCTGCTGCTCTCTCACTCTGTTCCGTTCTTTTTGCTCCTTTGATGGCATCCCCGTGACGCCACCCTTATAAGCCCAGTCCCTCAGCCTAGGTGAATCCCATCTATATATGCCCACACCCTACTCCAAGTGCCCGCCATCAAGCATGCATTCATGTGGATCCATCATCAATCCTAATGGCGGGAGGGCAGAAAAGCCTGACACTTTTTTTACCTTACCCTACAGGGACCAAGCATAATTCTTTTGCATGTGGCATTTCCCAGTACCCACATGTTAATACCATCCTTTCCCAATGAATGATCTTGGCATCCTTGTTTATGAGGATTTCCAGGCTATCTCCTGTTTGTTTTTCAGAGAAATGTATCACATCTTTATTCTTGACCACCCACTTAACCTTATCAATGCTATTTCTCCCACCTTATATAACTTTAAAACTATAATGTCTGCTTTAGTAGATAAATGTTTCAAGATCACATTGAACATCACTATTTCTGCTGTTGACCGGATAGCAGTTAGCATTTACTTAATGTTTCTGGGACCTCAAAAAGCCACCTAAATGATTACTGAAATATTATTAAATGTCAAGGTTTAATATGAAATTTCATTATTGAAAATGGAATCCCAAAATTAGCATTTAATTCTTTCACTTTTTCTTTTCTTAGGGGCCGCCGTGTTTTGTGTTGCACCAAATGCACTATTTCCATTTGAACTGTACAGTGAAGAATATTTAGAGCAAAGAGATATTTATCTGACTCAATGCCAACAACAGCTTCAACAGTTCATTGCCACATATGGACCTGGGACAGCTGTTTTCACTAGTGATGAATAGGCAAATCAAGGAAAATGTCCTTTTTTCCTAAGGAGAAAAACCTGGTTCTGAAGTAATGCTTCAGGTAATGCTGTCTTACAGAAGTACACTAGAAAGCCATTTTAAAAATGTTGCAGGGTAAGCAATGGAAAAAGTTTTCATGTAGTTCTTTGTCACAAGACAGCAATAACGCTTTAAATGAAAATACCTGCAATATTTTTAACTATTTCTTTGATTGAAAGCTTAACAAATAGTATCATAATCTGAAACCCCAAATTTAAGAACTCATATTTTACTAGATTGATATTTAATCTATGGTTTGGGAATCCCTTGTCAGAAATGGTCTTTTAAATTTTCCTCTCATGTAAACTAAAACAGTAATTCACATTTTATCAAAGAACATTATAAACTGCCTAGTTACAGAAAGGAACTAAATTGCAAGCCCAGTTATCTTTGGAGGAAAAATCTCTAAATTTTTTTAAACGAAGGATGCCATGTTTCCAGAAATCTTTTTTAAAGCTCTAAAAATTCTCACTGAAAGAAATCAAAGTTGCCACTTTATTAGCCAAGATACCATTAAGGTGGATAGCTCTCCCACTCTTTATAGGCTTCAACAGATCATATCATTACGCTCATTCAACAAATTTTAACTATTCACTGGAACTAAAACTAGCTTTTAAGGATTTATTTATTTATACAAGCACTGGGTACAGTCAGAAGCGCGGGAGGGTGAGAATACACTAGAGCCAGAGCGGGGAGCAGAATAGGCAGACTGACGAAATACACTGCTGAGGGGAGCAGCAGGTGCTGCAGGAGAGGTCTGCGCGCCATGTGGGACCCTTGCCAGTGGCCGGGGATTGAACTGGCACTGCAGAAGCTGAGGGCAGCTTCACAGCCCAGTGCTCAACCACTGAGCCACCGGGGAGGCCCCTAAAACTAGCTTTTAAAAAATGAACCGAGGCCTCCCTGGTGGTGCAGTGGGTTGAGTGCAGTACTGTGAAGCTGTCTGCAGCCCCAGTTCAATTCCCACATGGCAGGGCAGACCTCTCCAGTCTCCACTGCTCCTCCCCTCAGCAGTATACTTGGGACCATCTGCCTGTTCTGCTCCCTGCTGTCTCTGGTGAATCCTCTCACCCCATCCCTGCACCTCTGGCCTGTACCCAAGAGTCTTGTAGAAAAATAAATCTTAAAAAAAAAAAAAAAAAAAAACCTCTATTGTTAGGAACTTATTTTCTGGCTTATGTAATTAATACTTTACTAATGTACAAAACAACCTCCACTTTTGCACTTGGTGGTGTTGATGAAACAAGGGGACTATCAAATGCTGGGTGAAAAGGTTTTCAAATGTTGTCTCCGGTGGGAGGTGAATTAGTGATGTTGCTGTACGTTGCATACTGTTTTGACTCACATATTGAAATTATAACGTTAATAAAAGCAAAGAAACTATGTACTAGGACTAAACAGGAGAAAAGATTTAACTAAGTCTTCTTTTAATTCAAGCCCTGGATATCCAGAATTATTACTATGATGTGTTTTGTCCAAAGAAAATTTTCAAAAAATGATTAATATTTAAATTTTCAACAAAATATGTAGGTCACTAGTGAAATTTAACTACCAAGTTTCAGTTGTTTAGCATTAAATTTGGAATCACTACCCACACAAATAGAACAATGACATTCTATTTCTAAAGAAAGTTAAAAATGAGCGATGGCTAAATATGGGAATGTTGTTTTAAAGATTTAATGTATTTTAAAAGGACTATTACCCAGCAATTAAAAGTACTGAAACATGTATTTTTCTACATAATTTATTGTGAGATGATCAATGTCAATAAAACATTAATTTTGGTCATTTGCTTCATGTCTTCTTGACTGATTCTTCACTTTCCTTCCAAAATGTCAAATGCCACACTTCTAAGGGATTAGAAATCAGAAACCAACAGTGAGAATCAGTCCACATTCAAAATCAAAACTAACATTGAAAAAGGAAATCATACTCCTGATAGAAAACAGGCAATGATCCCAGCCCTTTGGAATTTATAAATACTTTTGAATTATCAAAAGATGTGGTTGTTTGACATATACTTACTTGAGGAGATGAAGAATTTTTAAACACCACAGTTGAAGATTAGAACTTTCATTGGCAGGCAGTTACCTGTATGCAGAAAAGAACATTACATCCATTTTAATAAGAACTGCATTCTATGAGTAATTTACATAATCATTATAGATTACTGGCATCTCAGTCTTAAAATTTTCTTCAAAGAAACCCTCAGCTGGGTAAACGGCAAAATGTAATTTGAGTCATCACTGTGCCAGTCGTTTAATAACTATCATGCTGAAAATGTATCAAACATTAACCTGCTTTTCAGGAACAATACTATGTAACAAAATTAATTTTCTTTGGTACCTCATTACATGCAGTTGTTTTCCCACTGTGTTTCAGTCATCCTCGTTGACAAGATTTATTACAAACATTCATCCTCAAAACTCATGTCTCCGCTGTACCTGTAAATTATTTCATTTGTGAATTCTATTTGTTCCATCTGTTCAGCATCTCATATGTAGAACTGGTTCTTTTTTCCCATTCTTATCCAGAATCATAATTCTATCATACTTGAAATCTTGAGTCCTGACCAAGTTTTTATTAAAAATTTTCAGTATTGTTAACACCAACACTCAAAACATTCTTATGAAACTATAAAGAATGTATTTTAAGCTTAATTCTACTTTTTTGGTAATTAAAATAGATAACCTTAAACGTTAACTGCTAGTCCTTCTAAGCTGATTAGGACTTAAGCCCATAAATGATCTTCCAAGACGGAACTATATTAGCATGGGCAGGAAAAAAGGATAGATCTTTGCTTTGGTCATACTGATTTTAAGACAGGATGGTCCTAATGAGTACCAGTAATTGCTTTTCTGCTTCAGATTTGACAAGGAGGAAGAGAGTCAGGTTAAAGGTTAGCTATATAAAAATAATTGTGCAGATCTCCAACTAAAAGCATTGCAATGGCAAACTTGAAATCTAGTTTTAGAGTAGATACATTATGGTGGCATCGTTATTGGACTATTTTTAATAGAATAAGTCCAAGTTGCCTGAAAGCTTTTAGGTAGTCAAGGGACATGACCAGGGCCACAAATGAGGTTCTACAGCACCCCATGAATATAAATCAATAAACCAGACAGCTATTGCAAATGATTTATGAAGAGGTATCAAATGTTCAATTGCAAAACAATTTATCATTTTCAGATTTAGAAATGGTGAAATATTCCATATAATCAGTATCAGCAAACTATTGGTTATAAATAAATCCAATTTGTAAAATTTCAATTTAACGAGTCTTCACAACAAGTATAATCCCACTTGTGTGTGATGCCTTAAAGTAGTAATTTTTAAGCCTATCTTATATATAATGAAGCCCTTATCCATCCCCCACAAAAATCAAGAGTCTAAACACAAAATTTCAGGTAACTGGATGGTAAACGGGGGATGCCATAGGAAAGCTGTTGCTATGGCACTGGCAATATTCTAGTTCTTAAATGGATTGGTGGGCTCTCTGGCATTTAGCTTCAGGACTTAGTGCATTACTAACATTTTTATGAAACATTGTTTGACAAACAACCCAACATTTAGAAATGAAACAGGATTCAAGCAACTTATACCTTAAAAATGAGTATGACTAAACACTAAATACAAATTAATCCATGACATTTGCACCCTTGTCAGTTAACTCGTTTTTGATAAACGGAAGCATCTGAAGATATACCAATAGCCCAACGACGTAAGAACCTTCTATATCTACATACTGGTTTCCAACTTCAAGGCCTCGTCTGATTTGCAGACAAAGGAGGAGCCAGGAAATGCCAAGCCGGTCTACCGAGTGATAGCCGATTAAACCATGCCGTTTATTTAAAAATCAATCACCTACTACAGTGAAGGGTTGTCTGAAAATCTAAACGCTCACTTCCCATAATAAAACGCTCCCTTACTCGGGATAATCAGTCGCCTATTTACGGGCCCGTGACCCCATTTAGGCCGCAAATCCCCGCGAAGGCCGAGGCGGGGCGCGAAGCCGCCGGCTGATCCTTCGGGCGCTCGGGGTGATCTTAAGTTTCTGGCTCAAAGTCGAAACGGGAGTTTGCTGAGGCAGGGGTCGGCTAGCACCGCAGGTGGCGTCTCATAAAATCCGACTCAACCTAAGACGAGGACAGGTCGCGGCCGCGTCCCTTGGGGCTCGGGGGAGGGAGGGAAGGTGCCGCCCAGGCCGACCGCGCGGGGACCCCGGGAATGGAGGCCCCGGGCTCGGGCCAGGGCGGCGGGGAGCCTCGCGGCGGGCAAAGCCCCGGCACGGGGGGCGGGTTTCGGCCGAGGAGGAAGCACCGGGACTCTCACCTCTAAGAGCTCGGCGACGGGGCCGCCCGCCGCGCCGCCCTCGCCGCATGGCCAGCGACGTCCCGGACTCCTCGCTCGCTCAGCGGCCAGGCGGGAAAGGAAATGCCCCGGGCGCGGGCGGCTCTTGGGCGCGCGGACGCGGCCCCGCCCCTTCCGGGTCTGGCCCCGCCCCTCCCTGCGGGCTTAGCGCGCCCGAGCCCGCGTGGGTAAGCGCCGGGGACCGGGTGTGCCAAGGTAGGACTTAAAAGTTTGTAAAATACGGGCCTCCCTGGTGGCGCAAGGGGTTAGGCACCGCACTATGACGCAACCGGCAGCCTCCGCGACCCCCGGCCGGCCAGGGAGCAGCCCACATGGCGCAGAGACCTTCCTGTCACGCCCGCTGCTCCCCTCAGCTGTGTATTTCGTCAGTCTGCCTGTTCTGTTCCCCACTCTGGTGAATCCCTTCTCCCCCACATCTGGCCTGTATCTCAGCTCTTGTATGCATAAATAAGTAAATCTTAAGGAAAAAAAAAGTTTGTAAAATACCTGAGCAATGCTGTTTAAAAAAAAAAGTCTCCTATACCTAGTTTGTTTTTGTTTGGTCTTACACGCCCTCACATAGGCAAGTGCTTAAAAAACTGGCGGATTGGACAGCCTGATTTAGGGTTAGGCTATGTGGAATCGACCCTTCACACACTCACACACACAAGCACTGCACAAGAAAAAAAATGGGGAACTGTTATATTTTCCCTAGACTGTAACAATAGCTTACCGTTATTATTTTTGTTGATAATAACAGCGGGTTTTTTATTTTTTAAAAGCATTCATAAAGCAGTCGCCTGCCTTGTTTATAAACACGTTATTTGCTATTATTGATCTTAATGATTTTATTACTCTTTTTTTCTTTCAATTGTTATATACTGAGTCCTGACTGCAGAGCACAAGTGTTAGTGCTGGAGGAGACAGAATTATTTTGTTGGCAGAAACAATATGCATGAAAACATTTAACAATTGAGTCAGTAAGATGCATTCTCACTCCTCTAAAAACTGAGTCCAAGAAATTCTTAGAAAATCCAGCGCAAAATTTACTTGCCTCAGAAAAATATGTTATAAGTCACCAGCCACTGTAGCATGAGTTCCATTCCCAGCCTGGGAGCTGACCCATATGGCACAGCAGAACTCACCTATCTCACCACTGCAACCCTCAGCAGTGTATTTCAGTAAAACTGCCTGTTCTGCTCCCCACTCTGTCTCTGGTGAATCCTTTTACCTCCTGAAACTGGCCCGCACCCCAGTTCTTATATGCAGAAATAAAAAAAAAAAATCTTAAAAAAAAAAGAAAAACTAAACAAAGGGTATTTAGTAAATTCACGATTTTGGTTAAATAAAAGCATACATATTTATGATTGTTTTTGCACAGAGTATTTTTGAGAGGCTACAAATGGAACTTTTAATAAATGCCTCTAGAGAATGAAACTTGGGGTTTGTGGGAAGAGTGATGTGTTCATTTTTTATTGTATACCGTTCTCTGTTGTTTAGATTTTTACCATGTGTATACAACTTTACAATCACATTACATTTTTTATTTTTTATTTTAATTTTTTTAAAGATTTATTTATTTATACAAGAACCGGGGTATAGGCCAGATGTGTGGAATGGTGAGAGGCCCCACTAGAGACAGAGTGGGGAATAGAACAGGCAGATTGACGAAATACACTGCCCAGAGGAGCAGTGGGCGAGACAGGAGAGGTCTGTGCACCATGTGGGCTTCCTGCCAGAGGCTGAGGACAGCTTCACAGCGCTGCGCTCAACCGCCTGCACCACCAGGGGAGGCCCACATTACATTTTTTAAAGAATAATTAAAGTAGCACACTTCTCTTCTGACAGCAAAAACAGATCATTTCTAAAATTTGTCCCTTTAGTTCATCATTCTCTCCTTTACCCCTGACTGGCATTATGAAAAGTATTTGATGTTCTTCAGTAATGAGTGTATCACTTGAAGTTTCTCGTCTCCAAGTTTCAAATAGAGTTAAAATCACTTCAAGGAAGTTTCACAGTTTATTTTATTTATTTATTTTAAAGATTTATTTATTTGTTTATTTATACAGGCACTGGGTATAGTCAGAAACATGGGTGGGTGAGAGGATTCACCAGAGCCAGAGCTGGGAACAGAACAGGCAGACTGACGAAATACACTGCTGAGGGGAGCAGCGGGCGCAGTAGGAGAGGTCATGTGGGAGCCCCGCCGGTGGCAGGGGATCAAACCAGTGCTGCAGAGGCTGTGGGCAGCTTTGCAGCCCAGCGCTCAACCACTGCGCCACCAGGGGAGGCCCTAGTGTCACAGTTTAAATCTGATATAGTAGCTTATCAAAAACAACTTTTTAAAAATATTCATTAATAATAATATAGACAGGATTACTTTAAAAAGTTCGCATTTTCTAATAGATATATATGTGAACTCAGGGCACATAGGATATTATTTTCTTATAAGCTATCAGAATCTATTGTCTACACTTACACATGTAAATCTCATTAGTAAATTAATACACTTGGCCTTCAGTCCTTTTTTATTTAGTGAATGGTTTGGAAAACCTCTTACTTCCCTAGATTTTTGCAGCAAAAAAATGAGGTAGAACTGCCAGTTAGCTATAATATCCATATGCTTGTATTTTCCCTTGCTTACTACTAAGTATGTCAAAATAGAGTTAATAGAGGAGAAAAGTAAATGACCCTAGTCATAAATGCATGACTTTCATAAGGTCTCTTCACCTCAGGCAAGATTATTTTAAAACATAATATTGACATTAAGATAATCATAGTGTTTATGCCTCTCATCAAGATTGAAGTTCCAAATCTGTGAAAAATATGTTAAATTGTCAGAAAATAGAGCACTGATCTGAATGAAAGTTGATCCTCAAACACTTGAAGTACATGAACTTTACGGAGATAATTTTGGTGAAAATTACCTAAATAACTTATGATATCTGCCCAGATCTACAATAATGAGCAGCTTTAATGTCCATGTGCAGCATTAGGCTTCTCCTTTTCTGTTTAAAAATGTAACTTTCATATTAAGCAAATGACTGTTTAAGTCCTGTGACAAATTCTAAATGAAATGGAAAGTTATTGAAAAGATTTGAACTGAGCAATGGGACCTAAGAGAAATTATTTGAGCTGACCAATGGGACCTAAAGAGAAGTCAGCTAGGGTATTTCAGCAAATATTTTCCTCTGACAAAAAGATAGAGATAGGAAGAAACAGATATTCTTCACAGAATTGCTGCAGTCTCCTTGCTACCCAAGGAGGGCTTGCACTTAATGTTTCTTCCACAAAGTCAAAAGAAACCAAGTAACTTAAAGTTACCAAATAGGCACTGAATTAACCAATCAGGAGTCAGTCTAGCTTAAGCTTCTTGTTATATGAAATAATACTTTTTTTTTTTTTTGCTGTTCAAAAAGTTATTCAAGAATAAAGATTGAGAATGTGGAGGTAGTTGAAAAATTAAAACTAAGGTTAAATTATGATGTCATTCATACCTCAATTATGTCCTGAAACTAACACCCCATTAAATTTAGAGCATACTCTAAATTTAGAATTTTGAATGGTTTTGAGTGATTCTTCTACAATATCTTCCTGTACACGTGCATGAGAAGTTCTATGTCAAATGGTATTCTGGTAAATAGGCTCTTTAAAAAGATCCCTAATTTGCAATACTTGCAAATTTTTATAATACAAATACTCTCATCATGGCTTATTTCAAGCTACTAGTTATTTAACAACTGACTCACGAAATACCTAAACGCTTGAATACTTAACAGTTGACTCTCATAGCAAGCCATTGTTCCTAGAAGCTAAATTGCGGAATTGAAGTATAACTCCGCCTTCATACTTAATAAAATCCAATTATTGTCCAAGTGGTTGTAGCATAACCTTGTCATAATTTGCTCTTTTCAGAATTTAAACATGTTTGCCAATCTGATAAATATGAAATGGCATTCCTTATTATTTCAGTTTGCATTTGCCATTAAAAAGATAATTTACATATGCTTTGTTTTTTCCTTAAAATTTTTTTCCTTGCCGTTATGGGCATTGACCTCAGGCTAATTATTTCAATTGCCTGCCTCCCCTGCTTCTTGTGGCATCCTGTGATAGTCAGGACAGGCTCACCCAGAGCTATTCCTGCCCCTTTTTGTCTTCATTTCTGCACTTCAGAGGTTGAAAGCTGAAGTATTATATGTTCTAAAACTCATTTGCAGATAGGATTTTGGGTGTGAGGTAGCTCCTGCCAATCAAATGCATTTGGGCAAAACCTAAATTCTAAATTGAGATGTTGGGGAAGAAAAGCAGGTTACCAGGTATCCATTTTGCTGACTTACATGCAAAAAAGCCAGCGTGCTCCTGGAGTCAGTCACTGTGGGGCAGCTTTCCATCTGGCAGAGTCTGGATCTGGGAAGAGCATTCAGCTGCTTTGACAACCCTATTCCATGGAAGGACTTTAGAAATCGTTACTATAAACCCAGCCTGGGTTTGTTTCATCCCAATGATTCTGGTAGTTATTCATACCCTGCAATAACCCTCTTTCTTTTCAAACTATCTGGATCAGCTACCTTAACCAAAAACAGAGTGATGTACCTTCCATACACCTATGGGTGTCCATGTGATCCAGTTCCAATCAGTGAGAAATAAGTAGAAACCTTGGATCCTGATAAATTTATGAAGCTATCTACTAGTTCTAGGCTGCCTACTTGTGGATTTCTTTCACATGAGAAGAAATTTAATTTATTTAAGCCACTGTGATTGAATCTTTTTTTCTGTCAACTGAATGACATTCCTAACTCATAGTAAGCAATGAACAATGAATGCCATCGTGTATCAGTGTGTGTGTGTGAATGTTTTCTACAAATTAAAGAGTAAACTATGTAGTAAAGGATAAAGGCAGTGATAGGCTTTTTAAATTTATATTATTTAAATGAATTTAGGTATCTTTTTGTAAAGATATTGATTATTGGATTTGTTATGAACTGCTTATTCATACCACTTGTGGAACTTTCTGTCAAATTCCTGGTCTTTTTTTTTTTTTTTTTGCTAAGATTTATTCATTTATGCATACAAGAACTGGGGCATAGGCCAGAGGTGCAGGGGGTGAGGATATTCACCAGAGACAGAGTGGGGAGCAGAATAGGCAGATCGACTGAAATACACTGCTGAGGGAAGCAGCTGGAGAGACAGGAGAAGTCTGCTGCGCCATGTGGGTAGCTCCCTGGCAGGGGGATGGAACTCATGCTACAGTGGCTGTGGATAGCTTCAAAGTGCTGCGACTTAATCCCTTGTGCCACCAGGGAGGCCCCCCAACTGGACTTTTAAACTCTGAATACCACAGGCCTGGCTCTCTTGCATTTTCAACTCCGACTTGCACACTGGTACTCCTGGGAAGACAGATGGCATGTAGTTTATGTGCTGGACATTAGTCACTCTCCTTTCTATTTTGACTCCTCTTATAAATAAGCCTTCCTTTTATTTACTTCCTTCAGCCTCTCTGCTTCTGGGTCTTGTTCTGAGTTCTTAAGCACATGGCTGAGGACTCACAAACACCCCCCTTTGTTATTTCTGGGATTCCCCATTAACAACTGCTGAGAATCTGCTTGCTACTTACAACCTCCCATTTCAGGGCGGCCTATTCTCCCTGATACCTGACATCTTTACAGTAGTGCATGACAAAGTTGTACTCAGGGATCCCAAACTGTTAAGTGGGTCTAATGGTTCCTGAGACCCAGTGTGGCTGTCCTGTCAAGCTGGTGTGGTCTAGCCTTAGCAACATTGTTCTGGTCTTGTCCTGAAATCAAGTCTTCTTTCAAGACAAACTCTCCTGTATGTCTCAGAACATTGCACTTATCACTTGACTGGACACTGGTGGAACTGGTTTCCTGTTTCTGAAAGGAGAATCTGGAAATGGCTTCCCATTTCCCACCTAACTTCCTTCTCTTGACTCTGTTTCTGCAACTGCACAGCACTTTTTTCACTTGGTTATAGTTCACGTTCAAGATGACTCCAACATAGGGGAACATATGTGCTACACACAGAATAGAAGCAATAGATAGATTATTTTAAAAGTTTTCACCCCATGATACATCCAATTAAGATGCTATAATAGCACACTTTTAAAATTATTTGAGTGATTTCAGAACTTATTTGAAAATAAGAATGTTTAAAATCAATTCTTATTTAGACCTCACATTGTTTTCAATGGCTTCCAGTTTTCAATGACCATAAAAATGGAGACAAGTGATTTAGTCCATCTGCAGAGCTCCCCACAGACATATTTCTTGGTTCTGAGAGGGCAGGAATGCATGAATTTCTTCAGTAACATTCATGTGCACAGGAAATGACTATTGACATAATCTTTAAGTCCAATAGTTAAAATTATTCTTCAGTTTATAATTTAAAAGCTTTTGACAGCTAAATGCTATGGTATAATTTATAATGAAAGCGTTTGAGTGATTGAGATATATTTTACTGAGCTGGTTTCTCTTATGAGTTGAAACTAAGACTTATGTAAACATAGAAAGGGAAACCCTTCCCGGGTTTGTATAGTTAGGCAAGAATACTTAATGTCCCTCATTCCCAAATGTGCTGCAATACCATCTGTGCCATACTCAAAGTTAATAGGAAGCAAATCTATAGAATTTAAGGGTAATTTTTTCCCCAAGTAAAATAGTTGCATATAAGACCACCAACTATCAGCTTGTAAAGTACATATAATTTTCTTTGAGATATACAATTTTATATTTCCTTAGTACTCTTTTTTAAAAGTTTGGGAATATTAGTATTTGGAATTACAGTAACAACAAATGCAGAATTAAAACAAAATCAGAAGTATGTACCATTGAGAAAGACACTACAAGTTGCAAATTATCAGGGAAACTAGATATTACATCCTGTAGCAATGATTAAATATAGTAATAATCTGTCACCTGATTAAGATGGAATCGCCAATGCTGGAAGATTTGAATTTTATAACTTCATATTTTCAAAGAAAATAAGAGATCGATTTGATTTCCAATAATACATACTTTAGTCATGAAGACCATTTAAATCAAGTCATGTTCTCAAAATACTTAATATATAAATTTGGGTCAGAAGCAATCTTCTTGAGATATTTAGGGGCCCGTCAAGGCCCTACCAGTTGAGTGGTGGGACACACTGGCTTTATTGGAGGCGCCAGCAGTGGAGCCCCTTGGCTCCTGGCTTGGGGCCTCAGGGATGAGCAGTGGGCCCTGTTAAGGCAGCTGCACACTGCAGTTCCCCGGAGCCACAGGCAGTGAGGCCTGCAAGGTGTGCCAGGCCAATATGGCAGGTTCGCAGCAGCAGCACACCCTGCAGTCGCTGGGATCTATGTCCCAGCACTGCTGCAAGGCCCTTGAGATTGTCAAACCTGGCCTTGTGGAGGAGCCCCAGGTGCAGTGTACCTCTGGTCTCACTGAGACCAACTCCAGCTGTGGTTCCTCAGTGCCCTCAGGCACATGAGCTTACTCTGACCTGAGTGTAGGCTTATCTAGGCAAGGGCTGGGCTTTTCCTTTTTGTATCTGGCTCCAAGATCATATATGAAAAAACAGATTCAAACTCTCCAGCTGTCATTCAAACCTTAAGTTAATTATGTGAATTGAAAATGGAAGCAAGATGACTGGTGCTAACAATTACCAATAACACATGCTTAATACTGAATAATGGTCCTATGAGCCTGGAAGGGTGGTGGACCCAGAAGGGCATAAAAGGCAGAGCAAGAGCCAACTCAACTCACTTGGCATCCAGCCTCTAAACAGAGAGGAAGCACTCAGCAGCCAGCCTCTGCAGAATGAAGAAGTGTTCAGCAGATGACCTCTGTGGGATTCAGCAGAATTTTGCATTGTAGACTTCCAGACCTCAGGTCTCTGTAGACCTTCACAGAGATGTGGCTGCTGCACCTGCCTCCAGCCTTGCCTTCTACATTGCTTGAGAGGAGCGCCACTAGCTTTGGCCTGGTGTCTCAAAGAGCTCTTGGCTGTTGGTTCATACTAACAGCTCATAAAAAGCTGTAGCACTAGTGTCTTTGACATCACCTCCCAGTGATTGGTGCTGACCAGCACTATTTTTTTTTTTTTAAGATTTATTTATTTATGTATACAAGCACTGGGTACAGTCAGAAGCGCAGGAGGGTGAGAGAATTCATCAGAGCCAGAGCACGGAACAGAACAGACAGACTGACAAAATACACTGCTGAGGGGAGCAGCGGGCCAGACAGGAGAGGTCTGTTGTGCCATGTGGGACCCTCGCCGGTGGTCAGGGATCGAACCGGTGCTGCAGAGGCCGCGGGCAGCTTCGCAGCCCAGCGCTCAACCGCTGCGCCACCAGGGGAGGCCCCCCAGCACTATTTTTTTTTTAAAGATTTATTTATTTATACAAGAACGGGGGGTACAGGCTAGATATGCGGAAGGGTGAGAGGATTCGCCAGAGACAGCGGGGAACAGAACAGACAGACTGACGAAATACACTGCTGAGGGGAGTAGCGGACGAGACAGGAGAGGTCTGCCACGCCATGTGGGACGCTCGCAGGCTGCCAGCGATCCAACCGGCGCTGCAGAGGCTGTGGACAGCCTCACAGCGCAGTGCTCAACCGCCTGAGCCACCAGGGGAGGCCCAAGCACTATTAAGAGACTGGCACTCTATCTGGCCAACTTTGAGATCTCTCCACCACCTCTCATTCTCTGGCACAGTTTCCTGATGATGTTGGAAGAAAACAACTTTTATAAAATTTTGGCATCAAATTTAGTGTACACCGTTCATTTTCAGGTAATTTTAAAGAGTGTCTATTTCATTCCTTTAGATAAAAGATTGTTCTTAGCATGTTTTATGCCAGTAACTTATAAGTGAATGGCTGAATCATTTCATTTTACTTTTTATTCCTTTCAGTGTTTATATGAGTGGGTAAATATATTCACACATATTTAAATATACAAACATTTTTCTACATATTAATAGTAGAAATCTTTCATTATATGCCTTTTATTTATTTTATTGTAAAACCATGCTTTGGTCACATTACAAGGAATACATTCACATTAAAGTAATAAAAATTACCAATTACCAGACAGGAGCCAAAACATGATCATGTTCAGCTGGATTAACTGAATGATAGTTTTTGCCTTCAAATAGTCTTTTATTTCATTTCACTGCAAAAACTGGAAGAAAACCAAAGCAAGGAGAAAACAAAACGGTAGTTTAATAGCTACATTAATTCAACCAAATCCATTAATATTCCTTTTTTTTTTTTTAAGATTTATTTATTTATACAAGAACTGGGTACAGGCCAGATGTGTGGGAGGGTGAGAGGATTCACCAGAGACAGAGCAGGAAACAGAACAGGCAGACTGAAGAAATACACTGCTGAGGGGAGCAGCGGGCAAGACAGGAGAGGTCTGCCTCACCATGTGGGCATCTCCTTGGCTGGCGGGGATCAAACCAGCACTGCAGAGGCTGCGGACAGCTTCAAAGCGCTGCGCTCAACTGCCTGCGCCACCAGGGAGGCCCTAATATTCATTTTTATTTGCTAATCTTGAATCAAAGTTAGCAACTTTAAACTGGGATATTGAGAAATAAATGAACATTATAGTGGGAAAATGGAATAAAGATTGAGAAGGAAAATGAGAAAAGGATATGTATTATAGAATCTAAATCAGCAACAAAAGAGACTGATGATTTTTAAGGTGTCTCTATTGTATGTTGTTGTTTTGAGAATCAGTGTGTTCCTGATAAATATCTCTATTTCTCAGCTCTTATCGCCAGGCTCCTGTTGAAAATTTGAAGCCATTGGCACAATCAGGCAGACCAGAGACTCCCCAGTATTTGACGTGCAGTGTAGTAGGAAAGGCCCATAGGAGAAAGATTTACCTTCTAGGTCAAAATGGGGTTGCAGGTCCAAATGGAGGCAGATTCAAGGAGGTTGGCTTTTGCCTGATTTATCTCAGGGTAGGTATTCTGCTTCTTCTGACCCCATCATAATGCAGATAGGTATCACAATTCTCAAATCAGAAAGGCTTTCTCCAATTTCATAATTGTCAGGTAGGTATACTGTGAATAGCAACTGAGAAGGGGAGGAGTCATCTAGCCAAGGTTGTAACTGTGAGGGTGAGTAACTAGAGCTTACTCAAGTCCCTCAGAAGGCATGAATATGCCCCTTTCTTTAGGGTGGCAGTAGCTGCACCTGCTTACTTATCCATTAATAAGTTGAGAAAAGGTGTGGGGTAGATGTGAAGAGATCAGGGAGGAAGTGACAAACCCTGTGCCCAGTGAACCCAACTCCTGTGAAAGCAGGCTTTGGGGATATCTAATGCCTTCTACAATTTGGAAATATAAGATATTTACTAAATGTCTACGAAAGTAGTCAAGCCCTGTCCATGAAGGAAGCCACTTTTAATACTCCTTACAAGTTTGTGAAGAGGGACAAATAATTATAGAAGTGACTGCATCTTCATATTACTTTTCCACACATAGTCAGCTAAAATTGAACCAGTGATCTCACCTTCCAACTGAAATGGCTTTTGAGGGCAACACTATGCACAAACTTCTTCACAAAAATGGAATGTTGGTATATTATAAACACAGCTTTTATCTTTACCTGGGAGGGTTATATTGACAGACTTCAGCTCTTCAGTTTGTAAAAGATGCACTACAGAAACTGTTTGTATTCTTTATATAGATACATATACACATACATACACACAATTTGCTTTAGTGTGTCTTCTGCTCTTTTTTGACAGTGTCTGTTGCACTATACAGTAGTGACTATCTCTCACACTTAGTAGATAAGCTATGAATTTTATATAAGAGTGATTATTTTATTCTACATTTATTTAGGTTTGACGGATAAATCTAAACATCCAACTATGGATTAATATGTAATTTTCAGAAATGTTTCTTATGTCTGATGTAATAAATATAGAATTATTTCATACCATTTTAAAACAATAAACACCACTTTCTACCAGTTCCTATCAAAGGAAAGCCTAAGGTTGGGAGTCTGAAGGAGTACTGCCATGATTTGGTTTTTCTCCAGAGACAGAGTGCTTCAGAAATTGACCAGTAGCACCAATATATAATCTTGATCTCATGGGCCATTTCTGAAAAAGAATTATTTAAACAAAAACCCAAAGTTAGTATCTATGATAGATATCACAGTCTATAATAGTAAAATTAAATATTCCAAATACTTCTGCAAATGCAATATAATGAAGCTAGTAACAATTGTGATTATCGATATGAAGTCTAAAGGATAACATGAAAAAATTTTTATTAACAAAATTAATAATCAAAACATTATTACTAAGAAAATTATTATTAATAAAAAATACGCAGACTTTGACTTATAATTGTTTTTGTGCATGTGAACAAGAATGGCAAGAACTATGGAGACTAAATAAAGTGTAAGGAAATATAACTTCTGATAATATTTTAATTTCAAATTAAACTTGAAACAAAATTAAGCATAAAACAAGATCCATGGCTTTAAAAGTATTTAAAAAATTATACATGCTAAATATCATATGTCTACACTTCTTAAAGAATTACAGTGAAAAGTAACTAATTCAAAAGCTCTAAGTATTTTATCTGAATAAAATTAACATCTGGAAGTTGCAATTATTAGAATGTTTGGTGCTACATAGATTGAACATCAGATTAAATGTCTAGATGTAGTGGCATCACACAGCTCCAATTTTTCAGTTAATCATCACATATGTATTACGATTATGACTTTTCTAAACTCACCTTTAAAATGAACAACCTCGGATCTCACTGGTGGTGCAGGGATTAAGTCTCAGAGCTATCAAGCTATAGTCAGGCACTGGATCTGCCTGTTCTGCTTCCCACTCTGTCTCTGGTGAATCCTCTCACTCCCCCACCCTCTCCCACCTCTGGCCTACACTACAGTTCTTGTATGCATAAATAAATAAAATCAATCTTAAAATCTTAAAAACCACAACACCTCAAACAATATAATTGATTGCCATGGTGATGAAAAAACATCACATTGGGTAGATAAAAGAGGTCTATCTCTGAATGGACCTCCTTTTTTTTTTTTTTGGAGCGGGGGTCATAGAATCGGCTTAGTTCTATAGTCTTTGTAATACTAACCAAAGAATTACTACTTCTGCTATACAAAAATAAGTTTTTAGACTAAAAAGTACAACTCCCAAAAGCTTTCATGTGCAGCACACTGTCTTCATAATGGACATTCATGGGCAGACAGTACAACTCCCAAATGCTTTCATGTGCAGGACACTGTCTTCATAATGGACATTCATGGGCAGTGTGTTGGGTACAACCATGTAATGTTCTTAAATGCCTCATAAATAATCCGCAAAGCTCACAGATAGAAGTATTAATAGGCCAAAGACTATAGGATCTGTATTCTTATCCCATGCTGTATTAAAATCCCATGGGGAGTTTTTAAAAAATACTGATGATCAAGTCATAATCCAGACCAGTCCTATCAGAATGGACCTCTTCTGCAGAAGTAAAGAGTAAGGTAGAAAAAAAAAAAAAAAAGAGTAAGGTAGAGTCAGATATTATCTGGAACAATATATAGACCTATATTGTCCTTCTAAATCCGTTTACTGTAACTGAAATGGGATACCAGATGTAAAATATAGCTGTAAAGAATAGTAATGTGGTATTATCTGAAAAGTTTCTTTTCTCAGCAACCAATAAAAATCCCATATTTATGCCTTCAGATGTGCTAGATGAACTTGTTCCCATGTACCCAGGTCACTTAAGAATTCTAAATTTAGATTATTCTAACTGGGAAGCTATACTTTAAACATAGATAAAACAAAGTTTGTGTTACTTAAAATTTAAAATGGTCCACTAATAATCTTCTAATAAACAACCCTGTGGTTTACATATGATAAGTAATAAGACTGATAGTGTGCTACTTATTTATGCAAACCCATTTCATGTTGTTGTTTTTTAATTCACAGATATGCATTCTTATATATTCTGGGTGTATCACTCTCACTGGTGGTGCCCTTGGAAGTCCTGCTACAGGTTTGTTATTTGAAGTATTTTAGATATTGGCCTTGGTGCTCAGAATAATGCAGAATTTAATTTGTGTTCTCTTATTCACATGTTGATGTTTTAAACCTCAATGTCATGGTATGAGCTCCTCATGATATGATTAGAGACTTTAAAAAGGAAAAGAGAGCTCTTTTTTTTTTTTTTGGAGAAAGAGAAGTTGGTAAGAGAGCCCTCACCAGGAATCAAATTGGAAATTGGTCAGCACTTGAACTTTCCAGATCTTGAGAACAGTAAGAAAATAAATTTCTGTTGTTTTAGTCACCCAGTCTTTGTTATTTTGTTATTGAAGCCTGAGTAGACTAATACATGTAGTGTATATGTGGGGAGAGATCGTCTATTTCAAGTGCAGACTTGTTTGTAATATCAAACAAACACAGTGCTTTGCACATAATAAAAGCATAGTAAATGGTTTTAAAACAGACAAGTCACTTGTTTAACCATCATCAATTTCACTGTTAAGAGTTGATGTTTTGGGGCCTCCCCGGTGGCGCAGCAGTTGAGCGCTGGGTTGCGAAGCTGCCCACAGCCTCTGCAGCGCCGGTTCGATCCCTGGCTGCTCCCTGGCCACCAGAGGAGGGTCCCACATGGCGCGACAGACCTCTCCTGCCACACCCGCTCTTCCCCTCAGAAGTGTACTTTGGTCCTTCTGCCTGCTCTGCTCCCCGCTCTGGCTCTGGTGAATTCTCTCACCCTCCCACGCTTCTGACTGTACCCAGTGCTTGTATAAATAAATAAATAAATCTTTAAAAAAAAAAAAAAGAGTTGATGTTTTGGCTTTATTTATTTTAAAACAAAAATAGCTGGTTCTGAAGACAAATGAAATTTATTTTTCTTAAAGGAGTTATATCAAAAATATTTTGCATCTGAAATCAAGTGAAAAAAAAAACACTTGTTAAGGATATTGTTACATGAAAATTGTGGGTTTAACATTACTTATTTAAAAAAAAAACGTAAGAAACAACTTGGTGAAAAACAACTTGATTTCAACATGGTAAAAAACAACTTGATTTCTCATCTGAATTATATAATCCATATAAAGGCATATAACGGATGCTTTTGTATTAAAGTCAACTTGATGTTAAGATAAACTTTCTTAGTGTTTATGAGAAATGTCAAATTGAAATAAATCTAATATTAATGATATATTTGAATAGCAATCAAATGAACACTGTAATACAAGACCCCTTAATTAATAATGAATGACACTTCAGCTGAGATTATATTATATAATTCAGGAATGGGATCAATCATAATTACAAATGAATGATACAGTATTTTATGTTCTTATATTTAGTATCTGAAGGAGTTTGAGTCTACCATGTTGATTATATCTGTAAATTTTGTTAAAATTGACAGAACTTTAAGTTCAGTTAATATTAGAGAGAATGCTTTACCACATTTCAATAATGATTATTCAAAAATTCATGCAACACCAATTTATTGTACTTAAGGCTAAATCTTAATTTTGTATTTGTGTGTGTTTTGGCAAAATGCTTCAGAATGGTGGGACCAAAAAACTGAAAATAGAGAAGATGATGCATTTTGAGCAGAAAGCCGGGTTAAATTACACAAAATAATTGTTAAGCATTCCCAGACCCAAAAAATAATTGCCAAATCATACAGACTTGGCATACTTCAGATATGGGGAAAATCTGTATCACATTAAACAAAATCCCTGACCATTCTATCAATATATAATGTAAAAAAAAAGTATTCAAGATGCATTCTCTAGGCTAATTTTGTACATTACAGAATTTGGATATAGTATTTAATTGGCTCATTCAACATAGATGCCAATCTGTTATGAAAATTACAAAAATACAATATAGTTTTTCTAATATTCTTGGTGTCTAATTTATGATAACTTTTATTAGAAGGGATGGAACAGTTACTTCTTGAAATGCAAAATAGTCTTATTTCCTTCTTACCAATTTCACAAAAAAATTCTCAGCAATGCATTGGTGAAGGAAACTCTATGGGGACTACACCTGAGGGGGGGGGGGAGCAAATATTGTTTAAAAATGAACAATGATGTAAAAAATGAAAAAAAATTAAAAAGGCAAGAATTGGCCAGCGACTTTGAATACACACACACGCACACACACACGCACACACACAGACACACACACACTCTCTCAGCAGTGCTTTCCTGGATTACTTAGGGATGGATAATTCCATGACCCCAATTAATTCTTGCAATTTTTCAAGCATTTGATAAAAACCACGTGAATTAAAAACAATCACAAACTCTCAGAGGCCTATAGATGTTAACTAGACACTAAAAATTACCAGGAAGGGCAACCAAGCATCCCACCAGGCACCTTGAGAAACATCTCACTTAGGAAGGACATCCAGCAGCTTGTACTAGAAAGGGCATGAGGCACCCCTCCCTAAATCGCCTCAAGTTTAAATCCACTACCTGCGAACTGTTAAGGACTAGCTTCTTGCAACGGGTACCTCGCTACCAGCACCCTCTACGGTCAAGGTGTCTCTGTTGATGTTTCATCCTGAGAGTGGGATGAGAGCTTGGTGGCACCCGCCCAGGTGGTGGCGAACCCAGCAGATCAAGGTGCCTCTCCCCCTGGCCATCTCCGTGGCGCTCCCTGTCGGCCTACCTTCACCGGGTGCAGGTACCCATCTCCGCGAAGGGCGCCTAGCCCGGGTTCCGCCGCGGCCTCGGCGTCGTCCTGCAGACTGCGGGTGAGGTGCGCGATGTAGGTGGTGGCCAGCAGCAGCACGTCGAGCTTGGACAGCTTGGTGTCAGGGGGCACGGACGGCAGCGTGCGCTGCAGCTCCAGGAAGGCGTGACGCAGGGTCTGCACGCGGCTGCGCTCCCGCGCCGCGTTGGCGGCGGCAGGTCGCCCCGCGCCGGAGCGCGGACAGGCGCCGGAGCCTGCGAGACCCGGACCGGCCCCCCGGGGCTCGTGTCGCCGGAGGCGGCGGCCGGGGGCACGGACTCGCGGCTGGCGGTCAGAGGGCTGCCGGCAGAGCCGTCGCGGTTCATTGCCGCTGCCCGCGCCGCGCGCGCTGCGAAGGACCGACGCGCGGTGGGGTCCGGGCGCCGCCGGAGCTTAACTCAGCAGAGGCGCAGCCCTCTCGCTCCCTCCGCGCGCGGTGCCCGGCCACCCGACGTGGTTCCCGGGGTTCTCTGATCTGAGTCGATTCTGACTGAGGCGTGTTTGCTCCCGGCGTCTGGGGAGAATGGGGGAGGCTGAGAGTTAGTTCCTGGGCTCCTGGAAGGCTGAGGAGCACGCAGCGCGCGCTTTACTTTGTACTGGCAAATGCAGCGAAAGGGCTGCCCTGCTGGGCAAAGAAGATTAACGAAGCACAACGCCGTTTCTAGTTGGTGCTTCTGGAGCGTTAGGCGGCTATCCCATGGCTGGTGCGGATCATTCTCGCCCAGCGCAGCGGGAAGCCTTGGGTTCCCCAACGCGCGGTGCCAACGCCAGCCTCCCTCACCCTTCGTTCCCAAGGCCCGGGACTTCAGGAGCCACCCCAGGGTAATTTCTGAAGGAGTTTTAGGGGACCGGGCTCTCACCTCCCACTAAGGCACCCGCTACATGAGGACGCGTGGCGCGACAGGGCTCAGACCCGGGTCCTCACCTTTCCTGGGGTGATCGTGCGGGGTTCGCCTCCGCTGCGTGAGCCCGGGTCTGCGTGGCCAGGGCCGCATCGGTCATTCCATGGTCGTCTAGCTGAAATCGACAGCAGCTGCCAGTCCTCGCTAGACGCTCCTTTTATGCGGGCTCCCCAGCTGCCAAGAGTGTGTGCGCACCGTGCGCGGCGTTGGGCCCCGACAGCAGGTCGGTGGAGATGTGCGCCCACCTGAGGGACTCTGCCGTGGGCCGTCCCTTCTGCAGCCGGAGAGTCATCAATCAAACCGTCGGACGGGGCGGGGCGTCCTCCCGCCCCCCTTCCCACTCGCCCCCACGCGCGCCCCTCACACCCTCCCACCCCACCCACCGGTCCAAGGTGGGACTTGGCGCGCGACACCTCGGACTCCCGCGAGGTCGGTGGCCCGAGGCGCCGGAGCCGCGGGCTCAAGGACCCCGGCGCGGCCCGGCTGGTTGCCTCGTCTTTCCTCCTCGGTCCCTGTCTGGGGCCCGGCGCCTTCCAGGCAGGCGCTGAGTGAGTCGGGAATACTGCGGTTTTGTGAAGTGTGACTTTTCATTTCTGTGAGGAAATGTGGCGTGTGCGGCATCGAGGCGCTAACCTTTTAACCTCCCTGCCCCAAGGTAAATGTTTCCTCTGTCCTGACTGCTTAAAGCAGGAGTCCCTCCTCCTCGGTACTCTGCAACTGGATGGAGCCTCTCAAAGATAAACTACACTTACCTCGAACGTTCCCTGCCCGCGATTCTCCAGGAAGTTCACCAAACCAGAGTAAACGGCCCTGGGGTCGCGGTGGCTTCCTCCCAAGGGCGCGGATTCTGGCCGGTCCCTAGGCATCTCCCCCTTTCACTCCCGTCCCTCTTCCTCCTCCCAGCCCTGTTAATTGGACCTGCAATTCGTCTTCTGTCCCGCCTCTGGGAATCGTCTGAGCAATTCTGCGCGGTGGAGGGGCGAGCGGCGAGCGGAGGCGCTTTAGAAAGCGGGCCCTCAGCCCCAGGGCGCGATCAAAACCGCGGAACTAGAGCTGGGCTGGGGGAAGAGCTGGGCTTGGGACACCTCCAACCCCCCCAGGCTTCTGCTCGCCTTCAGAGGTGAAGTCTGAGTCTATATTTTCTAGTCACGCAGTTCGTAGAGCAGGCTGTTTAACAATCTTTGGGGTCAAACGGACTATCAAATATACAATATTATAGAAACTGCGACATAATTTTCAATTTAGAGTTTCAAAATTGGGATTACTACGTAGTAAAGAGTAAAGGTGACGTTTGTTGTATTTGAGTATATCAGTATATCTTTCTACACTTAAATAAGTTAGTGAATCAGAATAAGCCTCAGGCTTTCTCGTCTCAGTTGCCAGTGACAGTAATCAGATTACATTTTAGAAAGAAACACACCAAAATGCGATCGATTCCAAAGAGGATTTTTTTCTTTTGATGAATGAGAAAGCACATCTTTATCTTCCCAGTTAAGTGTATGAAGTAAGGAAAAAGGCATTTAGTGTTTCAGATTTTATAAAGAAGCAAATCAAACAAGAAACTAAGTTTTTCTTATATGATGACATACCATAAAACTATGAACCCTAAAAAATGATGTTGTGTACAACAAAGGTTAAAAAAAAATCAAATGTTTCAGGTCATTTCAGATTGAATTTGCTTGATTTTACAGGCTGTCTTCCACATTTGGGTTTTGGAGAAGGTAAGGTTCATGTACATAATTTTTTTGTCAGCAAGCTTTCAGACTCCTTCAAAGAGAGATTCCTGTATTAATAAAGAAAGAACAGCAGAAATTATTTTAAAAAGTGAAAGTTACCCAAAATGAATAGTAAATATAGAATCTAGGACACAATAACAATAATAAAAGCTAGTGATTAGTCAGTAAATTGTGAATCTTCTTAGGCATTAAAGGAAGCAAATACATAAGCACTTCCTCCTTGGGATTTGGAAAATCTGTGAGTTGTGAAGAGTGTGGAAATAAGATTGGAGGGAAGGTAGGCCAGGACTACTAGGGTGAGGTAAATCAGGTGGTGAGGGCTTCTTGGATTTTGCACCTTGGCATCTCACAAACCTCACCCTACCTAATATAACCTGCTGCAGTCAGTCTAGTATCACTGAAGGGGTTGGGTGAGAGTAAGGACAAAACAGAGGCTCTCTTCAACTGCTAATAATGGCTGACCAATAGCTAGTTGTGTTACCAGGATGTAAAGAAAGGACTGATATAACCCCACTGATGTAGGCCACCCCCTTGTCCTATCTGCTGCCCCTTTAAGTAGCTTCTCTGTTGATTCTAGAACAGTCCTAGTTCCTGCAAGAAACCTGTATTTGTAGTTAAATTCAAAATAGATGAAACTCTTCAAATCTTCAACATTATATAAGTTTGTAGCAGGTACCTTATTTAACTCTTTATATGTGCTAAGTGCTTCACAAAAAGCACTTTATTAATTTAGTCTTTACAAAAACACTTTGAGGATTTTACAGTTGTGAAAATAAAGCTTGGAGGGATTAAGTAACTCACCCAAAGCTCTATGGTAGAGACAGGATTTAAGGAGCCAGACTGACCTAACGCTTGTGTACTTTACCCTGCTGTTCTATTTCGTATTTGTAGAGTTTTTCATATTTTGTAAAATATTTTTGTAACTATTTTCTCAACCACATTGCTTGACTCCCTATTAGCAATATAAATACATCTTCATAGAATAGTATATATTTCTTTGAAATTCTTGTCTAGTCTTCCAGAAAGTATGAGCTTTAGAGTGATATAGATTTTATTTGACTAAGTCATAAAATTATACTTGCCTTTTTTCTAAATACATTAAATAATTTGTCATCAACTCATTATCTTTGTGATGTAATTATACATGTCAGTAAGAAAATATATTGCTTTCACACAAACAATACACGAGATGCCAAGGGTGCAAAATCTACTTTCAACTAGTTCCCTCATTGTTTAGTCAGTTGTAATTTACGTAGTTAAATTCACACGTTTGAGTGCTAGTTCCGCAAGTTTGATAAAGATGATAGTCATGTAACCACTACCACAATAAAGATATGTAACATTTCATCTCTTCCCCAAATTCTCTTGTGCTGACCCTCTGTAGTCAACTCCCTAATCTTTGGCAAATACTGATTCAATTTCTGTCTCTAGTTTTGTCTTTGCTGGAATGTCATAGAATCATATAGGATATGGCCTGTTAAGTCTGGCTTATTTTGCTTAACATGTTTTTGAGATCTGTCCACCTTGTTTTTCATATCAGTAGTTCATATTGTTTTTCATATCAGTAGTTCATCAGTAGTTCTGTAGTTACTGCTGAGTAGTATCCATTGAATGGTTGTACAACAATCTTTGTATCCATTCCCCAAAGGACAGACCTTTGGGTTTCCAGTTTATAAAAACTGGAAGGTTTTCATTTTATCTGAGAAAATAACTAGGAATGGGACTGCTAGATGTGGTATGTTTAACTTTATAAAAATGTGTTCAACTATTTTTCCAAGTGGCTGTACTTTTTTTGCATTCCTGATGTTGCTGATCTGGTGGGTTCTTGTGTTCAAGTGATCGAGGAATAATCACCCACACACTGGACTAGAGATTAGCAAGCTCAGATTTATTGCAAGAGAGACTCCTGACAGTAGGAGGGGATCCAGCCCATGGGAAATACCACCAGTAGGCCATGAGAGTTGGATTTATTTATGCATACAAGAACTGATATGTAGGCCAGAGGTGTGAGGGGTGAGAAGATTCACCAGAGAGAGCAGGGAGCAGAACAGGCAGATCTACTGAAATATACTGCTGAGGGGAGCAGTGGGTGAGACAGGAGAGGTCTGCTGCGCCATGGCTGCAGTAGCTGGTGATAGTGCAGTAGCTGGTGATAGCTTGATAGCACTGTCTCTTTAACCCCTGCAACACCAGAGAGGCCCCAGGCCATGACAGTTCTAATTGTTCCATATTTTCCTTAGCATGACCAGATTGTTTCTTTGTGTTTTTTTATATATATATATATATATATATATATATGAACATATCTATACACACACACATATAGATAATATTTTCTGTTTTCTTTCTTTTTTAAATTAAATTTTTTACATCACTGTCATCCCCATAGTTCTCCTGCTACCATGTCACCCGTGATCCATCATTATATATATAATTTTTTATCCAATACTTTTAAATCCGATGATCTCACAATCTAGCTCTCTTACTTGCTAACTAGTCTTATCTCTCCAGCTCAGCATGCCTGCTTGGCTATCCTGTTTTGGAACTGAGTAGCTGCAGTTGTCTTCAGTTAGGCTTGTGCTGTCCAATTCACCTAAGTCCAATTACCTGCTTCCCTCACTTTACCTTTCTGTACCTGCATTTGAGCATCCCTCTCTCACTCCCCATAGAGTAGTTGAGAGCTTGGCT